ATTAAAATCTTTTTTCTCAATAATACAAAAATAAACTAAAAATAGTATTAAATAAAAATAATACGAGAAAAGAAGAAAATAATTTTGCAATATATTTTGTTAATGCAGATAGTAAAAATAATTTATAAAGAAATTTATGACTTAATAGAGGTATCAAGATGAAAAAAGTTAAATATTCATAATTAACCTGACCATCCTGAATAAAATGTTCTTTATTATGATATCATTCCTAAACAACGCTAAAACGATTATAAAATGTAATAAAAGCTCTTTAGAAACTATTTATTGTTACAGATCTTTTACAATTCTAAGTTTATTTTCTTTCAATTAGCTTTAAATATAAATTTTAAATCTAAATTTACTTTGTAATTATTACTAAAAAAGATGATTATTCATGACTTTAAATATGGATTATAACTCTCATAGCAAATTTAATATTTTTTGGATATTGTTTTTTAGCTCTCCTCTAAGCAAACTAATTGTTAGATTGATTAAAAAAATAGAATCATTCATTAAATTTTATATATTTTATAGATTATATTCTTCTATGAATTAGAATTATCAAAAATCTCATTATTATTTCATATCAAACTCTTTAGTTAATTTTAAAGATGAATAATATGTTCAGACTATTTATAATTAAATAATTTCTTAAAGAATTTAAGTTTGTTTACGATTCTAATAATTCTCGTATAAAATGAATTAATCTCATAGTTTATATATATGTCTTAAAACTATCATCTTTTATAATTGATTAATATTTCAAAAAATGAGTGAAGTTTCTATTTCATTTATAATTTTTTCAATATATTTAAATAGTATATAATAAAAAATGTTTTCTTCCCGAAATTTCAATCCTGAATATAAGAATAATGATACAATTAAATTGATTTAAGATATAACAGAAGATGATGTACTTAAAACATCATTTTAAAATTAAGGGGATGAGTTAATACAAAACTTTCTGAAATTTATTACATCTAATAAAGAAGGATATGATCATTTTGAAAAAGATGAATAAGAATTAATAATAGATAATTAGAATCATATAATTCATATAGAAAAAAAAGTTTAAAATATCAAGAATTTTTATTTAGAATAGTTTGATTTGATTTTAATGAAAATTAGTAAGCTAGCAGAATCATAACAGAAAATAAAATAAATTCAATTCAATAAAAATTAAATTTAGGAATTGAATAATTTAAAGCCATTATGGGCTGTATAAGATAAAGAATTCAAGCATATGTTATAAAATGTAAGAGATATAGAGAATAGATTTCATAAATTAAATGAGAATTCCTTTCCAAACGATTGCATAGAAATTCTATAAAAAACAATTTAAAATATTTCATTATTCTAAGTTAAAAATAATGTTGATGAAAATGAAGTATGTAACCTAATATGTGATGAACATCAAGAGAAATTAACTTTTTTGGATTTAATAACAAAAACGACAAAATTAAAGCGGTTAGGTTGTTAATAATGTGTAGATTCCAATCCTTAAGCAAATTATTAATCTATCATATCAATAGAAAACTAATGGAAACAATAACAAAGCAAGAAATTATAAAAAATGCAAATTAATTTTAATTTTTTGATGAAAAAATATTTCTATATTAAAGAATTCTTTAATTTGATTAAGAGTAGAATATAAAAAAGTTAAGACCAATTTAGAATGAAATTAGATTTAATATAAAATGATAATATGTAAAAAATTGTGAACGAAAATTTAAAACTGGATAGACCTTGGTAAGTAATGTCAAAAGAAGAATTAATTAATATAGGTTTAGAAATAAACTAATTAAATTTTTATGATAATTTGTATACTAACTAAGATTAAACTATAAGTTGCCTTTTCAAGGAGACATTTCGAACTCTAAATCATTATTTGTAAGAATATGCAAACAAAATGATTCCTATGCTAGAGAATATTACTTCAATTAAACAAGATTTTCAATAAAAAAATAATTATCAAGACATATAATTATTTAGTAATTATGAATAATTTACTCAAAAGGAAAAAAAAATAAAATAGAAAACCCCAGAAATTAAGTAGAATATAATTAGATATGACCTTGATGATAATTATATAAAAAAAAAATTATAAAACGATGTGTCGTATCTATAAACTGATACAAGAGTATTCGATTAAATAACATGAAGTTTGTTATGCATTAGATATAAATTAAGAGCTTAATATGTTGGCTATTTCATGCAATAAGAGTATCAATATTTTTGAATTTAGAAACTTTAAGCTTAACCTTCTTCAAATTTTAATAGAACATACAAATCTGGTATTTTGTTTAAGTTTTATGAAGAAATCAAATTAATTAATATCTTGTGGAAATAACTAAATTATAATATGGTAAATCAATGAATATAAATAATTGATATGCAAATAAAAATTAGAAGGTCATGCGAATGTAGTTCGATGTGTTTTATATAATAATACTGAAGATCTTATTATTTCAGGTAGTGATGATATGAAAATTAAATTTTGGCACATATCATAAGAATGGTATTGTAGACAAACCATAGAAGATCACACAAAAAGTGTTTTAGCATTAAGCCTTAATGAATAATAAAATAAATTAATTTCATGTAGTCATGATAAGTAAATACTTTTGTCAGAAATTTCAGAATAAACCAAAAAATGGACTGTAAAGTAAAAAATTAATTTAGAGTAATATGGATTTCGTTTATGCTTTATTAATAATGACATATTTACATTTTAACCTAATAATATAGAATAGATGTATATATTTGAAATTTAAAATGAAAAAATTGTTAAGAAATCAGAACTAAATATATTTTGTGGCTATGATAACTACTCCTTATTTCCTTAAAAGTATATTTAAGCAAAAGGTCTACTCATTAGTAAAAATGGCTGTTATGTTCATATAATAAAATTTGAAGATAATAATTTGTTTACACTAAAATAATCTATTAATTTTGGAACTTAAATTTTATATGGAATAGTAAGTGATGATGGAAATTATTTGATTACATGGGATTAAATTTCAAAATAAGTTCAAGTAAGAAAATAAATAGAAATATGAGGATGATAAAGAAATGTTTAAGATTATTATGATTTTTATTCTGTTTAATAATATTTTAATTTCAATAATTACGAAATGCTCGTATAAATTACATAACAATAGGCTTTTTTAAATTAGTGTTAAAGAAGTTTTATTCACTAAATTCACATTAAAATTTTTTTTTTAGTATTAACATAATAATAGATAAAAAAAATGATATGGACTAGACTAGAAAAAATAACCAATAAAATTTAGATTAAATTTTATTTCTTAAAAAAAAGAAAATAATAAAAAAATAATTCTTATTATATATTAAATATTCCTAATCTATTAAATTTTCTTTCTTATTTGAGTTTTTCTTTCAAGAAATGATAATATTTACCGAATAGTGAATATCATTTATTGACCAAGAGTATTACATTTATTTAATCCCTTTAAAAGGTATTAAATAATAATCAAATTTTTTAAAATGCATAAATATTCTAATCTATGATTTAAAAAAATTCAATTCATTCATATATCTGTTAAAACTACATGTGAATATCCAACTAATTCACAAAAATGACCCTCAAAATAGCGAATATTACGTAATAAATGCAAGCTGACAATTTAAATTATTTTTTTATTCTTAGGTATTTTTATTGTTTATCTTGAGTTTATAAATTTTTCATTCATTTGTTTGTAAAATTGTTTCTTTCATTTTAAATTTATCCGAAAAAAAAAATTTTTAACAAAAAAAATTATTCATTACTTAAATTTTCACCGACAGACTTACTCTCCAAAAATTTACTTTTAAAATAGCTTAAATTCGGCTTACCATTTGATCCTACCACAATCAGTTTCTCTTAAAAAGACTAGGTTATATTTAGACAACCAACAGATAACTAGTTTAAATTTATTAATATTATCGTTGCCATGTTTTATACTTTCTATTAACAAGTTATCATAAAACAGTTTCTGTTTTTTTTTAAATGATTTTATTAACTCTATTGATGTGGTCTTGATAAACACAGCAATGTTAAATCCATGAATTAGGTTATTTTAAATATTTAAATTTCTTACTAAGAGAATAATTATCGTAAAAAATGTCAAGTAAGGTAAAAATAAAAAATATATTTAATATGAAGTATTTACAAAAATTAAATTATATTTTTGTATATAATTAATTTTAAAAGATGAGAAATTTAAACAATCCTATAGAACCTTTTTAATCTATACATGATGATTAGAATTAGTCAAGATTGTCTTAAGTCATATAACCAAAAGTTGAATTTTAATGAAGATATTTCTAACATATTCCAAATAAATGAACAACTTTAAGATTGATTTATTAAATTAATTTAGAAATAAAATATATTGACTTAAATTAAAGGACACTATAAAATCTAAAATATTATATATCTACATCATAAATCTACTATCTCAAGTTTGACTATAGTTTATTCTGTAATTTATTAATCATAAAGCACTTGAATTATTTCAACTGATGATGCTTGTAAATTAATTTTAAATTGATTATATTGTTGGAATGCTTACTTAAACTTTGGAAAAAAACCAACGTAATTCATTTGATTAAAACAATTATAGGTAAAAGAATAAAATTTAGAAATGCTACAGGAATTACATTTATTGAAATCTGCTTTAATCTTTTTTCCATTTGGACATGTTGATTAAATAATCATATAAAGAGGCATAATTGATTTATTTACTAAGTAGTTATAGTTTCCAACTGTTGTGTAGATTTAATTTAATGAAACCAATTCTAAATATATTTTAGGGACAATAGATAAATCTATGATTTATTTGCGACTTGTCCTAATGCTGAAACATTCAAGTGCTTTATATGAGTTTGTAAATTAATAAGCAACCCAAATCTAAGAATGTCTATTTGGAGTTTAAATTGAATTCCCTATTTTAAATGAATAAAATTTACATGAAGCATAATTATACTATTTAGTTGACGCAGTATTTGTAAAATTGGTTTACATTCTGATGTTATCAGCATTATTATAATTTAGTCCCTATAAAGGAATAACAAACCATCTGTTTATCTAGATTGGTAATACATCACTGCTAAAGGCTCCTGTTGGAGACTTTAATCCTAAATTAATAAAGGCTTCTTCAACTCCTACAACAACCTAATAACCAATTTATTTTAGATTTGAAAATTTTCCATCTATTTTTGTTATACCAACAGTAACTGAGTTAGTTGTAATTTAAGTTATCTAGATATTAATAAACTACACTTACTGATAATGTAAAATCAATTGGACCTGTATAATGAATGCTAGTAAAAGTAACAAACCCAAACTAAGCGTTGGGATTCTTGATTGAAAATGTTTTATCATCAGGGTTTACCATATCAAAGTTATTAAGTACTTCAATACGTTGATCATCTAAAGCACACCATCTTAATTAATTTCTATACACTCTGTTCTTTGAACAACTCGTTGTTATTGTGAAACCTATTAAAAACACTTTAATTACTTACTGTTGTAATTGTTGTGATGGATAATGTGTATTGCAATTCAGCTGGCATCCAATCATACTTCTCGTGATAAAGAAAAACCTATGGGATATTCTAAAATGTTCCAGAGAATTGAATAATTGCACTTTTTGAATATCCATTTTAACAATTGAAACTATCATGTATATAATCGTAAACTAGAGTAAGACCTGTGTCATATTTTATTTATTCGTACGAGAAGTTGACAAAAACTAGAAAGATTATTTATTCTAACATTTAATACTTTAATTGCATTTTAATACTTTTTTAATATTTTGATTTATAGGTGTTTTTTTACATTATTAATTTTAGATTTTATTGATTTCAATTCTTCCTATTTGATCATTAATTCTCAAAAATTCTAAACCCTTTCATAGTCAAAAGAATCAAGCAAAAAGAAGAAAGCAAACCATATCAAATAATCTATATAAGTTCAATTCTTAATATGAATTTGCTACATTGCTTTAAAATACTATAAAATTAAAGCCATCATAAAAGTACTATCCTTGAAATACAAATCCTAATCTAAACCAATAGAAAGTTATTATGACATATTTACCAAACTTTATTTTCATTAACTTCAAAAAAAAAAATCAAAATCAATTCTGCTTAATCATAAAAATAATTCCATAAATATTATTTATACATTTTAATATTTAAATAAGCCAGCTCAAAATAAATGCAATTAAATCCATCTAATCTGTTGGCTCTGCATTAGATATCAAATTCTAATACAATTATAAATTAATTATGTTTCAAAACATGATTCATAGCTCTTGTTATTAAAAGTACTATTTCAAATAATTTATTTAAATTAATGAAAGGAGCTATTTGCACATAATCCCTTTCAATATATAGTCTTGTTTAAATAACAAATATATATATATTAACTAATAATTAATTTTAAATTGAAGATCAAAATATCAAATTTTTCAGAGAAGATAACACTTTATTATTATTTTTACATTTAATTTTGCTTCGATTGCTTTTCATTGGATATAATAATTGTTTAAGAACAATTTGAATACTTTATTCTGTAAATAATTCTTTACAAATTTTATAATTTTTTATTTATATTATTTATACAAATATCAAAATAGTTCAATCAAATTTGATCATTTGTTACTTCTTTAATTTATATTCTATTCTAAGTATACCATTCAATATTTCAAAACCCTATAGCAACTATTTTATTATTCTTTATGAGGGTAAAACAGAGCATCAACTACCTTGTTATGGGCAGAAAAAAAGATCGTCGTCAAAATAAACAAATCAGGAAATAAAACAAACTCTGACAATTTTATTATAAATAGAATTTTTATCGTATCGAAAACCTTGTGTTATTTAAAATAGTAGGATGATTAGACCAATCATACTACTTCTTAAAGAGATACCCTTTACGGTTATTTCCATACTGAATTGTTCTCTGTTTATCCCAACTAAAGGACTTTGCTAATAGATAAAGCTTAGTCTAATATAAATCAAGTAGTAAATTTCATAAATTTAGTAAAGTAAAAAGTTAAGTAGCAAATATTTTATTGATATCAGGTAGTTGTCCAATCTTCAGTAGAATAAGCATTTCATAACTTCATTAATATCTTTATTTAAAGTGGGTAAACTTCAAAGTCCATTTTTTATTCTTAATTTTTTTATGAAGAAAAAACTATTCTGAATTTCTTAATATTTTCTTTAACTCTTATTTCTAATCATAGTTTAATTTAAGTTAAAATAACTCTGAATTTCCAAAATTATAATTTAAAGCTAAACTCTAGGATTATTTTCTGACTAAATTGTGATTTTCATAAATGTAGTTTGTTATTTTATTATAACTTTTTTATGTTATTTAACATTATGAAAAGATTTCTAAGTTATTATTTCATTTGAAATAGCTAATTAATATAGGAAAATAATTTTGAGGTCAAAAATCATATATCTTTTACAATGAAATTTATTAATTAATTGGAATTAATAAAATATTTATAAAAAATGTTTCTATTGCCAATTATTTTGAAATAGATCTCATTTTTTATTTTTCATATTTAATTCCAAATTAAGGCAATTCTTAAGGAATATTTGTGCAGTTTTAAAAATTAATAAAGATTAATTTAAGTTATTATTTCTTAAATTACTTATTTAAATTTAATTACATTCCTCCACCTTCTTTAGCTGTGTTACAAATAATCTCTGTTAATAAAATCTTCCGAATTTAATCTTAAATAAACCACTTCCTTCTAAATTTGTATTATCATCTAAAATTCTTGATTTAGTTAAAAAGATTTTTACATTCTTAGATTAAACATCCATCCCTTAAGTACCATTATTCGAAATAAAATTTGATAAAGTCACTATGAATTTTCCTTTTAATTTGAAACCACTTTCCAACACATTAAGTTATTATTATTATTATTATTATTATTATTATTATTATTATTATTATTATTATTATTATTTTTATTATTAATAATTTTAAGAGAAGATAAATTAATTTTAGTTTTATTTGAAACACTTTTAAAAAGATATTAAAAATCTCTAATTGTTACTAAGTAATGAGATTGATTTAAATATATTTTAAATTTTAGTAGTATTTATTATTTTTGATATTTTGAATGAATAAATGAGTTTATAAAAAGATAGAAATTTTTTCAAAAATAATTTTATTTTTTTTAGTTGAAGGTATTGAAATTCAAATAATTAATTTGAGGAATATTTGAATTCTCAATAAGCCTTATTTATCCATCCTTTTGGATTAATCAGATTCGGTTAATTCATCACATTCTTAGCAATTTCTATTGAAAAGTTTTAATTGTTTAATTTTTTGGGGGCAATGGAAGAACTAACAAATACTCATTTAAACATTTAGGCAATTTTAACATTTTAAGATATTGCAATATTTTATTTAAAATTAACATTTTATAACTTAGGTAACCGAAAACTAAAAAGAATATTTAAATCTTTAAAACCCTTCATAAAATATTATCTAAAAGATTTATGGAGTACAAGTTTTCTATTCTAAAAGGAAATAATGCAATGTGTAATTTGATTGTTCAAATTAAATTTTTTGGTTTTTAAAATGCATCGCTTCAAAAATCGATATTTATTGATGGATATGTGAAACTATATGTAGTTTTAATCAATTAATTAATAAGTTAAGAAAATTTATCAAATAATTAAAAATATTGATAAGTTTTGATATGAATGTATTGCAATTTAGATAACTTGATTAAAAATTATGCTAACCTATATCATTTATATAAATCAAAGATGATATTTAAAATATACTTGTATAACACCCATACCCATTTCTCATTTCCAATATCTAATAAATTCTCAATGTGAATTTTTAAATAGATATAAACAAAAACTTCTTCTTAATAAAAATTTACATTTCATCTGGTGATTAGAATATTAAAACTTAAAGTTGGAATCAGGTTTTAAGTAACATTTGAATAAGTACAAGATAGATTAATTTTTAAACAAAATATTATGGTATTAAAAATTTTTCAGAAATTTAATTTGAATCAACAAATGTTAGAACTTTTTTTATGGATTTTGTTGATAGTCCTAGCAATCATAATAGATTATTTTTGGCTTTCTATTTACTTTTCTATTACACTCAATATCTCCAACTTACGATATATTACCATATTGATTATATCTACTACAAAATTCAATTGTTTGACAAGAGCAGTTTGTGTAATTGCTCTGACCAGTTTGAACTGAAAAAGTCTTATATTGAAACGATTCTCTCATTTCTTAAATTTATTAACTCAAACAAACTTATTCAAATGAAATCATCACAAAAATCTAACGCTTTATTAACTATATATATTACAAAATAAAAATTAGTTATAATTTATTTATTTTTTTCTAAACTCATATTTTATAATAAATTTTTGGACAATTTAAAATTATTTTGTTTAATTTCGTTTAGTGGATATTGTTTGTGCTCATTAATAATAAACATGCTGATTCTTCACTTTTTTAGTTGCTAATTTAACTTAAGAATATGACTTAAGCATATATATTTAGCCAATAATATTATTATAAGCTTTTATTTTACTCAAGTCGGAAATCTCTTTTCTTAAATCTTAACTATGTTAAAAATTAATATGGCAATAAACATGATTATTATAAATTATACATTAAAATCCCGAAATCAGTAAATTATTTATCCAGCTAAAATATATTATTTATTTAAAGTCTTCTTTAAAACTAAAATGATAATAAAGTTGAAGTTAGTTAGGAATTTCAAAAATTTTAAATCAAGAAAAACTATTTTTATGTAAAATAATTATAAAGACTAATAAATATTTATTAAAAATATAATATACTCAATAGTATTTTCCATTATTATTAACGAGTTAAAAATGTCTTAATTAATAAACAATTTTATTTAGTTTATAGTATAGATGATTTCTTTAGTTGATTTACATTGTTCTAACATATTTTGAGAAAAATAGTTATCAAAACCTTCAAAAAAAAGAGAACTCAATAAGCTTAAATGAAATTTTATAAAGTACATGTTAAAATTAATAGATATAAATTTAGGTTTCTGATTTAAAAATAAAAAATTATGCATTCTATAAATCTACATATATGTGATAGTTGAAGTTAAAAAGTGGCTTGAGCATAAACTACTAAAATCGAATCTTATTTTGCTTTTCTTGTGTTCAAATTATTGTTTTTTAATTAAGAATAGACATGAATATTTTTCTTCGTACTTTTTAACATAAAAAAATAACTATTTTAGTTTTAAATTAACTTATATTTTCAAAAATAAATTGACTTAATTTATCGATAAAAATAACATTACTTCTGAATATTATTCTCTCTACCTTCTCATATATATGGTGAGTAAGTGACTACAGCTTAATATTTCTGAGTCTAATATTATTTACTAAACTTCATTATTTATAAAATATTATATTATATTTTAATATTATTCATTTATTATTTTTAATAATTAAATCTGATTAGAAATGCATCTAATATTACGGTATTTTAAAATTAATTCCTCTATCCTTCTTAATTTGATTATTAGTATTATGGTTATAAATCAAGCTTCATCGAACTATTACCCAGATAAAGATTAGAATTTCATTATATTTTTATTTAAGAAAAAATTATTAAGAAAGTTTTATTTAAATTGAGGAATATATAAAAATTAACATAATGGTCATAATCGTTTGGGTTTTTTCCTAATAGACTAAAAGAATAATTTGCCAGTTTGTAAAAAAAGAAATATATGCAAATAATAATTTTACAATTTATATGTTTATATTAGAGTTGCCAATTAAAAAGTTTGAGTAGGTTCAATTATTTTGAGCTTAATTTGTTCTAATTAAAGTTAGGATTTATATCTCACTTTCATGAGATATTGAAAATAAGAAATAATATAAATAGCAAATTTTTAATATAAAAATGCCGTCCATATTTCTAAACAAATCTTTAAAGAAAACTCATGGAATAGAATTACAATTAATTATTCTATTAATAATGTTTTCCTGTGGATTAAATCGAAAAATAGTGTATTCTAAATTTTTTGGTATATTCACATCAGCGGATAATAATGGTAATAGAAATTGAAGATATATAGATTGGTACTAGATATCATGGAGCTCAAACACTTATGGAGTTGATAATACTTGTAGTCCATCATAAAGTATAATTTATTTAGATAATTCCCCCTATTTAAAAAATTGTGTGATTTATAAGACCTTTATACTTGAACCTCATTATAAGGTTTACTTGTAATTTTAATTTTGGAGGTATAGAATTACATTTAATTTTGAATAGAATCGATTTGTGGAATAATAACCTATTTACAACATATGCTGATCTAAAGATTAAATATTAACAAAGTTTCTCTAACTTGGATACAATAACAAATTTTTGTTATGATAGTGAAAATGATGAAGTTAAAAATATAATTTTATCTTTTTCACATAACACTCCTACTTTAATGATAATATTTAAAGGAGATGGAAGTCGATGGGGGATATCAAATATCTAATTAGAAATAGATGAATGTTCTATTGGCTGTGATTCATGTAGTTAAAGTTAATGCTTTGATTAAAAACTGGTTCCAATTTTAATAGATTGGACTACTATAGAAATCCCACCTCTATTTTAAAGTTGTGGAGGTATATAATATTAATTTTTAGGATATCAATTCCAATTTACTTATGGGAATTTTATGTAAATAGAAATTGACTTAGATCCACACAATATTATTAATTTAACTATTAAATTCTAAATTGGGAATGCAGATAATCCAACTTTAACGGTAAAAATCGATAATCAATTAGTAACGACTACATAATAATTTTCAGATAGAGTAAGTGATGCACTATTTTTCTGTCATTAAAATTAAATTTTAGAAATGAATATTGTTGATTATGATCATACAAATCCTACTATAAAATTTCGTATTGATGCTATAATGATATAGTATGATCCAATGTCTGGCATGCCTTACTTTGGAATATCAGACTTTTAGTTATTCGTTAAAACTAAAATAAAATAAAAAGATTCAGATTTAGGAATGCCTTTTGAAGGATGTTTATTGAGTAAACCTGAATTGGTTGAAGGTTGTACTTTTTGTGTTAGAAATATATGTTTATTTTGTGATGAAGGTTGGATATATATAGAATAAGACTAGAAATGTTCACCTATTTGTGGTGATTTAAAATTAGTTTAAAATGAAGAATGTGATGATTCAAACTTAAATCCTTATGATGGTTGTCATAATTGTAAATATTCTTGTCCACAATTTTGTTTGTAATGTTTAAAAGGAAAATGTAGAGAATGTTAATTTCCAAGGATATTAATTAATGGATTATGCCATTTAGAATGTGATTAAGTATTAACTAATTCTGTCTAATAAAAGTACTTAGGATGTGGCTTTGAATATCTGTAAATAAATGGTTATTACTAACATACATTATTAAATAACAAGGATAATTAATAATTCTTACTTTATGAATTTTTAGATTGCAACCCTCAAAGTTATGGAATAATGGGATATTATTATAATTAATGTAATATTCAATATATTGAATAATGCAAAAAATAGTAATGGAACATCTGTCTTGAATGTGAGGATCATTATTAATTATCTTTTAATAAATAATATTGTGTATCAAAATGTAATGATGAATATATAGAAGACTTTGAGGTCTGTGATGATAATAACAATATTTAATTTGATAGTTGTTATAAATGTTAACCAAGTTGTCAATTAGAATGTTTAAATTGTGTATATGGAAAATGCTTATATTGTAGAGAAGGATGGTATCTAATTGATTAATAATGTTAATCAATTTGTGGAGATGGAATTGTAGTACCATTTGAATAATGTGATGATGGAAATTTAGACATTGGAGATGGATGCTTTTAATGTCAAACTGAATGTTTTTATTGTGAAATATGCAATTATAAAAATTAATGTTAAATTTGTTAGGAACATTTCCATTTAGTTTAAGATATCTGTTTACCTATTTGTGGAGATAATTATGTAGAACTTGGTTTAGAAGAATGTGATGATGGTAATGAAGTTTAGTATGATGGTTGTTTTAATTGTTAATTAGAATGCACTTTTGGTTGTCAAATATGCAATGCTGGGTAATGTTTAGATGTATGTTAAATTGGGGAATAAAATATTAATGGCCAATGTATTAAAGTAAATAGTAATGAACAAAATAATATTACCCTTAGTAAATAAAATTGTAGTTATGCATGCTTAGATTGTTATGATGGTTAATGCTTATTATGTCATCAAAATTATACAATTTAAAATGGAAATTGTAAATCTATTGAATGTGGTAATGGAATCAGAGAAATTTATGAAGAATGCGATGATGGTAATACATTTAGTAATGATGGATGTTCAAAAAATTGTCTAATTGAAATTAATTGGAATTGCATTACCAAAGATAAATAACTCAACTCTTGTTATTCACTTACAAATGCTTACCTTCGATATTTAAATTAAACTTAATATTATCAATATGTTCAACTCACCTATTCTAAAAAAGTTAGATTATATTAAAATTATGAATCTGATCAATTTTTATTTTAGAATTCTTCTAAAATTATAGGATTATAAGAAGATCAATACCTTATAATATGTTATCCAAAATCTTCTATTGTTTAATTTGAATATAGACACATTCAATATGAATTCAAAATTTAATTTTACTACTAAGTAGAAAGTTAATTAAACTTTAGTGTATTTATTAATGAAACACTCTTGGATGAAAATGAAATTGCAGTTTTACCAACTAATATCTCTATAAAACTTAAAGTTCCGAAGATATTGACTATTTCTCAATTAGCTTCATCATAAACTTTAAAAAAATTTGGCTATTCTATGATGATTAGTTTAAGCTGCAGCAGTGGGTTAATGTTATTTTTAGGTGAATTTGTTTAAGCAATCAAATTATTAGATATTCTACAATATGAGCAGTTTTTAAAATACATTAACATAAACTATCCCTAAAACGTCTATATTTTTTTTGAATCTTCTAATTTTATTACTTTTTAACCTTTATTAAATTATTTAAAATTTCCAGATTTATATTAAGAAATAATTGAACCAAATTATTAATAGAGTATAGGTAAATTTAGAGAATAAGAATTAAATGCAGATTTCTTAACTAACATTAATAGTTTTTTATTCCAGTTGATTTTAGTAATTCCCTTTATTTTGAAACTCTATATTTACGAAAAATATATTTCAATACTATTTCCCTTATCTAAAATAGCCATCTTTGTTGATAATTGTAAATATCGAATTTTTAAAACAATTTTTCGCCATCTTTATCATTATAAAAGAAAAAATTTAGAAATTTAAAAGATCTTCAATACAAATAGTTTTATATAATTTTTCAATGCTAATAGTTGGGACTTGATGTTTAAAGTAGGTTTATTTTTAATTTCAAATAACGAATCGAAAAATAGATAAAGAATTTCTTTATTAATTTGTTTTTGTTATTTAGCAATTATGATGAAAATTTTTTTATTAAATCTAAGAAAAATTTTGAATAGATTATAAATTATAAAACATAAAAAAATTTAGTCTGAAAAGTTAATTTTGCTTAAAAAATTCTCTTTTCATTTGATATTGACCTAAATGTAAGATCATCCTATATATTAATGCATTCTTATATCATTTTTTACTTCATCATACATTTTTGTGATTTTAAGAAAGAAATTTATAACTTCAAAGCTTGAAATAATAACTGTACTGTCTTTAGAAATTCCAATAATTATATCAATATTATTGAATTTATCATATTGTTAAGATTTTCAAAGCTACTTAACATTAAATTAATAAATATAAATAGGATTTGCTCAAATAGGATTATTAATTTTTAGTTTGACTGGTCCTCTAGTCTCAGCAATCTATTAACTCTACTGTAAATTTAAAAATTCTAAACCAAAAAATAGAAAAATATAGAAAAATATTTCGACAAATATATTCATAACTGCTTTTTGAACAAGTTGTAAATGCATTTTAAGTTAATTCAATTTCAAAACAATTAATATTTTAATTAATAATATTCTAAAATTTAAGATATAAATTCATCTAAACTCCAGAATATTAAAATTAGATTTATAAATATAATTTTTTCATTATTAGTAAATAAATTTATAAATTTACAAACCTTAAAATTTTGATTCTTCTTAAAATTAAAGGAGACTTTTTTTTCGAAACATTTAACATACATGATGTAGCTGTTAATGCCTAAATTTTAATTCTTCTTTTTCAATAAAAAAATTCTTTTAATTATCATGAAATTAAATATTTTATTTGGATAGGTTAAAACTATTTTTTCTATCTCATTTCTAATTTCTAATATTAACATAATTTACTAAAATTTTATTTTTGTAATTTTTTTTCAATTATCAAGTTATATTTGAGAATTATTTTGAATAATTTTATTGTATATTGTGAAAAATTTTAATTGAATTTGAGTTCATATCGATTTATAAATTCAATCTTAATCTCACAACTGAAGATTATATTTATAAATATTATAAAGCTAAAAAAGGTTTCTAAGAAATATTTTTAAATTCAAAAATTTCAATATTTAAACTGATTTATTGGAAGATGATAAAGGTTATTTAATTATAATTAATCATCAAATTGGTCTTTATCATAAATAAAATATAATTAGAATAAATAGCATATCTAAAAAAAAACTTGAATCTGTAATATAATTGTATTTATGAGCAATTCAATTAATCTATTCTATTTTTTTGTACAAATCACCGTTGAATATCGGAATAAGTAAGAAGCGAAAGCTGATTTTATATTAGACATTGATATTGGTTCTTGCTAAAATAGTCAAATTGTTTTCTTTTAAAATAATTTTTTACTTAGAAAACAATCTCAGAGATGACAGAATAAGAATATACACAAATATATTTGTATGGATATTTTTTGAGGTTTATCACATATTACTGAAAAGAAGTTATATAGTAAATCGAGTTTCAGCAACTTAAAATAGAATTGTTGATTAAAAAATTTTAAATTTGATATATATGTCTAATAGTACATGTTAAGGTCTCTTCAGTATTATGCACTATTAGGAATGGATTTTCTATTCTCAATATGTTGCTGATAAAGCAATAATTCAAATTTATAATTTCATTTTAATTTTTCTTTAAATTAATTTAAATAATTTAAACGATAACCATATTTTAGTTGATATTTAAATAGAAACCTAGGAATTAATAATATAAATTCAAAAAATTAAAATAGAAAAACTAAATATATCCACAACTGCAAATTTACATATAATGTAAATAAATATCAAATTTTGTTATGTTTAGTTATTATAAGAAAAATCCAAGTAAAAATTAATAAAAGTGATACATTTTTAGAATATATTTATTAAATTCATTACCAAAAGGTTGTTAAATATTTCATAAGAGATTTTTTTTTATTTAAATAAGTCTTCCTAAACTCTCTACATACTTACAAATCCGATATTTTCTATGAGGATATATCAAAAAATTTTCATTTACTTTTTTTTAATGTAAAAATATTTTAATTTCACTTTTAAACTTTATTAGATCTCCTCTTTCCCTAAAATATTTATTAAATTTTTAACATAAAAGTTTTAACTTTATTGTTTATTAGGGTTGAGGTTTTAAAAATAGATAAATTGAGTTTAATTAAAAAAATTTGATCATTTGCTTCTATAATGGATTGATAATAAGATTTTAAATTAATTTCAAAAAATGATAGAATAACTAATTTTTAAATCTTTTAAACCTTAAGCTTGATAATTTAGAATAAATTAAATAAATTTTATGTATGGAAAGAATTTTGTGAGGACTATAAAGTGGAAAATTCTTTAAACTGTTGAGGAATATTAAAATATATTTAATATATTAAAATATTGTAATTATTTAGTGCTGAAGAATAGAAATATTATTATGATTAAAACAAATCGATGGTATTATATATTTTAAAATTAAATGTATAAAAGTTTTACTCTAAACAATGCATAATTAAAATATCTAGTAGGATGAAAAATTACAATTTATCTAAATAAATATCTCATATTCATTAATTAATTAGGCCATTGTTAAACTCAGTTAGATGATATTCTTATCGTTAAGAGATGTAAAATATGTTTTAAGTAAATAGCATAATTCATTTGATAAATATGGTAATATAATAAGAAAATATATTAAAAATTTTTTAGAAACTAACTTTAAATTCAAAAATAAAATCAATTAAAAAATAATTTTAAAATACTCATCACCAAAAATATTTTTCTTTAACTCATGCAAAGATTCTAATATTTTCCCAATATATTTGAAAAAATCTAATATGCAACCAAATCTTGGATTAATTCAAGCTTAAATACAATTCCAATCCAAAATCTTTTGAAATATCTCATAATTATCAAAGGCTACAGTTATCTATCTAACTACATAAATACTTATTTAATAAAATTCTTTACTCCTGATGTATTTTTAAAGCAAATTTGTTTATAATTACAAAATTATTACTAAGTAATCTCAGATATTATCAAAATTTAAGGTTTATTACATAGTAATGAATTATTTACTATATGAAATTAGTTTAACTTATCAATATTGAAATGTAATAGTCGATCTTATAATATAATATATATAAATAAAATTATTTATATAATTAAGAATAGCGAGTATTATTTGATCATATAAGATAAAAAAAGATGGAGGACAAGAGTAGTAAATATACTTTTAATTAAGAAATATTGATATTCACAAATGAAAAATTCTTAGGATGAATATAAAACAAGAATTAATTTTTGAATATAAATGAGTGAATTTATTTGTCAATAATTTTATAATATCAAAAATGAGATTTCAGCACAATGCTTTAAAATGTTTACAGATTAATCAGCTGGTTTGTGTTATAATTTGGATATTAATTGAATAGGCAATTACAATTTAATATTAATGGGGTACTCTAACTTATATTAAAAATCCTCTAACACCTCTTCACATTCTTGCAGATACACATACAGCAGGTGCTTGGATTTCTTCGACTACAACTTTAACAGGTTTTGTAGATGATCCTTAAATTATTTTCTCAGTTTATAGAATGCACTTTGAAAATACAATTACAGGTGGATATGTATTCTAATTAGCAAAATAAACAAAAACATGTAATATCATCATTTTACTTTAAGCATTTAAAATCTTTGTTAATGCTACTGCTCCGTAAAAAATTTATAATGTTTGGATTAAATATTTGGCCTTTGTTGATAAGAATAAATAAGTTATTAATTAGGAAATACTCAATCCTAAACCATAAGAAATTTACATAGAATCGCATTTTAATAGAAACTTTATTATGGCAATTCCAATTATTAATTACTTATGCTATACAAGTGCATTCACTTTTAAATTTGAAGTAATTAAATCATTTAATCAAAGATGCCAACTATTGATTCATCTTCTGTTTAGATGAAATTTTTAAGCACAGGGATATCAAAAATAGGATTTTAAATTTTATTTGCTACTTAAAGTCCCATATATATTCATGGAACCACATAATGGACCCCTGGTTCTCTCAATTTAAATTTAGATCCTTACATTGTGTAAAATGTTTAGATACCCAAGCTTTAACAAACAAATATTATCAGGTTTCCTCTATATATAGGACTTACAGCTGATCTATCTGCTGAAGTAAATATAGAGGATTTTGATTAATTGATAAGCACTGAATTGTCTTTTAGGATAGGATCATGTAAATTATAAATCTATTTTAGCCATAACAAGTTCTGTAACGAGTGGATGGTTTGATTATATGCTAATATAACCAAGTTATTAACTTACACCTCTACTCTTATAAACCTTCTCATTATAAGAATATTATGAAGCTAGTGGAACTTAATTAATCACTGTTGAATTACCTTTATTATAAACTACTTATACAAGCAATACTAATTGGATTGATATTGATAATACTGTTATCGGTTTGCAAATTGAGATTACAACAGAATGCCCAGAAGATTATCAACATAATTATTGGTTTTTAGGATCAGTTACTGTAACTGATAATCAAAAATATATAGAAGATTACTTTTACTGCTCAGATGATTCCAATAGAATTAAATATATTATTAATCTAAATGATGCTGGAAAACATGAATATAAAACAATTAAATTTGTTTTCACATCAACAAGTTTAGAAATGCATTAGCAACTGGACAATTAATAGTTTGATGAAGAATACAGAAACTTAAAAATAGTTATAAACTAAGTTAGGTGATTCTAAAATTTATATAATTATCAATTTAAACCATCTATTTTTAAGATGAAAAAAAATTTATTTAATTTTAAGCAAAATGATTCTTAATGAATTAATAACGCCTAAGATTATTCTAAATTTAATTTTAATTATGCATACAAATATTAAATCTCTTTATAAAAAGCTCAATAATAAATTTATAATTAGGTTGTAAGAACCATTCATTAATTTTTCATTAATATTAGCTAAGCTTATATTCGCCATTTTCTTTTCTTTTTTTGATAATCATAATAACCTTAAGAGGAGAATAAATCAAAATCTAACATTAAAAGTTAAATTATTTGATTAATATGCAAAATTAATAAGTTGTTTTCTTAATTTATTTTTTAACCATGCTTTATATTTTTATTGAATAATACTTCAGAAAAGTCACAATGAAAATTCATTGAGGTTATAAATAAATTGCTTTAGCATTAAATTTAATACATTCAAAATATCCTTATTTCTTTAGAAAAAATTTGATATGATCATTTGAATTTTGAATTTTTCTTCTATATCATAATTCCTTTTACTAATTTTAAATATATATAATATAATATATTAAATTAATATTATTTATTAAGCCTTTATAAATTTTCATACTGAATTTAATTTTTGTAATACTTCTTCTTAATCATTTTATGAACAAAATCAAATTAAATTACATATTCATAAGAGATTTAGGAAAATATTTATAATTATATAATATATCAACTTAATTTCCATTATTAATAATAATATTAAATGAATATTATTATTCAGGCAATTCAAAATATGATAAATATATTGATTATAGAAATAATGAAATATGCACAAGAAAGCAAAAATTTTATAATTATGAGGGTGATTCATACTTTAAAAAATCAAATAAATGTTATTTTTCAGGCTATTGAAACAAAATACTTGAAAAAATTTCAATATCCTGTTTAGTTTTATTAATCAAAATAATATAAATTCACAATTTTAAGATTAATAATCAGAAAAATAAAAAATTATATATTTTAATCAATCCTAATAAAATTGTGAATTGATATAAATATTTTTCATAATTAATTAAAGACTCTAATTTAAAATTCTTTGGTTCTATCATCCCAAGTTACTAAGAATTCTCCATCATTGCTCATAGTTCCAAAAACTTAACAAGTAGAAAAATCAATGGATTATTCAGTCATTAATTATCCTGATGAATTTAACTTAATCAAATTCACATGTTGGCCATTTTTATCAACAAGAACAAATTTATTTCCATATCGAGAGTTTTATTTTAATAATTTCTAAGGAAAAAAACAAACACAATTTAATCCACCTTTTACTTTAATTTAATCAATTTGTTAAAACTATCTGTTCATATTATCATATTGAAATAGAATCATATTCTCATTTTTATAAGGTTAAAAAACAAAAGAATGATCATTAATATAGCATAATCGACATCCAGAGATAAATGTAAATATCTTTTGGAATAAAATCCAAGTTTTATCTGTTTATTTTTCTAAAATTAAAATTATTTTATCCTCTCCACAAGAAATAATTTAATTTTCTGTCTCATTTAAACTAAGTCCCCAAACTGAATCTTAATGCTCGTCGATTGTTTATGAACAAAACCAACCATTAGCTTTTGACCAAAATTTAATGGTTTTATCTAAACTGCCTGAAATAATTAAATCATCAACAGAATTTATTATTACAGCTCGTATTTCTCTTATATGAGAATTTAATTTTTATTAGCAAAACCATGAATTATTCTTATTTAATGACCATATAATTATAAGATTATCATCACTTCCAGAAATAAACTAAGTAGATGGTTTCATAAAATTTAAAGTAACTACATTTTTTTTATGTTCATTTAACAATTATTTAAATTTCATTTCCCCCATAAAAAAGTTATAAACTTTTATTTAACAATTAGATCCAGCTAAAAGGATCGAATTATCATAATTAAATTCCATCGCTTAACATAATTCTTATTAAAAAATAGAATATTATTTTAACAAATCATATCTAAATATTTATTAATTTATGCTTGTGGAAGATACCTACCTTTTAAAAAGTCTAATAGCTTTAGGTTAACAAAAAGTTTAATTTAATTAATTATTTATTTGTAAATTAATAACTTAATTCATAATTTCTAATTATTTTAATTCTTTTATTGATGGATTCTTGTATTCAATTTCTCTTATTTTAATTCTTTTTTTTTACTATTGACTACTACTTTATAATTAATTTTATTAAATTTCAAACTAGTTTTGAGCCAATCTTATTCTTGATAAATATTATTCATTTTAAAAAGCCCAACTATTAAAATCTTATTCAAGTTAATCATCCGTCATATATTTGTTTTTACTTTTACTCAAGTAGTTTGCAATCTCTATAATTGATACTTATGTAAAATCAGATAATTAACGAGAATTCGAAGATTAAAAATTTTCCAGTTTATTTTGGAAATCATCATTGTTTTAGTTCAATTTTTAAGAAAAATCAGATATTTAGAATTAAAAATAAGTTTTCATATTTTCAAATTATTTTATAAACGCTTGGTTTTATTTATTAAATTTTTCAGTTATAATGCCAAGGTAATTAGATTGAAAGGAAGTATGACTTATCCATAGTTCATATAAATTTTAAATTTTAGAATATTTAGCATTGAATTCTTGAATGCAATCTAAGCATGCAAATCTTTTAGGGCAAATCTCAATTTCATTCATATCTATCATAATTGCTTCATTGTTATGTGTATAACAGATAATTTTAGGTTGTTATTTATGAAAATCTATTTTTTATTTTAAAGAAATCATAATTTCTTCAGCACTCTTTGTTCCCAAATCAATTTGATTTAACTTCTCCTATATTTATTAAAAAAGTTAGTTCATTGAAATTTAAGATAATTTACGAATTAGTAAATCTCTTATATCCTTATAATTTAAAGAAGGTACAGCAGCATATTATTTTATAAATGAATCAATATTAATAGTTGGGATTTCATGAATTTTATTTTAAAAACTAATCAGATATTATTTTATGATTTTAATTTATTATTCCAAGCTGTGTAAACACTTTTCAATCAATCTAATTATAGTGGATTTAAATTGGAAAAGTTGTTCTTTAGTTTCTTCTAATAATTTTAAGTTTTTAGAATTTAATTCCTCATTTTCCTAAAGCAATATTGCCTAAAGTCCTTATAATTATTATTATGCATCATTAATTAATATTAAATTCTATTTTAAATCTGTAACACATTAAGGGCAAAGAAATTTCATATTAGGATTAGATTATGCATTGTCCAGGTATATGGCATTTTAATTGTGTTTTATACATTTCTTCTGGATATTTTGGATTGACATTTGCTAATTTCTATAATTAAAAATAATTATAAAATATTTTATTTACTTATATAAAAATTGAAATATTTTGAAGAATCATTTCATTAATCACAAAGGTTGGCAAAATAAGATAAAATGTTTTAAACATTATCTTCTGCTTAAGGGATTTATTTTATATTTTATTATCTTGGAAAACAAAGTTTGGATGAACTTTCATAGAAATATTTATACAACATTCCTATCAATTCAATATTAAATATTAAAAAATAAACTATAAACCATACACATAGTTAAATATTATAAGAAGTTAAAATCATATAAATATTATTTAGTTTTTATATATATTCATAAGAGATCATGACAACTTTAAATGTTATAATCTCAATTACTAAAAAAAATACTTTATTCAGCCCTTTTATTATTTTTCGATATTAATAATTAGAAAATTAACTTAACAACTATTTCGATCAACTTTCTATTTTTTTATGTATAAAATATATTCAAGTAGGATTTAAACAATTATTAAATTAATTTCTAAACAAGATAGATAAAAAAATAATATAGTTCAATTAATAATGCTCGTTGACGAAAGTTAAAATTCGTTTTTAATAATTTTTATAATGTTATTCTTTAATTATATTCTTCAAAATTAATTAAACAAATTGAAAATATTCTTATCAATTTGATTTTCTTTTTACCTGTAAGTATAATCAAAAAATTTTGATTTAATATTATAAAATCTTCTAATTTTAATCAGTAGAGCCTTCCGATGAATAAAATTAGAGCAATACAGTTATTAAACATCAAATGGAGAATAGGATCTTAATAACAAGAATTTACTTAATAAGAAATTTAAATTGATTAAAAATTAGTATTATAGATATCTTAACTTTATAGTACTTTTGAATCCTTAACAAAAAGCAAAATGAACTTAAAGCTCTAAAATTTAGGCAATTAGAAAATTCTTTTGAGTTAATCAAAATCCCAAAAGCAGGTGGAAAGTTTTCGACCTTTCATCAAAATAAAATGAAAAATGAGAGGATGTTCATAAATGTATCAATAATTCATTTTTACCTAATAAGACAAAACAATGTAGGTTAAGAGATAAAAAGAATGATTAGCTAGATAATAATATAAATAAATATTAATATATTAATTATGAATCAATATAATGATTTAATCATAAAATGTCCAAACCCAGAGCATCCCAACAATGTGAAACTAGTATGTTTTGATGAATCTTGTAAAGCAGATAGATTGTATTGCATGTAATGCAGTAGAAATGGAATTCATTTTTCTCATCCTTAACATTAATATTAATTACCGAATTTATTTGATCATTTTGAAAAAATAGAAAAAGAATGTGATGATTTAATCAACAGGTTGAGTAGATAAATTGATTTAGTTTAATAATCTTTTTATTAATTAATTGGTGGAATCAAAACTAAGTATGTAATATCAAAAGAATAAGTACTTAACTTAAATTCTAAATAAATAAATTCCATCCTAGCAGAAACAATCTAATTCAAATCATTTAGATCTACAATTGAAATATAAATTCAAAAATCATCTAATGAACTTTAAGATTAAATTTAAAAATTATATTAAGATCTTGGCTTAAATTATTTGAATTATTATCAAGTAAATGATTCAGACATTAAAAAATCTGAAGAATTTTATTAAAAAGGTATAAACATTTATATTTTAGGATATAAATTATATTGGTATGATCATAAATATGAAGAAGCAATAACAATGCTTGATTAAGCATTAAGTGTTAATTCAAAACATTAATTAGCATTATGGTGCAAAGGTAAAATTATGACATTATTTATTAGCTGAAAGTTTAAAGATGCTTGATCAATATAACGAAGCTATTGTTTGGGCAGATAAAGCCTTACACATTGATCCAAAACATTTCAATTCATTATATACTAAAGGTATAATTCTTATTCAATAATTTAGCGGAAAGCTTAAGAATGCTAGAATAATACAACGAAGCAATTATTTGGGTAGATAAAGCCTTATAGATTGATCCAAAACATACAAATTCATTATTTACAAAATGTAAAATTAAATTTTATTTAAAAGCTTCTAGTTTAAGAGGTCTTGGTTAATACAATGAAGCAATTACTTGGGCAGATAAGGTATTGTAGATAGATTCAAAACATTTCAATTCTTTATCAACAAAAAGTGCTATTTTACATAATTTATAGGTACCTCACTAAGAATGTTAAAAAATTATGATGAAGCTTTAGCAGTCATAGAGTAATCACTTCAAATAAACCCCAATCATTTGGATTCATTATGGTCGAAAGGTTCATTTAAAATCTTTTAATATAGGCAAATGCTTACAAGACTAAAATTAATATCAAGAAGCTTTAATTTGTTATGATAAAGCTTTGAAGATTAAAGAAAACCATTAATGGACAAAAGACAGAAGAAGTATTATAATCACAATATTAATCAAGATGAATGCCTAGAAGCCTTAAAAAAGAAGTGATATTCTTTTCAGTATTTAAGCTTAAGTAACATAATTATTATCTTTCTTAAAAAACTTATAAATAATTTTTTTTTACAACAATTTTAATAAATAAAAATAAACTCTATTACAGAGTTTAATAAATTGATTCTACGTAAAATAAATTTATTTCTACAAATATCAAAATTATTAACCATAAAACAATCAATATTTATTAAGAAGAATTATAAAATTAAATTTTTATACTAATCGTAAATTTGAAAACTTTTCTTTTTTCAAAATCATTTTAAAAAAAATGATGGTAAATTGAGTAATTTTAAATGTGTAATCACTCAAATTTGTAACATCACTTAGTAAATTAAAAAAAAATTATTTTTGTTTATATATCTTTTTTATCTTCTTTTTTTAAAAAAATTCATAATTTCTCCTATTGTAATAATTTTAACACTCACCTCATGCAGGAAATTTTAATCACCTGAAACATGTTTCATATCATTTATTCTATTTAAACCCTAAGTGATTATATGAACTTTTTCATCTTAATTAAAATAAATATTAAATAAATATTTTATTACTAAAAATAAACCATTTTTATCATTTTTTGATCTTTAATAATTTTAAAAAATACCCAAATAAAGTCTATATATCTATTAAAAAGTTAATTAGTCCGAATATTTTTTTTATTTAGAAATTACATAAAAAATTTTTAATATCCATTCTATTCGTCAAATTTTCATTCAGAGAAATCTCTAAAATATTGAGAAATTATAAATAATCTTCTACGAAATTCTTTAGATTCCATTTTCATGATCTACCGAAAAAATTTTTTATTGTAATTATATTATATATTATATTTAATCAATCTTAATCAAATTAATATTACTTGAATATTGTTATTGGAGCATAAAAATTTTTAATAAATAAACTATTTAAAAGAGATTTGATGAATATTTAGAACTAATAATATGATATTGTTCATTTATAAACTTCATTATCTACTTACTTTACCTAAGTTTTCATGATGATGCTTCCTTTTTGATGAAAAAGTTTTCTCAAATCCATTCCTAATTGATTAGTAAATTCTCCGTTTAAAATGAAAGTCTTTTCTGCTGAGAATAATTCATTCTATGAAATTCGGACAACTGTGACAGTATCTAGAAATAAAAATATTTAATACTAGAATTTATTGCCTAACGAGTTTCTTAAGATGAATTATAAAAATAATCAATAAATTCATTATGATTGAATTCTTATAGTTAATTTGTATTTTCTTTTTAATTTTTTTGAATAAGAATTGAGTTTACTTAACAATTACTGATCGATATATATAAAAGGTCATCTTTTGTAAACTAGACAGGTAAGATGTATCCAGTTTATCCTTATAATATTTCCATTTCTTAGAATAGATTTAATTTCCAAAAGCGAATAGATTTATCAACACTACTTGATGCTAAAATAGATCCATCTGGAGAGAAGCATACACATAAGACATAATCGTTATGTCCTTGTAATATAAACTTTTCCTTTCCTGAAATTACATCCCATAATCGAATGGTATTATCCATACTACCTGATGCTAGTTTAGTACCATCTGGAGAGAAACAGACTGACAAGACTTATCCACAATGTCCTTTTAATATTTTGACTTCATCCCCTGAATTAAAATCCCATAAATGGATAGCTCGATCATAATTACCAGATGCGAAGATTGTACCGACAGAAGAGAGACATAGTGAATAAAAAGTACCATAATGACCTTGTATAATCTTTGTTTATTTTCCTAAATCTACATCCCATAAACGTATACTTTCATCTTCACTACAAGATGCTAATTTTTTACCATCAGCGAAGAAGATCACTTATGTCACATAATCACTATGTCCTTATAGCATTTTATTGTTTCTTTCTTACTTTAAATCCCATATATAGATGCAAGTATCTTCACTACCTGAAGCTAATTTAGAACCATCAGGAGAATAACATAATGTTCTGACACAATCCCTATGTCCTTAAAACATTTTCTTTTATTCCCCTGACTTTACATCCCATATTCGAATAAAAGTATCTTATCCACCTGTAGCTAAAGTAGTACCATCAGATATGAAGCATACTGATGAAACTTATCCCTTATGTCCTATTAATATTTTTTTTTCTTTTCCTGTATTTACATCCCATAAACGTATTGTTTCATCATCACTAACAGATGCTAATATAATCCCATCTGGAGAGAAGGATACTTAAGAAATCCTTCCATGATGTCCTTATTATTTTTTTTTTTCTTCTCCTGACTTCACATCCCAAAGACGAATAGATTTATCCCAACTACCTGATGCTAATACAACACCATTAGAGGAAAAACAAACTGAAGAAATACCACCACTGTGTCCTTAAAGTATTCTAGTCTATTCACCTGATTTTAAATCCCAAATACGAATTGATTTATCCCAACTACCTGATGCAAATTAAGTACCATCAGGAGAAAAGCATATAGAAGAAATACCTGCCCCATGTCCTTCGAGTTTTTTCTTTTCGATTCCTGATTTTATATCCCAAATTCGGATACATTTATCACAACTACCGGATATTAATAAAGTGCCATCAGGAGAGAAGCTTAGGGTCATGAACCCTCCACAATTAGCTTTTTATAATTAATTTTTATTCCCTAACTTTAAATCCCATAAAAATATAGATTCATCTCTACTGCCAGACGCTAATGTCTAACCATCAGGAGAGTAACATACAGACATAACACCACCACTATGTCCTTCAAGTATTTTTAGAGTTTCTCCTGAATTTATGTTCCATAAACAAATGGTTTTATCCCAACTGCCAGATGCCAATTAAACCAAATCAGGAGAGAAGCAAACTGATACAACAGCTCCACTATGTCTTTGCAATATTTATATTTCTTATCCAGTATCTGTATCCCATAAACGGATAGATTTATCATCACTACCAGAGGCTAAGAGCTTACCATCAGGAGAGAAATTTACAGATCTTACATAATCATTATGCCCTTATAAAAGATACTTTTCTTCTCCTGATTTTATATCCCATAAACGAATAGATGTATCACTACTACCAGATGCTAATATCAGACCATCAGTAGAAATGCAGACTGAATCAACATTTCCGATATGTCCTTCTATTTTATGCAGTTCATTAATGTATAGATTTTTCCATTTACAATTAATTAATATTGCGCCATTTAAATTAATCCCATGGATTTTAAAATTTTGAAATTAAGATCCACTTAAATCACATTTTGCAAAACTCGCTCCATTTAATGAAGTATTTTTAATTCTAATATTCCGAAACGACTATTAAGTCAGATCAATTTTCATTTCAACCAATAAATTTAATGAATTAGATCCGCTCTAAATTAAAGATTCCTCCAACGCTGTGAGATGCACTATAAACTTTAAAAATTGGATAATATTTTCATCAGTTGATATCTTTTGCATAAGAAATTTTCGGCTTTCTTCATAGGCTTTAATAGAAAAATCTATTTTATTAAACTCATGTCTCTAAAAAATTTATAAAATACTAATAGTTTTCTTAACATTTTCTTCAATGGCATTTAACTTTAATTATTTTTAATAAAAAATTAAATTCTACATAGAATAAATTTTTAAGTAATGCTAATCTGTCATCTCCTTTACATTTAACTCTAAAGTGAAATTTTTGTTTTTAAACTAATACTTTTCTAATATTGAACTAAAAATTCTGACATCAATATTTCTTAATTTTTCAAATATTTCATACAAATCAGCTGCAATAAGAAACTCTTAAATAGATTTATGTACAAATTAAAAACTTGTACCTTTTTACTAAATTAATGAACAGCTTCTAATATCCTTTTTATAAGATCCATTCTCTCTATCATCATTAAAAAATTCATCTAACCATTCCTCATCTTTATTTTCATCTTTATATATTAGGCCTTGTTATTTAAATATAACTTAAGTTAGTTCTTTAGCGCTCATTACTTTTGCAAATTTTATTGAATATTGCTTTAAATCATGTAGAAAGCGATCCGTATTAATAGATTTTCCTAAATTTCTTTATTTTTCAATCTATTTAAAATAATATTCTGTTATAAACTCATTATAAAAATCGTATCCAGTTAAATTCTGTTTTTTTAAAGCATAGCATAGTATTTAAAATAATTCTTCATTTTGAATTTCTAATGACTTAATTGCTTTATATAAAAAACTTTCAGGCTAGATCACTTTATTGTTATAGTCATCTGTTTCAAAAGCTTTTAAAAGTTTAATATATATATCATTTATATTTGAGGATATTTAAAAGTCTTTAGGAATCTAATTTTGTTCAATCTTATCCCAAATAAATGTTGCTTCTTACTTGTAATCAATTTAATCCAAAAGCATCTCAATGTCTTTTAAATTAAGTTAATTTATCTAATTATTAAATTATGTTTTTTAAAGGATATCACTTTATTTTAATAGTTTATTTTATTATTATTAGTAAATTTTGATTAAAGATTTACTATTTAAAAGCTCCTTCAACATTAGAGAGCAGTTGTTTATAAAAGTTTATCTTAAATTAATAATCTCTGTTGCTTTTACTATCATCAAAGGCAAAACCTATACAATTATTTCCATCATATAAGGAGTTTCAACTAATTTATCTAAATTAACCATCTTCATCATATTCTCATAATTATAAACGCTCCAAAGCTTCTATAAGTTAATGTTTAGACTTCTTATAGCTTCTATCTTTATAAAAGTAAAAAGTTGATCATTTTACAATAACTCTAAAATTATATCAATCTGCTTTTAATTTAGGAGGGATTCTGATTTCAATGATAAATTTTATTTCAACAATTAAAATTATAATTTTTCCCAAAATAATTCAAATTTCTAGATATCAATTGACATTTAACCTTAATTATGTGATTACCATTCATAAATTTCAAAAATTAGCAATTTAATACTTAAAAGTGTAAATTTTTTTAAATATTCCTTTTGTTGAATTTCATCAAATTTCTATAGTGTTATTTCTTTTAGCTTTTATTTATTCTCGCTTGAAAACCAATCGATATAATTATGTATACTAATAAAAATCTCACTTCTTGTTGTGAAAATAACAAGCGGATTTGACCAATTTTAATAAAGCTTATTAGAAATATATAAATTTTTTTAAATATTCTCTAATTTCATTTCATCATAACTGTCCATAATAAATAAAAGCCTAAACTCTTTTTTTTCCAACATTTCCTTACACTCTTTTAATTGAAGACTATCGAAACCATACTCATCTTAATGAAGTGCTTCTTCTACAGCTTAATAAATAGGATTTTTTAAAGAAGGTAAAGAAATATAAATTGGTACCAAAACTTTATTTCGAATTTTGATATTTTAATTATGTAATTTCCAGATAAATTCTTCTATTTTTTTAGCTGTTGTACTTTTTCCTGATCCAGCAACTCCATGTATTAATAATACCGTCTTATCATCTAAAATAAACTCATTTACTTACGCTTCTCTATCATCATATTAATCTAAATTTATTAAATTTAATCCATTCTTGTCAGCTTTTAATGGAATATAAATTGATTTGACATTTTTTACTGCAGCCTCTTTTAGTACTTTCCATTTTCTAATTTCTAATAGTTATTCTACTGATTTTCCTCTAAGAAATTTTAAATCATGATCTATACTATTTAGCTGTTCTTTCATTTATTTTATTTTCTCTTCTACTCTTGATAAGCCCTTTTGGATATGAATTACAAATTCAGTAGCTAAATTAAGCTATTTACCTAATTAATTGATATTCTAAATATATTCATTCAATTGTTCAGTTGTATCATCTAATTCTTAAAGTTTTTAATCTCTTTTGTTTGGATTAACTTCATGAGAAATATAATCTTACAAGTCATCAATTTTTCTAAGCATTTATTACATCTCGTTTGCTATTCTATCGTTCTAAGTTTTCCAATCTTTATTTAATATAAGCATTTACATTTTTAGTAAGTTTTGGTTTTTTAATAAATTTCTAATTCTTTAATCTTTTTCTTAAGCCCAAAGTTTAATAAGAGATTTTTAGCAGTATGTAAAGATCTCATCATTAAAACTATTTGAAGAAACTTAAATTATTGTAAACACTAATCCTTATTTAATCTTCCATTCATCATTATTCTTAAAATCTTTATATTTTTATTTTAAGGAGTCTAATAATCCTAATTAATCTTTCGCTTCATACTCTTAATTATGGTTAAAATATATTTTTGATATTTATTGAATCAGAATATCTTATTCAATTTATATTACTTATGATTAGCAACTTTTCTTAATGAGATTTTCTCTAAGACAAATTTTTAATTTATGAAGAAAATCATTAATATTTATTTTATTAAAATCTTTTTTTTAAATACCTTCTTCATTTTTCTATTGTTCTTATTATAAAATTATTGATAGTCTTTCGAAATAATTTTTTAAATTTTCATTTTAATTTTACTTCAAGTCAGCAGTTGTCCATTATTACTCTTCAAAATTAGTAATTAATGTCTAAAAATAAGAATTTAAGTGTTATTTGATTTTTTCTTTAGTTTCTTTTTTCTAATTCTCAATAACACTATTTTAATCTATAAAACTTTGTATCACTTAGAGTAATTGAAAAAGAAACTATTTCTCTTCTTTTATTTTAATTTATAAAAGTTTTAAAACGTTAATAAAAATTTAAGAGATTATTCCAAAACCTTCTGAATTTCTTACATCTATGACTTCGTTTTAATCATTAGAAACTTAATAAGATAATTCATGTTCTAATTTTTTTTGGTATTCCTAATTCAATCCTTCAAATTAAGTTGTTTCTTTTTTTTCCATTAATAATTATTCTTATTGATTTTTTTTTTCATCTTTCTAATCATTTTCATTTTGCTATTTTAATAAATTTCCCTAAGATTAATTCAAATATTCATAATATTCATTTAAAATATTCATTAATTATACTTACTCATCACTGATTGTTAATAAAAAAATAGATTTAATATCTTCATTGTCTATATATTAATTTAGGGAATTATTAAAAGCTTAAATAATTTTTTCTATTTAATTTATTAATTTTTGTAAATAAGAGATTCCAATTCTATCTTAATTTTAAACTTTTCTAAAATCACTTATTTGTTTGAGATCTTTCAACCAATTTTCATATTTTTCTTATTAAAGTTTCAATTTTTATTAATTAAACTTTTCTTAAATTGTTTTTTATTCTAATTTCATGAATTTTTATTCTTATATGATTATTTTTATTTTTTCAATTATTTCAATACAACTTTATTCTGCTAAAAATAATTCTCCAAATTCCTTCTCTATTAACTCTTAATCTAATCTTTCTGATTCAATCATTTACTCTTCTATGTTTAACTTAAACATGCTAAATTCTACTAATCCTTTTAATTTAGCAAGCTTTCTTTAGAGAATGATTTCTTCTATATTTTTGTTGTTCAACTCATTTGCAATTTCCTTATATATTTAACAATGAGTCGTATTCACTTACTTGGGATAATATTTAACTATATCCAATAGAAAATTATCTAGATTAATGCATTCTTTCATATCTTCTAATTCTTATTATGATTAAGCTTGTGTAAGAAAATCTTAAAATTGTTCCTAAAATATAATTAATTAAAGTTTTTGCTTTTACATTTCAAACCTTAGAATTTCTATATTTTCAAAATCTTTACTAAAAAATTATCCTTCAAAATTTGATTTTTCCTCTTCAGTAGAACAAATAATTTCAATTTCATATTTTATCGTCATAATCTTTTTCAGTATTAAAATACATTATTCAAATCCTTGTTTCATTATTTTGTTTTTCTCTTCAAAGTAATAAAAAAGATTTTCTTACATATACTTAAAATATATTATTAAATCCTAATTTTAAAATGAAAAAATATCAGATTTTTTTATTTATTTTTGTGAACTTTCAAGCAAATTTAAAAGGCTCAAAGCATCTTTTTTAAATTTTTCCAAATTTTAGAAAGTATTTGTTAAATCTAAAAATTTCTGATACACTTTATTAACCATTTGCTAATTTTTTTCTGATAAATTTGATTCCTATTTAATTTCTTTTAAAATAATTTCATTAATTAATTTGAGATTTATATCATTTTAGGCACTTTATTGCTTTTACCCAGTTCTTTCATCATTTCTTTGTTAAATTTCCTAAATTTACTCTTTTAATATTGATTCTGAAAATCTTATCAAATATATTAGTTAATAAAAGGAAATAATTTCTATCATCCTTTTATCGTAAGAATGTTAGTTCTTGTTATTAGTTTTATTCAAATTCAGAGAGTAAATTTTAATGATTTTGATGAAGTTTTAAAGGCATTCTTACAAATTACTAATAATGGCTTAAATTTATTGTTTAAAGGTCTTTTAGGTAATTGTTAAATTTGATATATTGTTATGAATAAAATTTTTTAAATTCTATTGCACTATTGAGAGTCTTTCATAATTTTGTGTAATGAAATTTAATAATTAATTTGATATTATTAGACTTAAAAAATTTTAAATTGTATTTGTTATTAAAAGATCTTGATTGTTTTCAATAGTTTTATTCCCTATGTTTAGTTTACTTTTTAAATAAGATTCAAATGTAATAGAAGTATTTAATTATTAAGAAAATAGTTAAGTACCCATTAAGTATTCTTTGAATAAAAGAAAGTTTTCCCAACCTAGAAAATATTCTCGCAGTATTAATTTATCAGTTTCTATGGATTTTTCGTTTTAAATTTAATTTAATAGAATAATAGCCTAATCATGACCGAAATTCGTCTTCATCAAAATTCTTTTTCTTTATAATTCTTTCCAAATAGAATTTACTAACTCCCCTTCATGATATTAAAATTTCTTTGATAGATTATCTAAACTTTTTTTATTTATTTAAGGATTATAAACTAAAAAATTACCTATCATTTGAATCCAAGAATAATGATCATTCCAATTGTTTGAACCTTTTACTAATTTTTCATACATTGCTTCTAATTATGAAATGATTACTACTAAATTTTGTTCTTTATTACTTCTAAAGTAATTTATTAATTCCCATTATAACATATCTAATTAATAGTAAACTTCATATTATTTTCTTTTCTAATTTAAATTATACATTTTTATAAATAAGCTGGCTCCTTAAAGCAGAGATTAAAGTAGATTAGAATCAATACTTGTAGTAATTATAGAGTGAATTATTCCTTTTAAACATCCTTTTAAAATTTCTTTTTTCTCATTATTATTATTTGGAGCCATCTCAAATGAGGCTTTGGTTAAAAAAAGATAATGTTCCAACTAATTTTGGATTAAATCATTCTTCTCTATTTCAATCTATTATTTCATATCATCACAAATTTCTAGAAATTCATGTTAAGTAACAAATTTCATAAACCTCTATTCGTTCAGAATATGAAAGCTAAATATTACTTTTGATAAGGAAGAAGTTATCTATAAGATATACAAGCATTTAAAGGGATCTGTTTTTATGAAGATAAGACAACTAATTAGCAATTATTTGATCCCTTCTAGAATTAAGTCATATGCTCTTTCTACACTTTAGACATTTTTAATAAGATTATAAATTGTTTCTTCTTGAAATATAAACCATTATACAGCTATCATTATATCTTATGATTCTTATTACCCTGCAGCAACAGAAGCCTTTGAGCATATTATTTTAACATAGTAATTGAATTTTTAGAAAAAAATTTATACATCCGTATCATCTATAATTAAGCTTAAAGACTTATTATGATTAATTCTATAATTTACGCAACCACCTCCTCTTAAAATGGTTTTTGTTATTTTGATTTGACTTATCATTTGAAATTTTTAAATAATAAATCCTAAACTATTTATAATTTATAACTGATTGATTAGAATCTCTACATAGGACTAACATCTAATTAAAATATTTGATAATCCTGTGTACATTCATTTGCTATATTATTTTAAAGAAAAATTATTGTTTATAATTTTTTAACAATTCTTTTAGATATATTTAAAATTATTAAATAAAAAATATTTGTGCTGATGGTTTCTTTATATATTTAAAACTTGTTGGAATGTCTAAATCATTAACGTTAGTTTGATATACATAGTGATTTTATATACGAATCTAAATATATTTTAATTTTAATAAACAAATATTTTGAAGTCTATTTGTAAATATCAATCGACTTCTATTTATTACTTGGTCATCTATGGGGCATATTAGATCTAGTCTAATCTAATTGCTAACATAAAGGATGGATTTAATAGGATTGATAACTATTTAAAACATATCATGAAAAAATATCAGAAAAAGTTACTAACCTTAAATTTTATATAATCCACAACTGATATTTAGAATGAATTAATAGGATTATCAATAATTTGATGGTTTTTGTATTTGAATGTGTCTTCAAAAATGAGAAGAGTTAGAGGAAAGTGTAAGGGTCATATTAATTTTCAACACCAAAATGAAATAAGAGTAAGTTAATTCATTGTAAGCAGATTAAAATTAATTATCATTTTTTCCTAAATTACTTTTGTAAATATTTATTTATATTTTAGATTTATGATTTTCAAATTATAAAAAACTGCTATTATCAGGAAAAATTAGTTATATATAATCAATCCGCAATTATCTATTTTAATTTATGAGATTTCATTATAACATCTTTATTAAGAATAAAATTTAGCAATTTTAATAAATTCATTTAAATTTTTATTATATAATAAAATATTTACTTTTTTTTTTGTGATCTGTTTTTTAGATCTTTTGGGGAAATTCAGGGAGACTCCTTTGTAGAAAAGAGCTTATATTATTTTATGAAAAGTAACCATCTATAAATTATTAATATATTTTGATTATGTTATAAAAATGCGATGAACTTAATTAATAATATGAATCCAATCGTTTTAGCTTAAGATTAACAATATCAAATTGAATAATGATAATATTAAATTTTAAATTAATCTTTTTGATATGGTTTTATATTATAGTTTTACAGATGAATTTAATGACTTTTATTAGGAATGAAAAATATCATCCATTTTCAAATAAATTTATTTAACAATATTTTTGATAATTCAAAAGAATTTAGTGTTATTTCTCTATTTTTTAGTAATTAAAAAATGGAATGCATGAATTTATGTTTTTAAAAGGAAAGCTCAAATGAAAAATAATTTTATTAAAATTTAAATATATTTTTATTGTTTATTTTTATTTTAGTTATTTAGTGAAATTAAATTCTTATACTTTTTTTTTCAAAATCGAATTTTTAAACTTTAGGATAATAATTCTAAATTAAAAAGAGAAAAAAGTCAAGCTGAATTTATTTATAATTAGGATAATAATTTTACTAAATAAAAAAATAAAGTATATGTATGATAATTCATATTATGAATCAATATTATTCAATAATTTCTCCTGCTTTTTCTTGATTCATAATCTTATATAATTTAGTCAGCAGTTTTTCTTCCTTTTGACTAATTTAAACTTGAATTGGTTGAATATACCTTTTCATTAGTAGTCTATCTAGGATATTATGATTCAACAATGTTAGTTCCAAAAATTTCACTAAATTGAATAATTTATTAAATACTGTTTTTAACTTTTAGTTTCAGAGATATAATCTTGTCTTTTAGGTATGATTTCTTATTCATAAGTTGTTTTTTATTTAAAATCTAAAACTGGTCTTTATAAATTGCTTCTTCTAGTAATAGTAGTTTAAGTAATAAATTCTTATTATTATTAATTATAGTTAGTAGTATTTATTCCAACAAGTTAATCAGCAATTTTTTATTCTTCAGCTGATAATCTTTAATTAGAATAAGGATTAATAACTGGTTGACTTTTAGTAAGGGTTGAATTGTATTATAGATTAGGTTTAGCAGTTTATGCATTATTCCAATAAAAGTTATTAGTTCCAGTAGTTTCAATTTTAACTTCTTATTATTTATTTGACCAATAATAATCAGCTTTTGATCTAAAGAATTTAATAAATTGATTACTCTAAGTGTTGTTGATTTTCAATTTCATCAGTAGCATAGATTTCAAATTATTAATACTCTGGTTCAGCATTAGCAATTTTATGATCTTCAATTTGTTCCTCAATGGCTGGAGGTATTATACCCCAAACTTCTATCACAGCAATCTAAAATGGTTTTAAATTAAAACTTTTAATTTTTTAATATGTCTATGAACAAGATCACCATTTTCATAACTTAAGTCTTCAGACGAACAAGTAGATTTATTTAAATCTTTATCAATCCAAATTCTAAATTTATTTTCATCTAATCCAAAACCGATACCCTAAGGTTTGGAAATATCTTTGGTATTAAGATAACAAAAGTTCTTTTTGGCAGTTCTATCTTTCTTTGGTTAATATACAACAAAATATGGATATAAAGAAAATATACAATCTTTATTATCACCTTAAGGTAATGCAGTATCAAACCATCTTTAATTAGATATAGCACCAAATGTATATGTTTTTTAGATATTACTTTTATCATGGANATAATAATTCTAAATTAAAAAGAGAAAAAAGTCAAGCTGAATTTATTTATAATTAGGATAATAATTTTACTAAATAAAAAAATAAAGTATATGTATGATAATTCATATTATGAATCAATATTATTCAATAATTTCTCCTGCTTTTTCTTGATTCATAATCTTATATAATTTAGTCAGCAGTTTTTCTTCCTTTTGACTAATTTAAACTTGAATTGGTTGAATATACCTTTTCATTAGTAGTCTATCTAGGATATTATGATTCAACAATGTTAGTTCCAAAAATTTCACTAAATTGAATAATTTATTAAATACTGTTTTTAACTTTTAGTTTCAGAGATATAATCTTGTCTTTTAGGTATGATTTCTTATTCATAAGTTGTTTTTTATTTAAAATCTAAAACTGGTCTTTATAAATTGCTTCTTCTAGTAATAGTAGTTTAAGTAATAAATTCTTATTATTATTAATTATAGTTAGTAGTATTTATTCCAACAAGTTAATCAGCAATTTTTTATTCTTCAGCTGATAATCTTTAATTAGAATAAGGATTAATAACTGGTTGACTTTTAGTAAGGGTTGAATTGTATTATAGATTAGGTTTAGCAGTTTATGCATTATTCCAATAAAAGTTATTAGTTCCAGTAGTTTCAATTTTAACTTCTTATTATTTATTTGACCAATAATAATCAGCTTTTGATCTAAAGAATTTAATAAATTGATTACTCTAAGTGTTGTTGATTTTCAATTTCATCAGTAGCATAGATTTCAAATTATTAATACTCTGGTTCAGCATTAGCAATTTTATGATCTTCAATTTGTTCCTCAATGGCTGGAGGTATTATACCCCAAACTTCTATCACAGCAATCTAAAATGGTTTTAAATTAAAACTTTTAATTTTTTAATATGTCTATGAACAAGATCACCATTTTCATAACTTAAGTCTTCAGACGAACAAGTAGATTTATTTAAATCTTTATCAATCCAAATTCTAAATTTATTTTCATCTAATCCAAAACCGATACCCTAAGGTTTGGAAATATCTTTGGTATTAAGATAACAAAAGTTCTTTTTGGCAGTTCTATCTTTCTTTGGTTAATATACAACAAAATATGGATATAAAGAAAATATACAATCTTTATTATCACCTTAAGGTAATGCAGTATCAAACCATCTTTAATTAGATATAGCACCAAATGTATATGTTTTTTAGATATTACTTTTATCATGGAGTGCTTCATATATTTCCTCATGTTGTAATAATATTAATGTTGGTAATCCAGACTAAATAATATTATTTACCATTTATTTGAATCCTCCATTGTGAACTAGATTGGAATATAAAAGTTCTAGTTTTATGGCCCCTTTTAATTTAGTTTCATGAGCACTAAGCTAAAGTTAAAATATCAAATCTTCATTTAATAAATATGATGTTGTATTCATTTAAGGTATTTCAAGAGACTTTTCTAATAAGAAGAATTTAGTTTTCATATATTATTTGATTACTCCTGATAATCCCCCAAGACGAATTCTCAATTGTTTTATCAATTCAAACCAATCTATAATTCCATTTTCTGATTTAAATAATGAATCCAAAAATGCTCTGCTAGCTTTTTCATCTATATTCTAAAAATTATCTCCATGCAATCTTATTTTTAAAATATCATTAATTATGGTAATAGCATCTAGATATGTAATTTTGAAAGAATGTAATTCTTCTTTATTGTTAATATATTGACTTGATTTTAAGCTTATTAGTGAAAATAGTTCTATTTTATTTAAGTTTTTTAATTAATTGACAGATGAAGCATCTTTTATGAGAACCTCCACTATTCGTTATTAAATAATAATTACAAATGTAAAATAGCACATCTCTATGTATATATTTTTCTTTTTAACCATAAACCTCTAGAAAGCGAAAGAACTTTCTACCAAAATCAGCATTCTCAACGAAGATTTCTTCAAAGCTTTACTATGATAGGTGTCTGTTTTTGCGAGTGCTACAATATTATAATAATGATACTCTGTTTATAAATCACAATAATGATCAAAAACTTGATTAAGCTTTTTTAATTCTTGAGCATCAAAAAGAGTATGTTAAGGTTTTCTCTCTTAAACACAATTTCCCATTAAAATATCTAAAGTTTAAATTAAATTATTTAAAATGTTCTGGGGTACTCAAGTCACACAAGGATAACCATATAAATTAACAGCAGATGAAGCCACAGTTATTCATGTCTCAAATGTAGTTCTAGCTGAAGGTGAAAGCAAAGTTTAAATCTATGCAAAAGTAAAGGGAAAAGAATTTGTACTTGCCAACCTTGAAAAAAATAAGGTATGGTAATATATTAATAGTTAGTTGGAATAAGCCTTTTTGGATTTATACTTTAGAGTTGATTAACAAGTTGAATTTGGAGTCAAAGGAAAAGGATAAGTTCATTTATCAGGGTACATTGAACCAGATGAAGAAGAATTGGTTATTATTATAATAATCTAATTAGAATGATGATTTGGATTTAGAAGATGAGGAAAGTGAGGAAGTCGAGGAACAAAAACCAAAGAAACCAGAACCACCTAAATAAAGTGAATAAGTAAAGTAATAAACAAAAGAACAATAAAAACCATAAACATAAACTTAATAATAATAAAAACCATAAGCATAATAATAATAAAAACCATAGGCTTAATAATAATAAAAACCATAATCTGAATAATAATAAAAAGCAAAACCTCAAGCTGTTCCTCAGAAACCATAATAATAATAATAGCCAAAAAAGGCAGATGAAGATTGGAATGATGATGAAGATGAAGAAGAAGAAGAAGAACTTATTGATGAAAGTGATGTTGATGATGAAGACTTAGAAGGAGAAGCTGATTTAGATGATGATGAAGAAGGTTTAGATGATGATGAAGATGAACCTTAATGTATAATATTCATCTATTAAATTTTTAGAAAATTAAAAATTTGTAAAAGGTAATTAAGGATAACAAGTTAAACCATAATAATAAAAGTAACAATAGAAACCATAACACTAACAATAATAAAATAAATAATAACATCAAGGAAACTAATAATTTAAATAAGGATAGAAACCATTCTAATAATAATAGTAAAGACAAGGATAATAACATCATTAAAATAAAGGAGGTAACTAAAATTATTAGAAAAATTTTAAGAAAAATAATAATTTCAATAATAATAACAAAAACAACTTTAACAAAAAAAATAACAACAGAGGTGGATTCAAAGGAGGTAGATAATGAGTATCTAAATATATATGTACATTAAAATTAAAATAATAATGATATATAAAATTTTAATATTAATGATTTCAATACTAGCTAATAAAATGAAAATCCATTTCAATAGGTATTCCCTTATTATTTTGACAACCTCCTGTTAAAATGTGTGTAAGCTCTAAAAAAAATTTGAAAAATAGTCTTACGCTTTTAAATTATGGTCCAAGTTATCTCCAAAAACTTCTTTAAGTATTTCATATGTTAATTCGATTTCTATTTCAGTGTCCTTTACCCCATCGTGATAATTAAATATCAAATCTCCAATTGAGACATCTAATATACCATTTCTAAAATAATAATCTTAAACTCGCCTAGGGGAAAAGTATAATTCATTTATCTTTATGCAATCATCTTATAAATTTTCGCCTGATAAGGCGCAGTATTTGGGTGAAGCATAAACGATTTTAGGAATCGGTATTGTGATTGGGGTTGGGTTTGTTATAGTTTAGGATTTTATCTAACAGAGCGCTTATATATGGTCGAAAACTTTTTCAGAGTTATCTTCTTTAGGATCATTAATGAATGCAACGATATCTTAAATCCTCTCTTAAGGGCTTATAAACTTTGTAGGTTGAGGGTTCATATGATTGTGATTAATGTTTTTATTTTTATTATTTCTATTAAAGTGGAAAAAATGATTTTCTCTTAAATAGCATAAAATTATAATTAATAATAGAAATCATAAATCTTATATTTATTAACATAGATATATATCATCCTGGCTATTTTAATTGCATCTTATTCATTTTTTAAATAATATTATCTTACAATAATTTTTTCTTAATTATCTTAAATTATATAAATTAAATAAGAGATAAGAATACTCTTCATAAGCTAATGTTCAAAAAAACTAATTTCGTTTTATTTAAATCTTTTCTTTAATATATTATCTAAGATTCAAATTTTATATTATTATCTAATCATGAAAATGAAAATTTGCTATAATTATTAATATAATTTACTTAAGCTAAATTTTGAAAAAGTTCAAGATATTAGTTGTTTATTATATTCAATTCGAAAAACAAAAAATATTTGATAATTTTGAAAATCGTTTAGATTCACAAAAAAAATGATATATATATGTACATATATTATATAATATATGATTAAAAATTTATATATTATTATTATTAAATAAAAAATGGAGTAGCCGAGCTTCGCTCTCGGCGCCTCGTGAATGCAAATCACGCGCTCTACTAAATGAGCTACTACCCCAACTTATAAATAATAATAATAATTGTCTAATATACATCAAAGAAAATCTCTGTATGATAGATAGAAGTTCTAAAGTGATTCTAATTCAATTACATTTGGCACTTAATCTCAGAAAAACTATCTCTACATTATTTAAATTTAATTTAGATCAGAAAAAAAAAAAAGATCATTTAATTTTATTAAATAATCTTGATACTCAAATTAACAAAATCATAAATAGGTAAAAAGGATATCTTATAATAGAAAAATATTTAAACAGAGCACAGTCAATTTTCAAATAAAATTGAAGAAATAAGGGAAAATAATATTCAAAAAGAACATGAAAAAGTATAATAATCATTCATTAAAGTCCAAAATTCTAAATAAATTTAGTTAAGAATCTTTTTAGATTAAGAATAAATTAGATTCTCTAAAATTATAATCCTTAAAAGAAGGAAAGATCAATTATAAAATAAATAAATGTGAATGATTTTATTTCTTTGGATATCAGCTATAAATAAAAATAGAAAAGACAATTGAATTTCGATTAACAAATTGTAAAACCTACCATAACTGATTATAAATAATTATCAAGTATGTAAATAAATATATTGAATAAAAAAATAAAATAAGTTCTTTTTTAGATTTTTTATTCTAAAAACTCCATAAATTTAAATAATTATATATTAGATCAATCAATAAAATACCAAGCATTTATACTTATAATAAATAAACTAAATAAAATACAAGTTAACTTAAATTGATGAAAAATAAGTTTCATTTTACTTTAATAATTATCATAAACTCAATTGAGTCAAGGAAATTATTTAAAATCAATAAATTATGTTCAGAAAAATTAAAATGGTTAAAATTATTTTAGAATATCCAGAAAAAATAACTGAAAAATCAAAGTAATTATTTATATTTCTAATTCATAATTTCAATTAAATTCAAAAGTCAATTTGGAGTTTTACCGACTCATACTTGTAGATGTTACAAAAAAGGAAGATTAACTTCTTGCATTAAATATGTTAATAGAAAAACTGTTTTCTTTTGAATTTATTTACTTATTTTAATCATTAGAACAAAAATTTATTAAAGGTTTCGATTTTCATTATGCAAGATAACAAAGATGTTATTGTAAAAAAAAAACAGATTATTTCTCTCTTAAATAAACAGGAATTGTAATTAAATGTGAATCAAGTTACTTCTCTATAATTTAAAGACAATTATAATTATAATTAATATTAAATTAAATATAAATGGATATTTTTAAGGATTTATTTGCTACATAGGGATTCTAACTATGCGTAAAGGCTGTTTAAGATGTTCAACCAAATGGCGATCAAGAAGCTTTATTCAAGTAATGTTAATAAAACTATGCAAATGCATACAAAGTGGTTGGATAGGAATTTTTAAGATTCTTTAATAATCAGCCATCCAAAGATAGATATGGTCCTCCAGAAGATATCTGATTATTATAATATCACCACAAAACATTATTTTATATAAAATATAAAAAAATGAAGAAGATGTTCAAAAAAATTATTTTTTTTAGTACAATTAAAGGAGATATAAGAAATTTTTTTTAAAATTAGAAAAATAGGAAAGCGATTAATAATTTCTTGTCTAAAGTTAGTAATTATTCTTTAACAATGTACTTGGAACTATGAAACACATTTTAGCAGCAGATTACATATGGTATGAAAGGATAATTAAGTTATAAAATATAGAAGTTCCATATTTGATTAAAGGAAAGAAATAAACAAAAGATGTAAAATTTTTCAGTATGTGTAATGATGTGATATTTGTAAGCTGCAATTCAATTAATAGTTAACAAAATTCTTAATCTTGGATATTAACTAAGTATACTTATAACTTATAGAAATATATAATGATGTCTATGGGATAATTAACAGCTGATTATACATAGTATTATGGAAAAAAAGATAGATTACTTTTCGATTGATTATATTAATTTAAATGAAAATTGCAATTAAGAATCATAAATTTGATTAAAAAAATCACTTAATGTAGAGTAACATATGAAAAGAAACAAATAGTTTGATTTCATAATATTTGGTTTTATAAAGAATAAGTATGCATTTATTTAAGTCAATTATGTTAAGATAACAATTCAGGAAGGTTTGAAACAAATATTTAACTTATATTATGAATTGTAGCATTTTATAAATACAAATTCAAATATTAGGGAAGATAAAAATTACTAAACATAGTAATTGAAGTAAGTTTAAATTAAACGTAATTAGAATCAATATCCACTTACATACTATATTATAGATTCTTCATCTTCATATTCATCCTAATAACTATATTTCCAATAGCTACAACCCTCATCTTTGTTGATTTTTTATCTTTGATCTGAATTCTTTTTAATTGATACTTAAAAAAAAAATATAGGTTTTCTTATTTCCTTCTCTTCCTTTTGATTTTATGTAGATTTAATAGGTGGTATTGATTAAGAATAATGCAAATCATTTTTTAATTTTGTGATAATAATTTTTGAAGCTTAGATTTTTTTAGAAACATAACAAGGTTCAAATTATTAATTTTTGACAATCCTCTATAAATCATTTTCCTGTTAAAAGAATCTACTAGAAAGCATTTATTGCTGTTTTATTTTTAATTCTATATCTTGAATCCTATATTTTAATTTTTTATCTTGCATCTGCTTGGGTTTTTTAGGTATTGCTTTAATTCCTTTTACTTATGCAAAATATTCATTAAAATAGATATTATTTGGAGATTAAGATTTTGTTTAGTTTAAATTTGGTAAATGAAATCTATTGCTATCTTAGTAAATATTTGTGATAACCATAGTTGGCTTGCTTTAGAAACTTGAATTTTAATCTTTCATTTAATTAAATAATTTAAGCTTTATGTTCAATATAATATATACTTTCTCATCATTAATTAACTTCAATAGGCTATATAGTACATCATATTATGATATAGATTATTCAGTAATTATATATTAAAAATTTTCCATTTATAATTGATATTCATAAAAAATTTATTTTGATTTCTAAACTTTTAAATAAATAATATAACAATAATTATTTGATATTATTAAAAATATTTTGTTAAATATTAATTTTCTTACAGATTTTACTTACTTATTAACTATAATATTATTTTATTAGATTATCATCTAATCTTACACACACAAATTATGATTTTATTTGAAGTTAAAATTATTATTAAAATAGATTTTTTATAAATTTTTGTTTGATCAAATAAATTTTGATGAGATTAAATTATTCTATTTTACTATTAAAAAAGAAAGAAATACTCTTACAAAAATACTAATATTTTATTGAAGATGATAGAATCGATAAGTACTGAAAAGTATTCTACATATTATGGGTATTGATAATAATAATAGAGAAATTACATAGTATGAATAAAATGAATTGCAAAAAATATTATGTGTCATAAAAGATAAATTCATAGTCTTGAAAATTAAATTAGTAATATTTAAAAGGAAGAAGGAGCTTTATAAAATGAAAATGATGCAATATTTTATCAAAGAAAAATAGTAAATCTTAAGGGATTAATTCCTTTAAATTTCTCCTGAAAATTTTCAATTTGCTGATGATTATTTTATTAAGTTATATCACATTTTGAAAACTTATCTTTCTAGAAAATAAAAAGCAAGAATAGATATACCTATTTATATTAAAAAGAATAAATAATAAATTTAACAATTGAAAGTTTTTTTATAAACAATCTAAAATAAAACTGCAGCTTTAAAATATGAATATATTGTTTAGATCGTGTATTTGTTGCATAAAAAAATTATAGGAAAAACAAAATGAATAAGTAATTTTTTTCTTATGTTTAGTTTTGCATTTATCATTCTGACCAACTTAATTATTTTTCTTGTAGAACTTGGGAAGCAGATGAATATTTTACATGCTTTTATCAATGTGGAGATTGAAATTCTGGTTGGAAAATAGTTTGCAGAAATCATTTTTGATTTTATAATCAGCAGTTTCTAGANGCTTTAGAAACTTGAATTTTAATCTTTCATTTAATTAAATAATTTAAGCTTTATGTTCAATATAATATATACTTTCTCATCATTAATTAACTTCAATAGGCTATATAGTACATCATATTATGATATAGATTATTCAGTAATTATATATTAAAAATTTTCCATTTATAATTGATATTCATAAAAAATTTATTTTGATTTCTAAACTTTTAAATAAATAATATAACAATAATTATTTGATATTATTAAAAATATTTTGTTAAATATTAATTTTCTTACAGATTTTACTTACTTATTAACTATAATATTATTTTATTAGATTATCATCTAATCTTACACACACAAATTATGATTTTATTTGAAGTTAAAATTATTATTAAAATAGATTTTTTATAAATTTTTGTTTGATCAAATAAATTTTGATGAGATTAAATTATTCTATTTTACTATTAAAAAAGAAAGAAATACTCTTACAAAAATACTAATATTTTATTGAAGATGATAGAATCGATAAGTACTGAAAAGTATTCTACATATTATGGGTATTGATAATAATAATAGAGAAATTACATAGTATGAATAAAATGAATTGCAAAAAATATTATGTGTCATAAAAGATAAATTCATAGTCTTGAAAATTAAATTAGTAATATTTAAAAGGAAGAAGGAGCTTTATAAAATGAAAATGATGCAATATTTTATCAAAGAAAAATAGTAAATCTTAAGGGATTAATTCCTTTAAATTTCTCCTGAAAATTTTCAATTTGCTGATGATTATTTTATTAAGTTATATCACATTTTGAAAACTTATCTTTCTAGAAAATAAAAAGCAAGAATAGATATACCTATTTATATTAAAAAGAATAAATAATAAATTTAACAATTGAAAGTTTTTTTATAAACAATCTAAAATAAAACTGCAGCTTTAAAATATGAATATATTGTTTAGATCGTGTATTTGTTGCATAAAAAAATTATAGGAAAAACAAAATGAATAAGTAATTTTTTTCTTATGTTTAGTTTTGCATTTATCATTCTGACCAACTTAATTATTTTTCTTGTAGAACTTGGGAAGCAGATGAATATTTTACATGCTTTTATCAATGTGGAGATTGAAATTCTGGTTGGAAAATAGTTTGCAGAAATCATTTTTGATTTTATAATCAGCAGTTTCTAGATTATCTAAAGGATGTCAGTATTCTCTAAAATTTACAATTATTGTCTGGTCTTTGAATAGTAAAAAAATAAAATTTTTTATTACATGAAATATGTAATAGAAAATCATGTATTTACAGTTATAGGCCACTGTTTGTTATTTCTAATTTTTAAGATTTAATTTATAATAGTAAAATACAATCAAAAGTAAATTTTTGAACTGAGTAATTAAAGTAAATTTATGTTTATTTGTTTTTAATTTAATAATGATATTAATTATAAATTATATCATTCTTATTTGCTAACATCACTTTTTTTAAGTTCAAACTCTTCCAAGCCAGAAAACAAATCTATTTAAAAATCATAAATTGATTTTTCTTTCATTTTAAAGAGTTGCGAAACAACTAATTTAATATGAGCATTTTATAAGAACATAAAGAAAATAAGAAATCCTAAGCAACTTAATATGGTTTTGAAAACTTAAAATAATGTTGGATCTTTAGTTTCAATAGTAAAATATTATAAAAGAAACAAAAACCCTGGAACTGTGCAAGTAAAGATAAAAAAATAAGGTACTAAACATAATGCTTTAATAGCGTTGATGTGATTTTCATGTCCTCTTAAATTTAGATTAAATATATACTTAAAAATTTATTTATTCATTCTCATTACTTATAATTTTTTACTTATACTTCTTAAATCATTCAATTGTATTAATGATTAAATAATAACTGGTAAAAAAAAACAAAGTAAACTTAATGTAATAATTCTTCTCTAAATTTTTTTTTAAGTGGATTAAGTGTAATCAGTTTATTGTAAACTTGTCTAATTACAAAAATTGGTTTAGGTTAGTGTAAAGTTATATTATAACCAACAGACATTATTATATAAACCATATATAGAATCATTAGAAGTTTAATCATTCTCTTGTACACTAGATAATAATTATGGTAAAATTGTACAAATAATTGGGAAAAAAAATGCAAATGCTATCAAATTTAACTAAATATATTGAAAATTTACATGAACTGATACTTATTCTTATTTTCTAAATATAATAGCTTCTTTTGCAATTTTGATTAAAACAGTTTACCAACTTACAACATTCATTATTCCAAACATAGATATATAAGAAGTGATTTAACAAATAGCTTTTTCTAATATTTATTATCCTTATCCTGTACTGCAACATGTTTAATACACATAATAAAAAACGCTATAAATAAAATCTAATAAAGTAAATAGACTTGTTCCCAATAAAATATAGAGTTAAACAGTATATGAAAATAATTTGAGATTATCTGTTTTGTAATAGATAAATATCATGGCCAAACAACATAATAAAGCAGCAGAAGATAAAGACAGTTCAATTAATGGGTATATATTATTATCTTAGCTCTGCATTTTTTATAATATTGTAATATTAGACCTATATATTTTTTATTAAAAACAATATTTTCTTATATTCAATTTTATATCTCAATTTGTTAAAATACAATTATCATTTGTAAAAATAGTCTAATAGTTTTTCTTATGTAGGTCTAGTAAATCCTCCTCCTATTCTTTATTATAGTTTAAATTTTTAATCAGGAATATGAATATAACTAACATCTTAGTCTAATGACCATCGACTATAATTTAAATCTGATAATATTGATTTTACAGATTCTGTTCTTTCAGTTTACAACACAGGCAACATATTTTTACCACTTTTTCTTTAATTAAAAACTTATATTTTTTGGACAGCTTATCTATATTTTGAAAAATATTATGACTCATCCATTTGTTTCTTTGATGCTTTCACTTAGACTCTCTTATAAATCTTACTGAATTCCTTTATAAATTCAATTCTATTTTATTTTGCAATTTTCCCTTCTATATGATGAAATTCATCTGAAAGTTATAATTTAAGAGGACTCATACTTTTCTGATTTTCATAATAAACTTTATTAGCTTTTATCTTTTACTTTAATGTCAAAATACCATAATTAGATGTCATTTCTTCTGGAGTTGTGTTTAATAAAATTTTTTTACATCTAATTACTGATCCTCCTTTTACAGGAAATGATAAAGGTTTGAATATAGTTTCTTACTATTTGTTATTACATTTTTATCGATAAGATTTCATTTCATCATAAGAAGAAAATATCATATACTCTTTATTCGAATTAACGATATTGATGAGTTCATTTTATGCTTCCTTTAAATAATTATGCATACGAAGTCTATCTTCTAAATTTTGTTTATGTTCTTCCCCAAAACTAGTATCTTTTGATAATTTTTAGATATTTCCTAATCCTTTTATATTATTGACTTTTTTTGTTTTGATGTTTGGTTTTTCTAAAGATTATAAATTAATTGATTCTTATTACATAATCATTTTTATTAGTTGAATTAATTAGTTACCAATAAAATATAATTAATAAACAAATGAGAAAGAAGAAATAAAAAATAAAATAAAAATCAATGAAAATAATTTATTAATTCAAGATTAAATTAAAGGGAAACTTTAAGATAAATGAATTTTTTCCAAATTTTATAGATTGAATCCATTTTATAGATTGAATCCATTTTATTCCGTAAGAACTTCTACATTTTGATTAGCAATAGGAGTTGAAACTGACAAAGGTGTACAGACTTTAGATTATTCATCTAGATTAGAATTTTAATCACATGATTATATGATCGGTAAACTTATCTAAGATATAAATTTCTAAAATTTAAAAATATTAGAATACTTAATAGATTCTTTAACATATATTTTCTTGTGCTTCCTCTTCATAACTCTCAGATTGTTATAAAGAAATTTAATCTAAGAATTAACTAGACTCCTTCAACTCATGTAAATATGAATCAATATATTCATTTAGCTTTAAAGATAATTCTTCTATCTATGTTGACTAATTTAATTCATTCTTATTAAACTCATAGTTTTATTAAAGTTGTTCCATGTTCCTTGACAAAGGACTTTTGTCTAGTATTTTATCTGCTAATAGAAGCGGTTATGTTTTTGTTTCTTGTATTATTTAATGCTAAACATATAATTTATACTAACCTCTTAGTTATAATCATCTTATTTGGGATCCTTAGCTTTCAATGTAGTAAAACTAATTCTAATATTCATCTCTAAATGTTAATTTATTTAGCTCATTTGTGACATTATATTATATATTTAAAATAATATATTTTCTAATTGAATGTTACCTTTTTTGAGGATGATTTTCTAAGAAAATTATTTCTTTCTGAATGATTCTATTCTCATTATTAAAGAATTTCCCAGAATATTGTTGAATTTAAATGTCAAAAATGAATCAAATCAATTAAAAAAATGTAAAATGTTCAAAATATTTAATCCCAACATAGAATCTGAATTAATATTTTTGATTAATTCACCAAACGCAATAAGAAAAAATAAATAATTTTTTATAAGTTCATAAATTCAAGGCATAAGTAAATAATAATAAAAAATTACATATAATAATAAAGAAAATGCAGTTTTATATAATATAATTACATTTAATTTGTTTGAATATTTCATCGTTGAATTCATATGATGTTATTAGTTTAATTAAATATGAATAAAATAAAAATGTAAATCTCTCTATTCCTTACTTTATAGTAAACATAAATCTCATAATTAAAAAAAGATGAACTAGATTATGCAAAATTAAATGACTTTTTAGGTACCAACTACTATGATAAATGTAATATCTTTATTTAGATTTTAGCTATTCTGGTAATATAAGCCTAAGAGATGATGGATAATTAAAATTTCATTATCTTTTTTAACCAGCTATTGATTCTGCTATTAAGAAACCTTTGATATTATAATTGCTTAAACGATCGGAATGCTCTTTAATTATTTTTATAGCAGAATCTATAGAATTTGAAGAGAATCTGCATACATTGATAACATTTCTAAATTTATAAAATAATAATGTAGACTAATATGCTCAAAATAGAATCTTCAATATCTGTTGGATATTAAAAACATAATCTGATGAATCAAATGCTGTAGATAATGTAAATGCTTTAATTGAATATTTATTAGATTTCTAAATTTCAAAAATAAAAATCTACTTTGAAAGTGAATCATATGCAGGTATATGTGTATCAACTTTGGTTCAGGAAATAATAAATAATTTGAATAACCAGTTAATAGTGGAGTTTTTAACGATTTATTCATTGAATTTTAAATTATTAAATAAATATAAATGGATCTTAATTGGATTAATAAACTTTAATAGTAATCATATATATCTTCTAATAGAGTTGAATAAAATTAAATCATTTGAAGACCTTGGTGTATTTCTAGGTTGTTTTAAGAAAAATTGATAAAGATTAAAATGCAGTAAATGTTTTCGAAATTGATAGATTGACTTTTTTTAGCTTTAGAAATGTTGATCATGAAGTTCGTAATAATAAAAGATATGAATCCAAAATTGTTTTAGAATAATTCTTTAGATAAGAATATTTATGATATTCAAATTTATTTTTTTATATTTCTTATAAATAAACCTATTTATTAAAACTAATTTATATTAATAATTTATGATTTGTAAAAGCAAGCATTTTCTATTTAACACCGACTATAAATTATATCTCAGTTAAAAATAAGTTATTATTGGAAAGGTAAATGTTTAATTAAATTTAAAAAGAGTGAAGAGAATTTCAAGTATAGAATGCCTTTGAACCTTTCAACAATTATCAAATGGATTTTCAATAGTGATTTTACTTTTAATGGATTTTAGTTTTAATGGAAAAACTCTTGGAAAACTATCATAATGACACATGATCAAATTCTGATTCTCAAAGATTATTTGGATGGAAAAGTCACGTATTGTAATTTAGCCAAAATTTACAATATTATCCAATGTGAGAGAACTGGATATTCTAGTAAAGTAAATTTATTACTAAAAAATAGGTTCATTTGACTTATTGTTGTGCAAATCAAAAAAAGTATTATATGTAAATATTTCCAATTTCTGATTTAAATTCATAGGTATTTCTCTTTTATTAAGTAGGAATATATAAAATTAGTATAAATAATTAACTTAAATCATCCAAACATTCTTAAATATGAAGAATATTTTGTTGAAGATAAGAATTTGTATGTTGTAACAAGTATTTTAAATGGGAAAACGTTAAAAGAAAGATTAAGTAGTCAGTATAGAATGGAACCTTAAGAAATTATTGTCACTCTTAAAACTTTACTTAAGTTTATAAATGATATGAATAAGTTAGGATATGTTTTTAGAGATATTAATTCAACAAATATCTTTCTAAAAAATGACGGAAATATACTAATTATAGATTTTGAAACTGTTGTAAAAATTGAAGAAGCTTTTAGAACCAAAGCTGTTTCGAAAGAAAAAGATTTTTTACATGATTTTAAAGATTTGAGTAAAAGTAACGAAGAAGATTGGATAGAAATTGAAAAATTTTATTATGAACAACATGATGTTTTGATTTTAGGCTAATTATTAAAAGAAATGTATTATGAATTTCCATTTTAGGTTAACTAATAAAGTATAATAAACAAATTCTACAGAAAGGACAAGGTAGCTTACTATCACTAAGACTACAATTGTTAAAAGATCACCAAAATATTATATTTATTAACTTTTATAAAGAATGTTAGAACCAGATCCAAAAGTTAGAATTACAACTTAGAATGCCATTTATTTTTTAGAAGATATTGATTTTGGAGATGAAAGTTATGAAGATCTTCCTAATGATACATATGAAGATTAAAATTTTTAAGCTGTGAAATCAATCTCAATAAAGACATTCCTCGTTTGAGTACATAATCATTTTGATTTCTCAATTGATATTAGATTAAGTGTTTATCAATATATTTATTTCATTTTAGTCCTCTTTCGCTAACTCCTCTTGATAAAGAAATATCTCCAGGAATATTCAAAATTAGAGCCTTGATAATATATATGTTATTATTTACTTAAGGATTTTAAGGTTGCAATAATTCACTTTTTACAATCGGCTATATTTATGGTATATAGGAATTATTTCCCAATATTTCACTTTGTTTTTACTATCGAAATTTATTAGGTACATCCATACAATTATTTACTTGTGTATGATCTACATGACTAGGTTTCTGATTATGATTATGTGATGTGCCTTTTTTGGCTTTATCAATTTATTTAATCATGTACATTTATGTGTACTTTTCATCTATTTACTATAAATATGTTGCCGTTGGTACTATGTTTTTTGCTATTTTTTATTAAATTATATATACCTCCACCATTTTGTGAGCTATTCTATAATTTTTATGTTGAAAATGATGAGCTATGTAGATCTTGTGATTTAGAATTATCAGCAAGAAGAATGTTAAATTTGATGTCATTATTAGAATGTTTATTTGCCATTTATTTATATTATTAATATTGTACTAAACCATCATTTTCATGATCTATATAGATTTGGTCTTTTTGCTTTGAATACAGTTCTGAATTTTTTATGGCTTGCTCTTGGAACAGTCTTAACAATTGGGAATTTAATAGAATCTCCCTTTAATAAATAGTAAATTCTTATACTCTATATTAATTTGTTTTTCCTCTTTTGATATCAGCACTCTTAGTTAAAACTGATGTTCGAAGAATATGAATAGTTTGAGGTTATGCTCTATGATTTCCTGCCATTTCTTAATCTAAATAATAATAAACTTATCCCATTAGTACATAATTAAGATACTGCACCATTTAATGTTGTATCTCTAAATTCTTTATACATATTGTGAATAGTTGTTCTTGATTAATATTTTAGAACTATGCCGTATGTCTTTACATTTGTATCTCTTCTTTCAAATAATTCTTAAACTGCTAAAATCTAACCATGTGATGGTCTTAGTTTATTTAATCTTCTCAAATTCCACCTATATTGTAACTCTATATTTTATACCAAAATCTGCTTTTTGCTGCTACTGTATTTCTGGCAAAAATTCTCATGCTTATTACTTTTGGATTTGGATCTTCCTTTGATGGAAGCCTTCTTCCTGATACTAAGTATTATCTAATCTATTTCAAATTTATTTCTTCTTTACTTTCATTTATAAAGAATTGTCTTATGGGTCTTATGCTGAATTTTTAACCATTTCTTATATTTTAAAAAAAGATTTAATTTATCATACAATTTATCATCGCAATCAATAGAATTCTTTTAATATTAATTATTATTATACTATCACCTCTCATCCCACTTCAAACTTATCATAATAAATAAAACTAATATATTTTTTTAACTTATTACAGATTGCATAAATCATTTATTAATAATATCACTTTATAAAATTTGTTCTTCACTTCCTATTAATAAATTAAATGTATAAATTTTTAATACTTTTAATTTCTTTCTTGTGAATTTAAAATTCAAATTATACATTTCTAAATTTAAGTTATTATTTCTAAATATCAGTCTTTTTGGAATATTAATTTAAGAATGAAAAGTTTTATTGATAACATGTCTTTTATTAATATAAATAAATTATATTTCTTCTACATTTCTCAATATTTATCTGTTTGCGATTTAGTGTTTTTTTTCAAACATCAACAAGCATCTTCATTTTGGCTTGATTTATTTACGAAAAATTAATAAAATTTATTAAATTCACAAAGAGTAGATTCTCTTATTTAGCTCAGACAAATCTTTTATGAAAAAATAAATATTTGTAGATTAGTTATAAAACCCTTATCTTCAGGTTTGCTAAGAAGTGACATAAAGTGCCATAAAAAGTAAATTCATAATATTATTTCTCTTAATAAGGAATACTTAATAATTCTATATAGTTTCACTAAACTAGAATAGAAATAGAAACTTAAAAGGTTTAAAATAATAGAAGGGTGGAGATTTAAATGAAGAATAAAGAATAATGTAAATAAATAATCATATATTTTTTGTAGAACAAATTCATTCATTCTATTTCAATATCATCTAAACATATTTTGAAGAGATCAGACATTTAAAGTGTGGAAATAGGTTCTTTTTTTTCATTTAGACAGACTAGACTACCTCTAGATGAAAGTAGCAAGTTTTCAACAACCTTTGATAAATGAAGAAAATACTTCTTTTAAAGTTTGTTTCATATGAAATAGTTCTTTGTTACAAATAGAGAAGCCAGGATACTTAGATTTTTCAATTCTAATAAAATTCAATAAATCAATGGCTTATCTATGAAGCTAATCTTAATGTTGAGTCATACCATGTCATAGACTTGATATTTAAGAATGAATAAAAAATCTCTTCTATCAATCAATCCTAAATACTAATTATTAGCATCTACAATAGGAATAGCATTTCTTTTGAAAACATAAATTAATTAATAAAAGACACTAGAATAAGTTGAAAAATTTACTCATATACATTGGTATCAAATGATAGTTTATCATTTAATAGAAGTATTCTATCAGAAAAATAGCTGATTTCAAGTTCATGTTATTCTGATTGATGATTATTATTATCTTGATGGACTTCAAGTCTATGTGGTTTAGATGATAATTATAAATGGAAATATTAACTAAATCCTTTAACAAGAAATGCCAAAATATCTTTTTATTATAGAATGCCTACAATAACTCTAGATTCAGATTCAATAACTACAATTCTAGTTACACCCTACTTAAGTATTTTTTTCATGGCATCATTTAGATTATCAGCCATATCTGCTTTAATAAGATTACTTTAATGAAGATTTTCTCCATATGAATTAAACCAATCTCTAACAGATATAGTCTTTAAATCTATAAGCAACTTATTAATTTAATCCTAGCCTACTACTTAAGCATTATGGATAGGAGTAGAAGTTCTATCTTCATCCTCTTCTTCCATAATAGGCTAAACTTAACTTTTACTATTTCCCCAAACTACCTAAGATATTCTAAAAATTTTACCATTCGGAACACCATTAAGAATGTTTTGATAACATTTAAGAATGATTCTGATCAAATCAGTTTAAGTGAATACTCCATCATAATAAGCTACATCTGGATTCCAAAACAATACTTCATCAATATATGAATCAATAAAGACATTAAAAACATCAAATAAAGAGAATGACTAATCTATTACTGTGACTTAATTATTAATAGATAAGCAATCATAAAGAGTACTATCTTATAAGAAACATGTTAAAGTCTTCATGTATTAATCTTTTATGATGTCTTCTTTACTCTACATCCTTTTCATCTTAGAATTATTTAAAAATTGATAATAATATTTATTCAAAAATCATCATCTTCTTCCATAATGATCATCCATATTATATCCAAATTGATCTTATTATTCATAGAATTTGTGAACTTTGTGATTAGTATCAATAAGTTGTTTTTACTTATCATTCCATTCTTCAATAGCTTTATGTCTAGTCACAGGGTTTTCTCTATCATAATCAGTATCAAATCCCAAACAACCCTCATCATAAGGTTTTATCTATTAATTATATTGATTATTTAATATACCTCTTCATTATTCACTACAGGAAACAAATATTCAGAAATATCTTCCATTGGTAAAGATGCATAAATTATTGCAATCACCATCAATAATATATCAATCTAACTTATCTCCTTGAAAAATGCATAAGTCATTATCATTTCTCCAAAGGCACTCCATACTATTATATATTCTAACATTTCAATCATTTCTATTAAAACTTAAATTCATACTTATTACCTGTAGATAATTAAATACTTATCGATTCTTTAACTGTTCTCCTTCTCAAAATATTATAATAATCAACATAATAGTAAATTAGAATTCCAAATGCACTACAAACTGTTCCTAAAGGTATTGCTGTTCCATATAAAAAAGTAAACCACATTGTTTTCATTATATCTGAATACCTTTTTGCTGATAAATAATCTGGTTCCTCCATTAAAGTATTTGCTTCTTACTATGTTAATAATGATTTATCTCCCTTTCTCATTATATACCATCTCCAAATATTTTTACATAAACTCCATGGATCAACACACCAAATAAATGGAGGCAAAACAGCATTTAAAATGAAAATCTAACTCTCATTCTATAAAAATCCTCCTGCTCCTTCAACATTTTTTAATATTACTATATCCACTAAAAAACTTATAATAGCTGCATTTAAAAATAATGCTAATGCATATTTATATACAAATGATATTTAAAACTTTGTCTTACTTGAAATCTTTTCATCATCAACTATATAATGAACTATCTTAGCAACTGCAAATTTATTAAAAAGTACTATGCTTAATGATATTACAAAAGATAAAATATTTATTTTTAACATTGTTTCATGATCCAATTTTCCTTTTATTTCCTCCTCTCTTGCCTCATCTCCATATTTTGCCACTTTATGTGCTATCAAATAAATTGAATAGAATGCTGCACTTTCTACTAATAAATATATTATCCATGCTTTAATTCTCTTACTTATCTTTTCTTCTGTCTTTACATGAATGAATTCCCAATCTACCTCATTTGGTTCTGGAGCTTATTCAATAAATAATTTCTGATCATGCCAAGATAAATCATTTTCTGATAATCCCTCTAATTTACCCTTATTCCAATATGATTTCATTCTCTCTAATTATGTATGCTAATTTTCTTATAATACCAAATTTTTCATATTCTCATCATCAAATGATATAAATGCTATTCCTGCAAATTTTTTATTCTCTCTTTCATATTCCTTCTCTGTTTAATGGATCTTATGTTCTAACTCTTTTATTTTCTAATCCATCTCCAACACCTTCTTATGATTGAAATTATAATCATTTTCTTTTATTATCTCCTTCTTCCTATCTACTAACTAATCAAGTTCCTTTTCCATATTAATTATTTCTTCTATGTCATATACTAAAACAACCTTTTTTACAACTATAGGTTTTGTATCTGAAATAACTGCGCAAGTTTCAAACATATGTTGCAGTTCCCATTTATAATTTAATCCTAATCCTAAAGGAATATTCTTGACACAGACTGTATAATCAGCAGGTGTCAAGAGTTCTTCATCTATAGTAGTATCGATTTATCTTTAGCTTTTTCTGAAATAGATTAAAACAATCATAACTATAAATAGGTTGATGAAGTTTAAAATTTGCACATACTCTAAGGCTTGACGATTACTAATTATAAGCGAAGAAAATACTTTAATTTATTAGCTAATGATAATTTTAAGAACAATGAGTCTTAGCAATTTGGAAGTTCAACAAAATGCCCTTCAATTTTTTCTCTTTTAACATGACTACAATATGAACCTTCATAGCTTGTATAGAGATTATAAATTTATTTGGTAATCAAAGTTATGAACAAGATAATAATGCAATATTTGAGATAGTTATAAAATAGAGTGAATCCAGAACCAAGAAAAGAGAGTGCCATTGGGTTAGAACAATAGGGGATTTCATCTCTTTCTACTTCAAAGCCACAACAAGGACATGTTTCAACTTAATTAATAATATTAAAGATGCATACTATTAGTAGTTTTATTAATATCTTTTCTTTTTTCAGTAGCTGTTCTTCTAGATAAGGCATGTTTTCTAGCCAAATCCCAATTACATGGAATAGTGAGAGGATGATAATGTTTACCTTTAGATGATAATTGATGTTGATCACTTTGATTTACATCATGAGGTTGTTAATGATGTATCTCTTCTATTTTAGAAATAGGTATTTATGAAACTCTAGATTAATCATGTTGATTCTGTTACTAAGAATTTAAAGTCTATAACAAATAAAATTAGAATAGTTACTTAACTTTTGATATTGCTATTGAACTAATTTGGAGCAACTCCCATAAAATGTTGGAAATTTGAAGGAGGATTAGTTTAACTGTTGTAATTCATTTTATTTTTGAATAATAAATACAATATATTAAATAAATTTGATTAAAGTAAAATTTATCATAAAATATTTTATTATGCAGCCATAAAATTAGTTTTCATTATTTGGAAATGTACAAACAAATGAAACTGAATAAAATAGCGAAGTGAAGAAAAAAAGAGAAGAGTTTGCAACAGAAATCAGATCTAGAGAGAGAAATAATATTATAAACAATAAGAGACTAGCTTAAAATGTAGTTCAAATTGATTATTGATATTAGAACTAAACATAAAAATTACCAGAATCTTAAACGTTAATACCAACAAACCTTCCATAAGAATTGTAAATAGCATTGAAAAATCAACAAGAAGTTCTATAAAAAAGACAATTTACATTTGATGATTTTCCTGATGTTCTACAAAAGATCTATTCAACAGATATTTTACAATTACATTATGGAGTGACAGGATTAAGAAAGATGTTATCTGTAGAAGTAAGAAATACATAAAAATAATTAGTCAGGTGCACCAATATAATAGGTGATAGATGCAAATTTGGTACCTAAATTAATTGATATAATTTAAAAAGAATAAATTCCTTAATTAGTATTAGAAGCAGCTTGGGCTTTAACAAATGTAGCAAGTGGAACAACTTAATAAACTTAATCAATAATAGATAAAGGTGGAATATATTTATTTGTTAAACTTTTGAGTTCATAGTATAAAGATATTGCAGAATAAGCAGTATGGGCAATAGGTAATATAGCAGGAGATTGTACACAATATAGAGATCTAATATTAAGAGTAGGTGGAGTAGATCCATTAATAGCAATAATGTAAAATGCTCCTAGTAAAAATACTATAAAACATTGTACATGGTCTTTGAGTAATCTTTGTAGAGGGAAACCAATTCCTGAATTTAAGGTAATTATTTTAATACTATATATATAATAATAGTATGTTAAGAATGCATTACCAGTCTTTTGTAAAGTCATAATAGATGATACTGATCCAGAAGTACTGACTGATGCTTGTTGGGCATTGTCTTACTTAAGTGATGGAGATAATAGTAGATTATAAACTGTTATTGATTCTTAAGTGGTTCCTACATTAATTAGATTACTAGATCATTCATCTTTATAATTAGTGATACCAACTATAAGAATTTTAGGAAATGTAGTTACTGGAGATGAAGCATAAACAACATACGTATTAAGTTAAGGTTTATTATAAAAAATACCTAAATTGCTTTCTCATGATAAGAAATCTATGAGAAGAGAAGTATTTAAATATATCTATATTTTAGGCTTGTTGGACAATCTCAAATATTACTGCAGGCAGTAGTAATCAAGTTAGTTAGGTCGTTAGAGATTCTGCTATTTTAGAAAAATTATTCACTTTGATGACTACTGATGTAGAAGAAATTGTAAGAGAAGCTACTTGGGCCATCTCAAATTCAACTAAACATGGAAGCAATTAAGATATCTAATTACTTGTTTCTAAAGGATTATTTAATGTCTTTAAATAACTTTTAGAAGGTGATGACACATAAACTATGACTGTTGTTTTAGAAGCCTTATTCAATGTCTTAAAAAGAGGTATCTTAATCTCTTTTTTATTTTAGGTGACTAAGATTTCAAAGATGACAATTATTACTTAACTTAATTAGAATAAATGGGTGTCATTTCTAAAATTGAATAATTGCAAAAACATTAAAATTAGAGTATCTATCAAAAATGTTTTAACATTCTAGAATAATATTATGAAGCTGAATCAGAATTATGATATATCTATATATATATCTTAAAATAATTAATATAAATTTAATATATTTATAAACATTTCATATTAACTGTTGCTACATCTAGGACTTTTTTTTATCTTTTTTTTTTTCTTATTTCGATTTATAATCCTCGCTCATTAATTTTTGATTGATCTTTGAAAATGGATTTTATTAAATTATCATCTCTACTGTTTTTGGTTGACTCTTAAACTTCTCATTTTCATTTTTTTATCGTACCTTCTCCACACATCCCAATGCCAACAAACAAACTTTAATAATACATATTTATTCTATTACCTAATAGCAGAACAAAAACGAGAACCAAGGTTTTGATTAGCTCATCTTCTAAGATAGGTTCTGGATAGGATAGTTAAACAACTAAATTAAAGCTATGTCTGACAACAAAGTCTCTGTTAACTTCTCCATCAATAAATTAAGTAACATTATATTTGACTTAATAACTTTATTGAGTTAACACTTAGGTTTCTATTAATAATAAATAATAAGTTTACCATTGTTACTAAAACATTTAACTCCTGCTGGAGTAAAATTATATCGAACTAAAACTGCTCCTGAAGCTGTTACTCCAAAAAAGAAATCATCAAATTGAAAACCAGTTATGTTAAACTTTTTAAGTAATGGTTAATCTGTAATATTTGCGTCAAAAAACATGAAATTACGAATTCCAAATTAAGTATAAATAGTTGGTTCAGTATCTGGATTAACTAATTTAAAAGAATTTGAGAAAATCAATTAATGATGGATTAAACCTTGGATTAGCACAAATTCATCAGTTACTTTCAATCCAACTACTTTTTAATAAGAAATATGTTCATTCACAATTTCATATCCTTCTATATTTTTATCATACAAATATTCAATAATCGAATACCTAAATAATTCTTTGTAAACCACAAATACATTTCTACCATTTTTTGTATCTACTGCTATTCCTCCTTCTTTTCTTGGTATTTCAGGTCTTACTTTGTATTTAAATTCTCCATCATCTATTTCTATTGCCAACTCTATCAGTCCAATAACAACATCTAACATAAACATATGAAATTCATCATGTTCTTTCTTTATCACTATAAAATCTGATAATTTTGTAAAATCTGGAAACAAATTTATCAAATCAATTGTTAATTCAAATCTAACATCATAAGATGAAACTCTATAAATATCAATTCCATCTCTTCCTACACTACTATAAACATAACCAAAATATTCTTTAGTAAGTCCTCTTTCTTTTCTCTACTTCCAAGAGGATGCTGTATACAAAATTAAATTTTTTGAATTTGCATCCATTTCATACATACTAAAAAATTAAGCACTATTTGGATATAAAACTAACACCAAATTGTTTGTCTTCAAATATAAAATTTAAGGTATTTCTTCTTTATCTTCTGTGGTTGGTGCATAAGCTTATAAATCGACTTTCCATCTAAAACCTGCAAATTCATAAGGATTTCCATATTCTGGAAAACTGAATATCTCATGTATGTAGTTGTAATTAAATTTCAAATGATAAATCTTTGCATTTGATGTTATTGCTATAAAACCATCCCTAACATGAACCATACCAATAAATTATCCAAAATTTAATGGAGTTTCTTCCTAATAAACATAATCAGTTAAATCCTTTTCTGTTATTATATTCATTGTTTTTATTTCTGTCTTTACAGCTGGTTATTAGGGCCAACAGTAACTATCATTTTAATGACCTATTAATATAGAATCTGATGCTCCTGGCATTGTAATTATTGTTGTTGCATGATCTAAATGAAATTTCTTTGTTTAGTTTTTGTCAGTCACTTCTTTAATCACAATTCCCTCTATCAAATTAACAAAAATTAGAATTAAAATCATTATTTTATCATTTTATAATGTTATTTTGAAAACAAGAAAATAAATTGATTTTACTATTGATCTTATTAAAAATTAAATCAGATCTCTTTTTATTATTATTAACCCTATATTATCTAACTCTCATCAAAATTTATTTGATTCTAACTATTATTATTCTTTTAATGGTTTTCTAATTCTGTATCTAACCTTATTTCCTCCTATCTGAATTATTTATATTTATAAAAAATTGCGCTTACTATTAAATCAATATATAATAATACCGCAAAAAAATAATACAACTCCTAAAACAATTAAAATGAAACAAATTAAATTTATTTGCTTTTCAAATAAGAATGGAGTTACTACTTCAACTGCAAATTTTTTTGTTGTTCTTATTACTTTTTCTTGAGATATGATATCGTTTGTAATGAATGATTAATTAAATTTAAGAACATAAAATTGCTTAGCGTTTTATAAGTTCTCTAAAAAATTATATAAGATAAAATTACTATGATCAGTAAAACAAACTACTCTAGCAGGAACAAATTTAAATTTAGTTAAGAATGCATTGGTAGCAGTGACTCCAAAAAAGAAATCATCATATTAATAATCATTCTGTTAATTAGCAGCAATTTTAAGTTCATCTTATGAATAAGAATATTTAAAAAATTCAAAATCTCTCATGCCTATTTATGAAAATCTAATAGGTTCTTTGTGAGGAGCAATAAAATCATAACCATTTTAAAACACAATTTAATGATTACTAACACCACTAATAATAGCAAATTCATCTGTTGCATCAACATCTAATATTCTATAATTACTAAATTTTTTTGTAATAATAGAAAATGTTTTTTCAGTAAAATTCACAAGATATTCAATATAAAAATAAATACCATCATCTTCAAAGGCTGCAAATACATTCTTTCCATTCTTTGTATCAATTGCTATTCCATTTGGTATTGGATCAATTTCCAATACTTTTTCAAACTATAAACCATCTTTTTTAATATACATGTAAGCTAGAATCAAACCTATTTTTGAATCTAATAAATATAATTAGTATTTATCTTTTTCAACCTTTAGAACTGCAAAATCTCTTAAATCTAATTAATGAGTGTTAATATTAAAATCTAAGAATGTAATAGTACTTTAAAAATAAACTTAATCATCTACAATTTTATAGATATCCAAACCTGCCTTTCCTACAGCTGAAAATAGATATTCTTCAACTTCCTTTGTTAATCCTCTTTCTTCTCTTGCCTTAAAATTTTAAATTGTATGTATAAGAAGTGCATGTGAATTTTTTTCCATTTCAGAAACATCAAAATATTAAGCAGTATCAGAGTATAAAATAAAAGCCAAATTTCTTGTTTTAGAATAAACTAATTAAGGTAATTATTATTTTGATTCTGTTGATTATACAATATCTTATATATTTGCCTTCCAAATCACTCCTGCAAAATCAGCACTATTTCCATAAGTTGCAAAACCATGTTCATGTATGACTTTATTATAATTGAATTTAATTAAGTATGCAATGGAATCAGAAGTAATTGCTATCATTCCATCATTAACATGAACCATTCCTATGAATTATCTAAAATTTAATGGAGTATCATTTTCAAACTCATAACTATTTATAAATCAATCAAAATACTCTTTAAATTCATCTGGTCTTATTATTGTAAATTACTATGTTTATGTTTAGACAGTTTGCTATTTTACTTCACAAAAATTAATTTTTTCAAAATTTTCCAAAACAGCATCTTCTGCCTCGGGAATTTTTATTATTATTTTTGGTTCTCCAAAATGAATTTTAAATGTTTCTGAGGATTCTTGATTCTCTAAAATTACAACATCACCAAGACTGATGTTTATAAAAATTAATAAAAACTAAACAAACATTTAATTATCTATTCTTAATGAATAATAAATTATCCATAGAGAACATTAATTAGAATTGGTTATAATATTTATGTAATAATTATTTATTTATCAAATATTAAATGGAGATATTTTCATCTAAGCTTAATTGGTTAATCCATATAAAGAAACTATTTCTAAAAGAGAGTGTACTTGAAATATAAGAATTAATAAGTTCTTTAAAGGAATAGATTATTGTAGAATAAGTTAATCCTTAAGAGGAATTATTCTCATTAGATGAAGTTATAGAAGAAGTTTATAAATATAAGAAAATTAGATTAACATATGATGATTTCTTTTAAATTATTGGTAATCTTCATTAATAGGATCCACAATTATCCACTTGTGTAAATTCTTTGGCAGATTCTATTAATGATCTTACTTTAAATGATGCCAAAGTTAAATAAGAAATAAGATTACCTTATCATGATCCTACAAAATTAATTAAGACTCAACAAAGTTGCAGAAATTCTAAATTTTCTAAAAGTCCAAGAATGAGAATTGAAAATTTACAAGAGGCATAGAAGAAGATTCTTGCTAAAATAACTGATATAGAAAATGAAATAGAATATGTATGATTATTTGACTATATAACGAAGTAGAAATAGTAGCATTAACTAAAGAAGCCACATATCTAATAAATAAAAGAATTGGCAAAATAATTACAATTACATGAATCAGAAATAACCTTAAATGGGATTAGTTCCTTTTCTCTTTAAGACTTTTATTTAGTTATCCATAATCTTAATAAAACAATTTTTAATGTTTAAACACTTATATTTAATGATAGATGTTCAGAAATTAGAGAAGTAACCATGATTTTTAAAAACTTGTAAGCTTTGAGCATCAATTCACTTAATTTGAAAGAATTAAAATTAGAAGAATTAACACAACTTAAGGTATTATCCATAGTAGGAAATAATTTAAAATCTTTAGAAGGATTACCACCCAATTTAGTTGAACTTTATGCATAACATAATTCAATTTCTCAATTAAGTACGACAAAAAGTCTCAAGATCTTAAATATAAGTTCAAACTGTATTTCTTCTTTACAATAATTATTAAATATTAATAAATCATTAGAGTTCATAAATTGCAATTTAAACTAATGTGCATAATCTAAAGATTATAAAAGGTTTCTATTCAAAATATTTCCAAATTTAAAAGGAGTTGATAAAGATGATTTGTTGTAGCATTCAATAATTTAATAGAACAATTTTCACTTCAAGAAAGAACCGATGGACTTTTCTTTTAGTTAATCATGATTATAATTTATTTGAAAATACAAATAAGTTTTTTTATATTTTTCAACTTTTTTTTTATTCCTTAAAACTCTTTAGTTCACTTAAATTTATCTCTTGTTCTTCTAAGTTTTGCAAAATCAATAAAATTTATTCAAAATCAACAACTATTAAATTTTCCCTTAACTATATTAAAAAAGAAATTGTTCATTTAATTTGTGAATCCTGATTGGCATAATTTTATCAACTCTTCTTCATCCACAGTTTTCACTTCTAAGAATATTTTACACACTTTTAATTAGTTATTAATTTACATTAGAAATCTCTGTCAAGTTTTGAGAGAGGCCTTCGATATCAATTTGCTTTACAAACATAAACTAATTAATATTTTTTATAATATATATCATTTTTCTTGATACATAGGATCAACCTAATTTTTACCAATAGGCTTGCTTTATTTATTTAAGGTATCTTATTATTAAGACCTATATAATTGTTATTGATTTGTATTTTAACTTTAGGATTACAATAATTAAGAATTTACATTTACATTATAAATTTGCTATTATTATTATTATTGATATTATTATTATTATTATTGATATTATTATTATTATTGATATTATTATTATTACTATTATTATTGATATTTTTATAACGTATTTGGAAGATTCTACTGTTAGACATAATTCATTGCTTAACATTTAGTACATTTTATTAAATTTGATACTAGTTTAATATTTTATGAATACTTCCGCATTAATACATGACTGTGATTTTACAAGAACCACATTAAAAATAGCCTATGTTAGGCTTATTAATTTATTAGCATCTATAGCATACATATGGTTATTTTTCATCTGATATCATCTAGGGAGTTTTACAATGAATGCAAGTTGAATACGCTTGTCTGTTTGTTGAAATAATAATTACGTTCTTTGATTGATACTCTTGTCGATAACAATTGCTGCTGTTTGGAATACATTAGAAACAGAATTATATATCTAATCTAAAGGCTAAGTAAAAGAGTATTATTAATTTTGATATGGATTATATTGATATTAATTATTTTGATTCTATATTATGTAAATTTTAATACTTGATATTAATTAATAGGAATTTGTTATTGTTGCTAAAATTGAGGGTACAGAATTTATTATTGTGGTGGATACGTGTTCTGTTGTTAAGGTTATTACTAATTCTAATTTTATTAAGACTATGGTTGAGTCTAAGCACTATTCTGAGGAGGAACAATCGGTTCTTCAATTTATTTAGGTTGAGTAACCTCTGCATGTTGTACTTCTGAAAAGTAATTAAATAAATTATACTAGCATCATCAAATGAAACATATTCCTAATCTTCTCCATAATCTTATAATTCAAAATCATCGTTGCTCTGTTTTGGTTCTTTGTATTTACTGTTAGATTTGTTGGATAATAATCCCAAATTTGCATCGTTTTAACTCATCCTATCTGATTATTAGAATATTATATAATTATTTATTAAGAATTATTATTTTATTCTAAATATTCCGATAATTTTTCAAATTTTCTCTTTTCATCTATTTATCGATATTTGGCTAATCAATTACAAAATGGATTCAATATCCAATATCTATAAAATATTTTAAAAACCTGTTAATTTTATTAAATCTTAAAATATTATTACTGTATTTCAGATGAAGAACGTACTTATTTTTTCAAGCAAAAAATCACAAGTTTAGATTAAACTTAAAAAGTAAATTATTGAAAAGTAAAACAAAACAAATTTAATAAACATATTTCACTTTTGAAGTTTATTTTAAATGTACAAAAGTCCTGATTAATTATATTTCTAGTATATAAGTAAATCTTCATGTCTCTAAATATGTTAATAATAAAAATACTGATATAATTTTATCTTAAATAGTGTCACTAAATTTAAAATCAAGCATGATAAACTTTGCCGCATATTTGATTACCTCAATAAGATCTACTAGATTGAAACCAAAACTAAATTAAACAAATTCAGTAAATAGTTTATTAAATGATTTCTAAGCTATTAATTAAAAAAAGGATTACAATCAAGTAGAATAAATTTGCTAGTCTTCGGAATTTCATAGAAGATTTATTCTTTAGTGAATTATTGATATTCAATAGCTAAGATTAAATACATAAATGATGCTACTAAAGTTCTTGGTTTATAATTCAAAGTTTATATATCTAAATAGCAACAATCAATATATGCTTGCAATTTTAAAATTACTTGAATAATATATAGAATTTACATTTGTATGAAGCTGTATTATTAGCTCTAAATTATTTCTGAGTATCAGTCATAAAATTATCCCATTAATTAGTATAGAATTCAATCCATAGATTAATTGTAGGGAGATTCAAATGCCATTGTAGAACAGTGCATATATTTATTTCCATTTAATAAATTTAATCAATAGTATATCCATGATTAGCAGCTTTTTCAAACTCACTTACATGTTTGGCCTCTACTTCCTCAGATATACTAAATAAAGATACCTCCATCTTAGATGCAATAAGCATTGAAGCTGTACCTAATAATTATACATCAACTTTTGGGATGTCTTTTTTAGATAGATAACAATCAACATATGCAACAGCCAAATAATAAGTATCTCTTTTCATTTAATAGACAGAACAAACATCAATCATCCAATCCATTAAAATGGCCCTGAATTTTGGACTTATTTGAGTTTAAATTTAAACCATATAATCAGGATTTGGAAAGTTTTCTATTTCTTAAAGCATCAAAGCTTATAGAGTTTCTGAAGAAAACCCACCAATTTAGGAATCTTTATCAATTTCATTTTAAAGAATAGTTTAGTTAATCTAAATATTTTTTGATTTGGTTTAATTTGCATTATCACTTAAAATAGTTATGCTTGATTCATCACATTCTAGAGTTAGTCCTAATTATTTTTATTCTCCCATTGAAATGCATCGACTATTTTTCTTATGTTTTAATAAATTGTTGTTTGGACTTTACTTTTTGATTGTTCTGTCACTTAATTAATTAGAAGAAATATCCTAATTTGAAACCTTAAGAACATTTAATTTTTCAACTTTATTCTCTTCCCTTTATGAATTGCAGCTAGAAATAATCATTTAATTCAATACTTATCACAATTAGAATAATACGAATTTGTAGTATTGTTATGATTATTTTTATTTTAATGGATATTAGAAATCATAAAATATGTTCCTGAATTACCTTAAACTACATGACTGTATTATCTATGGTTTTTTTTGAATTAAGTTTTATTATTACTATCAATAGAGTTATTTCTGGATATATTTTATTGATTTAGAAAGGATTCAAAAGTAACTTATTAATTTTAATAATCTTTTCTTTCCCAGACGGCTGAATCTTTTAAATTTATATCTTCATTTGGTATTGGTTTATTTAAAGAAGGTTTTAAAGTGGATTAAGTAAATTTGGTTAAGGTTGAATTTGAGGTTTACTATGGTACATTTATTTAAAATGGAATGCAACTAGATTGTTTTTTATTTCTTTTATATTTGATTTCATCTGGTTTAGGATTATGCTAGAAATAATAATCAAGAATACATGGATCTAAATTTTATTATGTTATAATATAGATTTAAGTTGTTGAGGTTAATAGGAATTATCATCAAATCTTACAAAGGCAATATTCTAATTAGATTGTATATTTTACATTGAACTGTTGATAATTTTCTTTGGTTATGAAATAAGAATTCAATTGAGAAGTCATTTTCAAATTTAAATATAAAAATATTGATTAAACATATAAATTAATGCAGTCAATGGGAAAATGCTTATAAATTTCTAATTGAAATTGAGCGTCTATCAGTAAGTTTTTTATTTGAATGTGGAGAAGCATCTAGTTTGGATGAAGTTTTCATTTCATCTTTAGTTTCTTCAATGTAATCAAAATCTTTGATTAATTCAGATGTCTCTTCATTCAATCTTTATGAAAACAATATTTATTCTTTATTGATTTTGTTAAGATTTTTACTAGAAATTTATTTAATGATAGGTTTAGGTATGAAAGATTTAATATTATAAGAAAGACTGGCAACCTATTCTCTAATTCTGGTCATTCTATCAGTATAATTTTGTTATTTAGTTTTAACATTTTAATTGATATTAGACAATTACAAAGGATTTTATCCTAAATGATTGGATATAATTGCTTGTCTTTTATTTCTATAAGCAATCATAGAATCTATTTCTAGAATCTAAAAATCAGCACTAAGAAATCCAGTTTGATTGTAACCTCCAAAAATCATAAGTTTATGATCTTCAACAACAGCACAATGTCCAGCTCTTGGTTCTTTACAATCTAATTCGACATTACTCCATGATTGTGTTTCTACTTTGAAGATATGACAATCATTTAAGAAAGAAGATGTTTCACAAATACCTCCATAAATGATAATGATTCCTTATCTTTCACAATAAGAAGCAGTATGTTTGTATCTACTAACTTAGATTTATTTTCTATTAATTTACTTGGTAATTTTCCTTTGCCATTAACTAAAGACCATTACATAGGACGGCAACATGGATTGAGCATGTATAAACCTTAATATAAGGTTCCTGTTTTGGATTCTCCTCCAAATAAATAAACTCCTTCAACCTTATATTTTATTTCCTTTATTTCTTCTGGATCCATATAATTTTTATAAATCTAAATATTTCTGGAACTACTAAAAACTGAGATAAGAGTGTGAAAGGCAATTCCATTGGCAAAGAAATCATTAGATTCTACTTAACTGAATAGCATCTTATTATTCAAAATATCATAGTGATATAAATCATTTAAATACTTTCCTTTAGTATTGATTCCTGCATGAATGATAATATTTTTTCCTACAATCGCGCCTGATGCTCCTCTTCTACCTTCAATTACTTCTCCTCCAAATCTTATAGCCTTAAATTCATTATTTTCTAATTTATATATCTAACAATTACCTGTGTTAAATACTCTAAAATCATTAGTACTTTCTCTAATCTTCTATTAACCATCATATGGTTTTTCACCACCAAATATATAGATATTTCTTCTGTATACACAATGAATATGATTAGTTCTACCAAAAGGAGCCTTCTCTCCTATCACTTAAGGTTGATACCATTCTTTATGATCCCAAATTATAACATCATTAAATGGCTTACTACTTATTCCACCAAATAAATATAATTTTCCAGATATATTATTCAATGATGCTCCTTCTCTCATCTAAGGTCTCCACTTCCCATAAAATGCATCTATCCATCCTAAATAATGAGTAGGAATTGTTTATTCTTCTTCAGGCTGTTAAACTTATATAACTTTTGCCTTTATTGCTGGCATAATTTATCCTTCTTCATCAATCTTTGCAGGATAAGTCTTTATTTTAGGTAACTTATTATAATTATAAGATCTTGATCTAGCAAATGTAGTTCTCATTATATTTTGTTTCGACTGTTCTTCTTAGTACCTTAATTGACTCTTATTATGATCCAATTAAAATGCTATTTAATCTTTTAAGCAACTGCTATCATTCAATATTGATTAACTCTTATCAGTTATATTATATTTTCGAACATATGTTGATGAATCATTACCCAATATCTTCTCTCTATGTGTTCGAAATCTTTAATCACTCTCTAGTCTCCCTAACAAAGTTTTATCCAAATTTAGTAATTCTTGTTAACTTATAAATTTTACTCCTTTTTAGTCTGGTAACTTGGGTAATAAAGGATGCAACTGAAAAATAAGTTATTTAAATTTACCAATTAGCAACCTCTTGATACTAATTAAGTATATTATGTCATTGTTTAATTTGTGAGTCCTTAACTTTAATATTATTAAACTATTTAACCCAGAATTTGATCATCCAAATATCCTCTTATATTTTCTTGATCTAATTAAATTTCATCTTCATGCTATAATATTTCACTCATATAATTAAATTAATAAATGTATAATACTTAAGCACTTTAATAAACCATTCATAATTATTGTCTATAAGTGCTCTAAACTGGTGATTTTGCGGTATCTTTTAATCTCTATATTTTCTATCTAGAAAAATTAACAAATCATTGACCGTCTCAAAGCATTTATTTTGGATTGGAATAATTTACCTCTCTTTAGAAACATTGTTGAACAAGATCAAAAACCAGAAACTATTTTTGTACTTTATACCCTACTTTAAAAATCAGTTTCTATGGGCTGTAAATTCATCAATGTACTTCAAACTCCAATAAAAAAATAATCTACTTTCGAAGAATTGGAAATGTATTGCACATCTTTTATCTTAGCAAAGAAAAACATCATTACACAACTATTGTTACTATACATATTGAAATTGTTATCACTTATTTCGCTAAAAGTTTAAATCATCCAAATCATGTATAAAACACGGTTCTATTTACTTTGGCTTTTCTCATTAGAAAATACTGGACAGATACATCTAACTCTGATTAACTATTAGATAAATTGATTAACACATTTTTTAATAGTCAAAATTATACAGTCTTAACTCTAGGATGTAAACTAATTGAAAATCTCTTGGTTTGTGTCAGATCCTATTATTATGCAACCAGCTATCTGGAATTCAGAAAAATTATGATGAGTTTCTTAAAGTAAAATTTAAATAAATTCATTTTAGATAATCTTTAAGCAAACTCTTGTGTTCTACTCACAAACTAATTATTAGCTAATTGTAACATAAAAATCTTCTATAATTATATTAAGAAGATAAGACATATGTTGATTCATTAGTCTAATTATTAAATTCGTTCATGTCTTTTAATTTTAATCTAAGCTTTTATGAGATTGAAGCAGACCAAGATCAAAAGGATAACTTTCTTATTAATGTAATAATTCTAATTAAAAAAATTAATTTAGTTTCCCGACTTTTACATTTCAATAATAACTGAATTAAAACTCAATTAAGAAATATTTAGATCCATTATTGACTTTTACACTTTAGATTAAACTATTTCAATTAAATTAATAAATATTATACAAAGAATAGCAGTTGCAAGACTTTAAATATATTTTGGAAAACGCCCTTCAAAAAAATTAGTGAGAAGAACACTGTGGGAAGGATTGTTGTATCTATTGAATAACCATCAAATATATATTAAAAATTACGATTTTTGCTATGAAGTTTGTATATTTGCAATTAAATTAGTAGTAAATATTTGATATTTAATTAGTCAAACTTTACACTTAAAAAATTGAATAAATTTTCAGATTTGTTTGATTAATGTATACTCTAATTTAATTAAATAAATCAAGCAATCTTAAGTAATTATTAAATCAAGGTTCAGGCAAACAGTGTATTTATCAAATTACAAGAAGTATGGCATTCTTTTTAAACATAAATTAACAAATATAAATAAAGTTTCTTAACTTAATATTCGAATCTATCGAATTCTATTAATTTTAGTTTTAAACTCCTAATTTAGGCATTTTATAATGGGAATCCGTTTGCAGACATTCCTTCAAGTATTCCGATTAAAAAAATAAAAAAGTTTATAAATAAAAGTTTTAGATTATGTGCTTAAGTATATCAATAAAATGCAGTTGAATGTACAAATCTACTCTTGGAATCAATTAAAAATATTTCAATCTATGTATTAATTATTTTGAATTATAGTAAATCTAGTAAATAGCTGAATAGGAACAAAGGATTTTATTATGTACTTTTATTAATTGATTAATAGAAAAACTGAGTTCATTACTATGTTTGATATCAGCTTTTGTTGTGAGTCCAACTTAAGGTGAGTTATTGACTGGATATGATTATTATGGCTAATTAAATAGATAAGAGAGACCCCCTTAGTTTGGCCAATTAATTATCTATATTTTAGAAATAATATCTTTTACTAATAAGATCAATTTTATAGCCGTAACTCCTGACATGAAATATATTATCAAGATGTATCATACAAGTTGTTTGATTTTCATACAAACTTACATTATACAAACTATTGAAAGTGTATATTATGATGAAATCACAAATATTGTAAATTCTTAATCATAATTGTATTTATAAACATATTGATCTAGATAAGCAAGTATTTTTCGTGATTTAGCAAGTTAATAAGATTATTTAGCAATTATGGAAACCTGTTTAGAAAGATGGTATTAGTTTAAATAAATTAAGTTATTAAGTCTTGACACTGAATGATCCTGATTTAGTTGAATACAGCTTGTAAATCTTATAATTTACATATGAGAAGTAAATTATAATGTTATAATAGATTAAAGAAGTAACTTGATAGAAGAATATTTTAAGGAAGTTCTGTAAATAATATGTTAAAGTAATTTTATCTCTAAATGGATTTAACTTGTTTTAATGATGTTTAGTATATTAAAAAGAGAAAACTTATATACTAATTGATTGCTCTTGTGTGGGTTGATGATCAAATGGATGATTATGTTCCAGCTTTGGTTGACATGTATAAATAAATAAAGAAATCAATCGCTGTAGAAGCAGACAAAATAAATATGCTTAAATATATTTGGGATATGATTGGATTAGCAAATGAATTAGAAATGGATAAAATTTATAGAATCTTTTTACGAATTGTGTATAATTAGAGAATTTATTTAGTTTACCTGATTTACAAAGAATATTACACCCAGAATATGTTTAATTTTTTGTCTCAGATTTTGATTCATCTATTGGATTGACCTCTTTAATTTGTTCGATTTTCAAAAACAAGTAAACCATAAATTTAATTTAGGAATACAAGATTATCAAATGAAAACATATAATTAGTTCTTTACACAATTTATGGATAAGCAAAAAATTATTTTATAGCATCTATTGACTATTTATTAACCTAAGCTTAATTATCATTTTAAAAAGGTTAATAAGTTTAAGAAAATATTTTGAAGATGGCTGCTAAATTACTTAAAGTGATGGGATAAATATCTAGTTCTAAATAAATTAATTAAGGATTTTTCATAATCTATTAAACGAATTTTTGCTTAGATTTGTTTAAAAAATAATTATAACTCATTATAATTTATAGACCTTTATTCTAAAATTTGATGAAATACAAACGTTATCTTTTTGAATGTCTTGAAGGAATATGTTAAGAACACAGTGAAACATTAACATATAGATGTACAGCAGAAACATTTTTAGAGTTATTTGAATTATCAGAAAATGTTTTGAAAGATATTCTTAATTTTAAATCTATAAAAGGCGATGAATAAATTAATGAGGAAGCTATTTAATTATCATAATTAGCAACCATTTTAGTTAATTCTATATAATTTTTGATTCAGGAAAGTATTATTGGAGAAGAAAAAGACACAGAAATTATCAAACTTAAGATGTCTGATATCTATTCACAAGGAAAACAATTATTGCAATCTATTTTTAAATAAAGTTTTATGGTAACTGTTGCCTTTCCTAAAATACCAAAATTCTTATAACCTAATTCTGATATCATTTTTGCAATTTCCTTATTTGATCCAAAAGAAGTAATTTTCAATTCCTTAATTAGTTTTAAAATCTTCTACTACAACTGATTTAAGAGTACAAAAATTAGTTATGGCTATCAAATCTTATCATAGATCCAATAACTATAGGATATTAAAGTAAATTTTAATTTAATTTTAAGAATTGTAAAACTATTTGAATAGTTTCACAAAAGATAACTTTACTAAACAAATAAAATATGTACTTGAATAGATTTGTCATGATACTTGATGATAAATATCCATAGATTTAAATAGCTTTTATAAATTTTAAACAATAAGAAAAACAAATAATTATTTAAATTTTTGTCTATCTGGATATAGTTTTGTAATAGAGATTTTTTATTCATTTTATTTCACAAGCCTGCGATTAATTTTTTTTGTTTTCTAAAAATTTAATCTAGTAAACAATGTCTAATTTCGATTTTCGATATGACTCTATGATTGAATTGAGTTTGGATCTTCAAGTTTATTTTCAATTTATTTCCACTTGCAATTTCATATGATTTGTTCTTATTCTTTAGTTTGAAATATTCAAAAATTTTAAGGTTTTATATAGTATGTTATTTTGTTTTAATAACACTATAATTTATATTAAATATTTTGGTAAAGAATTTTTACCTAACTAGAATTCTATGATTTCACTTAAGTATTCTAATTGTATATAAAGACAATATTTTTATAAAGGTGAAAATTCTATTCAAAAATTAAAGTTTTCTAATTTCTCTAAAATTTTTTTGTCAAAACTTTTGCACAATAAAACTAAAATTGAGGAATGCTTTTTTATATTCTATATATTAAAAAAAATCTTAAACTAAAAGGCAAATATATTTATTTACAGTTTGTTTTTAATTTTGTAAAAGTTTAATTAAAGTTAAAATTAAAATCTAGAGATAATTAATTTTTAGGATTTTAAACTATCTCTTTGAATATTTATAATTCGATATGAATTTTATCATTTTGATATTCATTAGCTAACATTTTTTTTAAAACCTTAATATTTAATAATAAAATTTTATAAGTAGATAATGGTTTGAGAGAGAAATATCGAAATTGTTAATAATTAAATTTAGATTAGGGGAAAGATTGAATTGATAATGTTTGAGAATTTTCTTTGAAAATATTTAAAGAAAAAAAAGAGATAGTTTTTGTTATTAATTAGAGGGAAATTAAAATTTCTTTGTTATTAGAAGTGAATTGAATAAGAATTAATTGAAATAAATTAATATAATTAGTCATTGATAAATAATATGAATGAAATAAGACGTAATTTATGTAGGAATAAAAACGACTAACTTTTGTGTTTTTTGAATATTATAATAAATGAAGACAATAATCATTGCCTTAGCTCTTATAGTTTTAGTCTCAGCAACATAAGCTGATGTTATTGCTACAATAAAAAAGATTGATAAATCACCATTTGGAAGAACATTATTTGATACAATCTGGTTAGAGCTTTAAACAGGAGATCCCTTGGATAGATTACTCCAAACTTTGACTGATTTGGAAGACAGATATGTTGCTGAATAAAAGGAAGATGATGCTAGAAATCACGAATATTAAGATGCATGCACAGTTGTAAGATAATTATATTAAATATTTAATAGGATATTTCAGCATTTGATAGAGATTTGGCTGAATCAAACAGAAAGAAGATTGAATTAGAAGCTAGATTAGAAGGATAATTATATCCTTAAAGAGGAATATTATAAGGATTGGTTGCTTAAAAATAAGCAGAAGTCAAGGGATATTAAAGAGATTTAGATGAACTTGATGCTTAAAGAGCCGAAGAGAACGCTGATTTTGAAGAGAAAGTGTTAGAACATTAAGAAGCAACAGCTATAATTGCTGAGGCTAGAAGACTTTTTGCTGATAATATTGAACATGAATCTTTAATTTAAAAAGGAAAAGCTACAAGATAACCAGTTCATAAATTCACAAAGGAAATTGCTAGTATGATTTAAAAGCATTTTAATTAAAGTGCTAAGAAAACCGCTAAATTTTAACATAGAAAAGGATACAGTAAATTATTCAAAGCTTTTGCTACAATAGCTTCTAAAGTTGAATAATTAGCTGATGCTGGAGCTGTTTCAAAGATAATTGATTTAGCAGATGAATTATTAGCTAAGATAGCTGATTCATTATCATTATTAAGATTTGCTGAAGATAAGAGAGTTGAAGCGTATAAGAAATCGAGAAACTTTGTTGTTATTTCTATTACTGTAGCTGGAACTGCTCTTGCTAATGCCTAATCAGATTTGGCTGCATTAAATGATGTCATTGCCTAAGTTGAAGCTTCTTTAGATACAACCAACTAAAGAATTGAAAATGTTAGTGCTGATAGAAATGATAGATTTACATAATGCGAAGAAGCCGTTTAAGACTATTAAGATGCAAGAGCTGCCAGAACCTCTGACAGAGATGTTGTTTCATAAACTATCGGATTAGTTAATAAGGAATTAAGAACCTTAAGAGAATAATTAGCTTTAAGATAATCAGCTGGAGAAGAAATCTGATCATGATTTATTCTTCAATTTAAAATAAATCTAATATTCATCATTTCCCTTTCCTCTTTCTTAAATTAAATGTTAATCCTATTTCATCATTCTTAATATGAGTCTGTATCTATAAATCAGCCATCATTTATTCTTAAATCTAATATTATATAACTACCTGATTTCTCCAATATATCTATTGCAAAATTACTATCTATGTATTTATCAATCAAATTAGCTATTACACCTTATTCTTTTGGCAAATTCAATTAAGTAACTATTAAATTTGTAGCTTCTCCTCCTTCTTCCTAATCAAAACTAGCTTAATGAACAACACCATTTATTTAAATCAAACCAATATATTTTAATTTTAACTATATTCATAAATTTTATTTTACCTTATTTTTATAAAATATTATTTGCTTAACATTTATATCATTTTTCTTACTCAATTTATATTTCAAATCTGTCTTTATAGCTATTTAAAATCTTCTACATGAAAATCCATTTAATAAAGAATCTATTTTATTGTCTACTTTTTTATACCATATTCTGCACTTAATAAAAAGTTTATTGGTTGACTTTTAGCTGGAATATCCATTGGCGAATTATAATCAGCTAGCTAATTTCCTGTGAAATGTTTCAATACTTTATCCACATTTGTCTAAAAATCATAAACTATATTATATACAATCTTTTCTAAATTCTCAGCACTCAAACAAACTGTATGATCTTTAAAACTTAAATAATATGATCCAATTTCACCTATACTTTTGAAAGTGAACTCGATTAGCGGCTCAAAGGATTGCCTAAATTCCTAAGATATATGATACAATTTTTAATAAATACCTGAAACCATCATTTATTCCAATCTTCTACCAATTCTATTAATTAACCTAATATGCCACTTTAGTTTAACATAATTAACAGATTTATTATATAAATTTGTTCTTACTTTCAAAACAATTAATAGATTTAGGAGTCTCAATTTCCTCATCATCTTCACTTTCAGAACTTAATTCTGATTCTTCTTCTTAAATTAGCTATTATTGTTTTTTAGGGATTGCTTATAATTTGAACACTTTCTATTCTTAAACTTATTATGGAGTTTCCTTCATTAATGTAAATGTCTTCTACTCCAATACTATTTTTTCTTTTGCATCCTTTTGTGCAAAAGATGTTGATTATGGTTTCTATTCATCTAATTTCAAAGATTCTTAAAACTCCTCTAAACTTAATTACTTTTTTTATTTTTTCTATTTTTTCTTTTAAATAATTTAATCTTCTTCAGAATCTTTTTTAATTTTCTATTTTTTTTATAGTTCCATTTATCTCTAATCTTCATCCTCTTATTTTTTTCTCAATTCCTCTTATTCTTTTTCTTTCTCTTTTTTCTACATTAACTTTCTTTGCTCTTCTTCTTCCTCTTATTATTATTATATTTATTTTTCTTTCCTTCTTACTTCTTCTTTATCAATTTTTTATTTTTTTGTTTTCTTCACTTTCTAAACATAATCATCATCATCTTCCATTGATTCGTCCTTTTAATCATTAGAAATACTATCTTCATCCTCTGATTCTGATTCAACTTTTGGATTTTAACTATTTGATTTTTATTATTATTATTGTTTATTTTACTTAAAGAAATCAAATACATCAGATGAGGACTATAAATCATTAGTAATTTTATTATTTGATTAAGAATTCTTTTTATTAATTTAATAAACTTCATCTTCTTCATCTGATTCACTTTCATCACTTTCTATCTCTTAGTGTTTGTTTTCTTATTTTTTTTCTGGACTTATTTAAATCTATTATGAAGTTTTTGTTTCTTATATATTGATAGGTTAGAAATTAATTTTTGGCATGAATTCTTTTAAGCTATCATCTTCATACATACTTTTAGACTCTTTAGGTTCATCAAGATGAAATCTTTTGCTATATTTTTCTAATTAAGCTTATTTCATTTTTTCAAAATCAGCTGAATGTTCTTATCCAGAATCATCTTAAACTTTTTAGCTTTTATCTTGTACTTTAGTTTCTTAAGGTCTTTATTGAACTTCAGGCATTTTTAAACTTGTAAACTAATTGAAGTCATTCTTAATTTATTCTTTAGCTGTTTATATTGGTAACACTAACGGTTTGGATTCAGTTTAAGCTAATTTTTTTGATATTCCTCTACTCCACATATTACCACTGTCATCTTCATCATCATATTCAGACTCTGATTCAGAAATAACAGGAACTTATTTCTTTTGAGGTAAAGGTGGCTTAACATCTTTATTTGTGGATAGTTTCTGTTAATAACTTTTCAATTAAGCCATAACATCAACTTCTTCATCATCTTCACTCTATTAAGAATTTGAAGCCATTTTCTTTGAGGTTTCATTATCATCATCATCATATTCTTCTGATTCTTCTTCAGAAAATGGATTTACTTTACTTTTAGCAAATTTGGAAGAATAATCTCCTTCATCAACAAATTTAGTTATTGACTTTAGCAGATCTATTATTTAAATTAGTTTAATTACCACTAGAAGCTGTTGCGAATAAAATCAAAACAAAGAGTATGACTATTTGTTTCATAAAAATAATAATATATATTTATATATAAACCGTTTTTTAAAAAGAACAATAATAATATAAATAATCACTTTAATTTTCTATTGTCAAATCCTCCATTCCAAATAAAAATAATTATATTATCTAATATGCTATCAATGATTCTGTCCTGTAAAATTTATTACCAATTTTCAATCTAAATAAAAACAGTTCTCTAATATTAATCTCTATTTTTATATCGACCTAATTCTTACACATACATTTCAAAAACATTTGGATTGCTAAATCTTAATTAAATTTAATACATAAGTTTCTTTTTATTCTCTAAATATTCAATATATGGGAACATAGTATTAATTGCATACGTGATTTTTTTCAATTAAGCTTCAATTTAAATCTGTTAAGCTTAGGGAAGATGAGAAAAGAGAAAATTTACATAAAGAGGAAACTTTGATTTTCTCCAATCATCATTAAAGTAAGGCATAATCTAATCATGTAAATTTTAAATATCACCCATTTCTTAATTTTTTTTAAAGTCAAATTTAAAATACTTAAGTTTATTTGGATCTTATGGGTTTTCTGAATCTAATACCAATAATATAAAATTTTTGATGAATCTCTTACTTGGAGTCATCTAAATGAGTTCAACCTAACATCCTTTTATATTTGATAAAGGCTTAAATTAATAAGTATGACAATCATAACCTCCTTCTTGTGGTTCAATACATGGAAATTAAATCAATCGAAAACAACTTTGTTCTTCAGGAAAAGCTATCTTAATTCCTGCCACACATTCACTATTAACAGAGTATACTTAGTATTCAACAGTAGTCTAAGGATCAAATAATGTAAAATCTAATAAAACATCGAATTAGTTATCATATTCATTTAAGTTACCATCTTCATATTCCACTCTAATATCTTCATTACTATGAGTCTACTGATGAATTGTTTCAGTTTTTATATGAACATTGGATTACTGAGGTGATAAAGGTGGACTCTATCTAAGAAACTCTTATAAATTTTCCACTTACTCTTCCTTCTAATTATTATTATTATTATTAAACAATGATTGATAGGTTAAGTATTTTGTTAAAGTATTTTATTTTTCATTTAATACAGGTACTAACTAGTATTAATGCAAATAAAGTTTTGTTCCACACTCTTCATGTTAATATATTGCATTTAGTGATAATATATCTTTCATACTAAATTTAAATCCAAGAAATTTATAATTTAATGATTCATTTCCGCCTTTAAATTAGATCAGGTTTTTTACTGAATCATAAAAATATTCTGCATACATATTGTAATAATCTTTCAATTCTTTTTATAAATCTTGTATGGCTTATTCAGCATTTTAAACTTATGATGATAGTTTTCCTGATTATAATCTTGAATTTGGAAGCTTCAAATTTGTATCTATAGACAACAATTAAGGATTACTGCTGATACCATCACTTTGTTATTCTTCTAAATAAAATTCGTTCTTTAAAGTTGATATCTATCCTATTCTTCTTAAACCATGCTAATTTAATTTACTCAACTTCTGCTCTTCTTTAGATTTTTTTATAAACTCTCTTTGTTAAATCGACTATAAAACGAAATCATATGATGAATTAAACTGATGGTATAAATAAGCAAAAAATTTGTCATACAACACAAATTCCTATTTGCCTCTGATAATACAATTCATGGAAACACATAGCTCATATAGAATTTTTAAAGTTATTTCTTTGTTGTCATTTTATATTACTTTTAGTAATCTTTCTATTTCGATAATGTAGATTTATTCTGGCACTATTCCTAATTATCTAGTTTATTAAGCATATTGTATAATTTTTAAATATTATTGATCTCTCTTTTTTCTTGAGTTACAAATGATTGGTGGTTGCATCCATTACAAAACAGTTAGAATTTACGAAGTTCGCAAATAAATCTACTAAAGACTTAAAAAGAGCATCTCTTTAAACTATGTTAAATATGCACTTTTTTAGAATAATTGACTCAGCATCCGAACATGTGGATTCACAGAAAAATAATTGTGACTCTAATTTTTATTAATTGATTTATACTCTATATTTTGTTTTGTCTTATCTAATTATTTTTGATCCATTTAATCCTCTTATTTTCTCATTTGCAAACTCATACATAATATTATTTTAAATAATATTTATATTATAAAATATTTTGATTTTATTGCTTCTAACATTTTTATAGAATATTAGAATTTTTTTTCTCTATTAAGTTTGAAATCAACTCATTTGCATAATCATCAATTATATCTAAAAATTTTTAATTATAAACAATTTAAATTTCCTTATAAAAATATTAAATCAAGATAAAAATCAGTTAATGATTTTATAAATTTCAATTTATTAGATGATTATTTTATAATGATCATAATTAATACATTTTTATTACATTCATTAATTAAAAATAAAATATTAAATACTTTTAATGCTGAAGCCCCATTAATAATATTGCAACAACTCTTATTTATTTAAAATAATTTTGAATGGCCAAAGAAAATAATTTTATGAATGATTAGAACTTTTGAAAAAACAATTTTACCTCTAATTTTTTGAAAGAACAGTTTTTCAAATCCAATAGAAGAATAAATAAAAAATTACATCATATTTTGTCACGCTATTAAACTAAAAGAAATTAGTAGGAAAGGAGTAAACTTTATTAATCATATTTTCAATAATTGTAACATAATCATTGGTAAATATCTTGTTCTTTAAACATTAATAAATTGCAAAAAAGGAATTAAAAATTGCCTGTAAAATCTAACTACATTATGCTATAGGTTAATTAGATACCATGCCCAAAAATTTTTGATATTAATATTTCGTTATAAAATTCTTAAAATTAAGTAGTTCTTGTGTAGTCTAACATTTATCGCTTCAATTTTTCATTGATATTTAATATAATTCAGTTTTTCTATTCTTTTAATATTAATATATTCTAATTCTCAAAAAAGTAGATATGATTTATGGAATAATTTAAACCAGTATAATGATGCGTTAAGGGATTCTATAAATTATGACTTAAAGTGATTAAATCATTTAATATTTAAGTGATTACCTAATTACCAGAAAAATAAAATAGGACCTATATCCTTTTGAGATTTAAAGGCAATTTTTTATTAATCCGTGTTTATAGTAACAAAATCACTTAACATTTTAATTTGGTAAGCTAATTTTAATTTGAAATAAAATCATTAATTTCAATAATTAAAAAGAAGATTTTTCTTCTATTTGTTTTATTAGTAAAGATTAGAAAATAAAGCAAATTTTTAAATGTTTGTAATTTCATAATTATAATAGAATCTCTTTTCCATTTATACTGATATTTGCCTTATTCTACAATATTTTTATAAAGTTTTCAAAAGATGTATAACGAATGTCTAAATCGTATAAATTACTTCTGAAATTTATAAAAATAATCTTGTTCTTTATAAAAATGTCAATACATGTTTTTGATTTGTTTATTGAGAAGAATTTGAAAAAATAAATAAAATAATGTAGTTTTGAAGAGAATGTGTAATTCTGATTTTGAAAATCGAAATGTTATATATAATTATTTATAATTTTTTTATAAATCTTGAAGGTTATCTTTGAATATAGCATTGTGTAATTAAAATGAATTGTATGAAATATATAAAAAAATGCTATGAAAATCTTAGGTAAAAAAGAGATGGGTAAGAAGATACTTATAGACTTTCAACTTAGGAATCTGAGGGTAGAAAAAAGAAAACATTAGTTCTAGATTTAGATGAAACCTTGGTTCACTGTGAATTCAAAGAAAATTAAAATTTCAATTATGAAACAATTTTAGATGTTTGGCATAGGGGAGTTCTTTACAATGTATATTTATGTAGAAGACCACATTTGAGAGAATTTTTAAAACAAATGAGTGTCTATTATGAGATAATAATATTTACTGCTGGTTATGAATCGTATTGTAATAAGGTTTTGCAATACATTGATATAGATAAACACATAAGTGATTATTTTGCAAGATCAAATTGTATATTTGTAAATGGAAACTGTTTGAAAGATCTTGTTATTTTGGATCGTCCACTGGATTAGTTAATTTTTATAGATGTATATGATATATATAGGAATGATAGAATAACCCAAATGCTTTTGAATTATAACCTGATAATGGATTATTGATTCCATCATTTTTAGATTCAGATGAGGATGAATGTCTACTTAGATTGATACCCTTTTTAAAATTTATGGCTAATAAATAATGTGTGAAACCAGTGAGTAAATTCATAAAAGATTATGAATCTATTCATGGTTCATTATTTAGTGATTCTCATATAACACTTTAATGTCATGTAGATGGAGAAGAAGGTAGTCTGAGTGAAGAGAGTTGTATCATAGTTGATGATGTTCCTAAACATCGTAAGACTTAGACACTTATGAATGATAAATAGAAAAGAAATTAAGCTTAATAGGCTCGTAGTTAATCTCTGTTCTCAGGTTGAATAAATTTAAATTGTATATAATTTTCAATTATTATGCGCCAAAAGACTATAGAAGAACAATATAAGAAGATGACTCATATTGAACATATTCTTTAAAGGCCTGATACCTATATAGGTAGTTTATAAAGAACTTCAGATTAAATGTGGATTATTCAAAATGGAAAAATGATTTAAAAAGAGATTGAATATGTGCCAGGGTTTTTCAAAATATTTGATGAAATTTTAGTGAATGCTGCTGATAATTTATAAAGAGATACCAATACATATAAATAGTCATATATCAAAGTAGACATAGGAAATGAAATTACAATTAAAAATGATGGATTTCCTATTCCTGTTGAAATACATAAAGAATACTAGATATATGTACCAGAATTGATTTTTGGAGTGTTTCTGACTGGAAGCAATTTTGACGATACTGAAAAAAGAGTAGTTGGAGGAAGAAATGGATATGGAGCCAAATTAACAAATGTTTATTCTTAAGAATTTACATTGGAAGTTTGTGATGGTAAAAATTACTTTAAGTTAATTTGGAGTAATAATATGAGTAACAAACAGATTCCAATAATAAAATAAGTTAAAAAGGATCCATATGTAAGTATTTCATACAAACCAGATTACAAGAGGTTTGGTATGAAAGAGATAGAAAATGATACTTAAGCATTATTAACCAGAAGAGTATATGATTTGGCAGGTATATATGGTAATAAAATCACTGTATATTTAAATGATGAAAAGATTAAAATCAATTCGTTCTAAAAATATGTAGATTTATATTTACCAAGTGAAGGAGCTATTAAAATTTATGATAAAGAAATGACAACTCCAAGATGGGAAGTAGTAGTAAGTTATTCACCTACTTAATTTTAACATGTATCTTTTGTAAATGCTATATGCACTGCAAAAGGGGGAACTCATGTAAATTATGTAACAGATAAAATTATATAAGAAATTTAAAATGAAATGAATAATAATAAAAAGTACAAATCAATTGAAGTATAAAAATATCAAATAAAATAATCTCTTTGGGTATTTATTAATTGTTTAATTGATAATCCAACGTTTGATTCTTAAACAAAAGAGAATATGACTACAAAGGTATCTGAATTTGGAGGTTCAAGTGAAGAGAAATTTAAAGTAACTGAGAAATTCTCTAAAGCTTTAATAAAAACTGATATTATAGAAACTATATTTTAATAAGCAAAAGCAAAGGCTGATGCTAAATTAAATAAGTAATTAAAAGGCACGAAAACAGGTAGAATTCATGGAATAGAGAAATTGGATGATGCAAATGATGCTGGTAAAAAGAATTCAGAATTTTGCACATTAATATTGACAGAAGGAGATTCAGCAAAAGCATTAGCTATGGCAGGTATTGATATTGTAGGGAGAGATAGATATGGTGTATTTCCTTTAAAGGGTAAGTTATTGAATGTAAGAGAAGCATCATTAAAATAAATATTATAAAATGAAGAAATAGAAAATTTGATAAAAATAATTGGTTTGTAAAAAGATAGACAATATTAGGATTTAAAGTCTTTGAGATATGGATCAGTGATGATAATGACAGATTAAGATATAGATGGATCACATATTAAAGGTTTGATTATCAATTTTATACATCATTTTTGGCCATCATTAGTTAAATATAGAGGATTTCTTAAAGAGTTTGTAACTCCATTAATAAAGGCAACTAAGGGGAATTAAACTATCCCTTTTTTTACAGTTTAAGATTTCAATAAGTTTGCTTAGGAGGAAGATATTAAGACATGGAAGATTAAATATTACAAAGGTTTAGGTACATCAGATGATTAAGAGGCATAAGAGTATTTTAAGAATTTAAGAACACATACAATAATGTTTAGATATGATGGAGATGAAGATGATAATTCAATTGATTTATGTTTTAATAAAAAGAAAGCTAATGATAGAAAATAATGGTTAGCATAATACAATCATGATTTGTATGTGGATCATACAAAAAAAGAATTAGGTTATTCAGAATTTATACATAAAGAATTGATACATTTTTCGATGGCTGATAATATTAGATCTATTCCATCTATAATGGATGGGTTGAAACCAGGATAAAGAAAAGTGTTATTCTCTTGTTTTAAGAGAAATTTGAAATAAGAAATAAAAGTAGTATAATTAGGTGGTTATATAGCTGAACATTCTGCTTATCATCATGGAGATTTATCATTGGTATCTACAATAATTGGGATGGCTTAGAATTTTGTTGGTTCTAATAATATAAATTTATTATTGCCAAAAGGTCAGTTTGGTAGTAGAGCTATGGGAGGAAAAGATCATGCATCTGCAAGATATATTTCTACAGCACTTAATAAAATTACTAGACATATATTCCCAGAATAAGATGATCATTTATTAAAATATATGGAAGATGATGGATAAATGGTTGAACCAGAATATTATGTTCCTATTATACCAATGAGTTTAGTTAATGGAGCTGAAGGAATAGGAACTGGTTGGTCAACTTAAATTTAAAACTATAATCCTATTGAGTTAGTACAATAAATTAAAAATAGATTAGATGGTCAATAATTTTTACCTATGACTCCTTTTTATAAGAACTTTGATGGAGTTATTGAAAATCTACCTAATGGAAATGGTATCATCAAAGGTTTAATTGATTGTAATATAGATACTGATATTATCACTATAAGAGAATTACCTGTTAAAAAATGGACTAAGAATTATAAGGAATGGTTAGATAAAGAAATGGCTGAAGAAGGTAGTTCAATAGTAGATTTAAGAGAATATCATACGAAGTATAAAATACATTTTGAAATATAAATGGTTGATGGATTTGTATAAGATTTGAGAAACCCCTTAGATTATTTCAAATTAATTGCACCTGCTGCATGTACTAATATGGTATTATTTGATTCAAATAATAAAATTAAAAAATATGAATCTGTACAAGAAATCTTAGAAGAGTTCTATTTAATTAGATTAGAGTTTTATCATAAAAGAAAAGAATATCTCATTTCTAAATTAGATAGAGAAGTCTAACTATTAGATAATAAATTAAAATTCATCAAAATGGTTATTTCTGAAGAAATTAAAATAAGAAACATTAAGAAAATTGATTTAGTTAAATAATTGGATAAATTTGGATTTACTCGCTTTTCATAATTGATTTAGGTTAAATCAACTAAAATTAAAGCATTTGGTGATTCTTAGAAATAATAAAAAAATGTAGATGAAGATGAAAGTGAAGAAGTTTCAGGAGATGAAGATAAAGAATAAAAAAAATAAATTTCTAAAAAATTATAATCAACACCATCTATTGATATAAGTGAGTTTAATTATTTATTATCAATGCCATTATTTTCACTTACATTTGAAAAAGTTGAAAAATTACAAGCTGAATTAAATCAAAGAGTTCAAAGTAGAGAAGCATTGGTTAATAAAGAAGTTGCAGCAATGTGGAGAGAAGATTTAGATAAGTTTTTAGAGGTTTATGAAGAGATGAATGAAATTGAGTTAAGATTAATAAATTAATAAGAAAAGATGCCAGGTAAATAAATGAAAAAACCTAAAAAGAAAAATGATAAATAATAAGATTAAATAATTGAGGAGAAACCATAAAAGTCAAAAGCTATAAAAAGTAAAGATCCAGTAGAAGAAATACTATCAAAATATAAAAAGTAAGATGATAAATAAAGTGAAATAAGTTCAAAACCAAGTGAATTTAATATTAAATAATAAAAATAAGGATTAAAAGATTCAAAACAATAAGTAAATGATAATTCAAAGTAGATCTCTTAATAAGAATAAGGTAGAAGAATTAGAAAATTAAAAATAGCAAGCAGCTCAGATGATGATTGAATAAAAGTTAATTGATTATTAAATTTATGTAAAAATACTTATTAAATGGATTTGAAGTTTTTAAAATATTACCAATTACTCATGATATCTTAAAAAAGAAAATTCATGAATATTATAATTTTACTGATAAAGAAGAAGAAAACTTGAGCATTATGATTGATACTTTAAGATTATATGAAAAAGCCTCTAAAATTTAAGCTTTAGCATTGGCAGCACCATAAATTGGTTGGGAGAAAAGATTGTTTATTTGTGCTGACTTGAATCTTAAATAAAGGAAAAAATCAAAACATATAACAAAAGTCGATGTTTTCTTGAATCCAGAGATTATTCAAAAATCTAATGATTTAATTTAAAGTGAAGAGAATTGTCTAAGTCTTCCATCAAATGTATAAAATGTATATTTATAATTATTAGAAAACAGCATTTGTAATGAGATCAAGCAAAATTGTTATGAAGTTTTACAATTTACTTGGAAGCGAACAGTTTGTTGAAGCAGAAGGTCTTTAAGCAATTATTTATCAACATGAGGTTGATCATTTAGATGGAATTACTGTCTTATAAAAAGCATCTTCTATTATTGAGAATGATTAAGAGTGTTGATATTGAAAACTATTTTGTGTTATTAATTATAAAATATATAAATGTAAGACTTGGTTAATTAAAATCGTTCTCATTTAAGTGCTGAAGAATCGTTAAAAAAATTGTATGAATATTCTTAGTAAGATTTTAATTTATTTGTAGCATTTAGGATGCAAAATAAAGATCCTATCATTTAAGATTGTAAAGAGCTAATGCATTTACTTTTGGTACAATAGCATCATTAGCTGTTTTTTATGTTGGATATGTATGTATAATCATCATAAAAAAAGAATTTGATTGAAGGAGTCTGGGCTAATTTATCAACTACAAATTAAATCACTAATTTGTTTAGAATAGCTTAAAATCCAGTTAGATCAGTTTATAGACCTGAAATCTATTTGAGAGATCAAAATGCAGATCAAATTATTGCTCAAAAAACTTAAGAATAGAATAATCCATTAAAATTATGGCATTGAGAAATAAAATCATATATACAATCATTAAAAAATATTTATAAATGTCTTCATAATATCGAATTCCATCTAATGATTAATATATTCGTGATTTGGAGAATCTTTCCTAAAGGTAATTCAAATTTAATATCTTTAGAGAACGACATGGTTTATTCTCATAGCCTCCTCCTCTTTCAGTTGGAGATTAATATAACGACTCTTTAAAAAGTATTAAGAAAATCTTAAGTAGGTAAGGGAAAGTAAAAAGGAGTTCTAATTAATGAGAAAATACAAAAGCATCATGAACCTTCTTTATTTATGAACCCAGGCTATATTTCTATAGGTGATCCTTACAAAGATCCCTTCAAAGCTTAACAAATCTATAATAAAGAAAGAGAACTGGCTATTTTAAATCCTCATCATTTTAAGCCTACAGATAAATCTAAATCTATGTACCTTTATAGGTATCATATATATTTAGAAAACACTCAGAATTCAAACACTTGAAGGAATATGACGATAAAAGATACAATATAAGGAAAGTATCAGGAGACACAATTACATAAACAAAAAATTTCTAAACAAATCCATTAAAAAAAAGCTTAGTAAGGAAGACAATAAATAATTTATTTGGAAATTATGAATACGTCACAGATCCATATGATAGATAAGAAGAATTTGATAGATCAGAAAGGCTTAAATATAAAAGCAAATTTTTACCAGGAGTCATCAAGTTTGTATCAACTAGTCATGGTAATCGACCTTTTACATCTGATGGAGTTTTATTAGATGGAGCTGGATATGTATGATATTGCTTTATTTTTACAAGATTGAAAAAAAAATTACACGTCCACTTAATAATGGAGTACCATTTAGACCAGCTAATAAAAATAAAAAAGGATTTTAAGGAACCTTTGAAGTCTTTTAATATTTTGAAGAAGGAGCACCTGAACCAAAAACAAAATAAAATACTTTTACTAAGTTATTGTAAACTGAAACTTATGAAAGACCATGGAGGCCCAATTCTAATGGCACTTTTGCTAGACCTTGTCCAAGTGTATCTGAAAAATTAAGAAATAAAAGTGGAGGTACTACAAGAATTTGAAACATTTTATTTTTATTATTACATCATATATGTTCAGAATGAGCCCTTTTTGTGATTAATTTTCGAATTTTTGATTTCAAATCATTATTTTCGAAGTGTTACTTATTCGCTTTATCTAGAATTTCTTAAATTGTCAATTTTTCGCTCTAAATTTTTTCATAATGTAATTAAACTGGCAATTCTTACTTTTCCATTTTAATTCTGATTCTCTATTTAGATAATTAAGAAAGTAAAAATTTATCTTTGGAAAAATTTTATATTTCTATAAACCTATTAATTTATTTATTTGACCATAAATCAGCAATATTCATAACCCCTAAAGAATGAGTATTTTAGATCTATCTTTAAAATTCTTTAATGTAAATATTTTCCTATCTTTCATCTGCTTTAAATCCAAATAAGAGATATGTAAACTAATTTTCTTTTAATTAATTAGTTAATCTTTTTAATCGAAATTTTTTGTCGACTCCTGCTTAATTTAATTAAAATTTTCTCTATTAAGGACTACTCAGATTAGAACGACTCATTAAATTAATTTTATTATTATTACTGATAAATTTATTCTGAATTATACCAATTATTAATATCTTTAAACTTTATAAAATTAAGAGACATTCTTATTAGAACTGATTCTATAAAATATTCACAAAGAGAACCATTGAATATTAAATATATTTTCAAATAGATATAATTGTTTATATTTTGAAAAAAGATTGTTAAGTATAATATATTTATTGATATTTAAAAACAAGATATATATATCTATGTATAATTCTGAAGAATGGAACTTGAATATTTAATAAATAAAGTTATTTAATACGTTCATTAATCTTTGAATTATTAGTAAAAGGGGCTTAAACTTTAGTAACTATCAAGACTTTCTTGGCTCCTAATTGCTAATGGAGAATATGCTAAAATTTAGTGATTTTGTTTTTTCTTTACCTTAATCATTGTATACAGGACTAAAAGTTCCCAATTATGTTGGTACTTTTAAGTTCCAGGTCATTTAATTTTACATCATTTTTAAAAGTGGAGATAATGATTCAACTGGTTAATATTCCTATTTTTGCTTACACTAAATTTAGTTTAACATTTCAATAGAATCCTAATTATTCATTCCTTACTGTTGTATAATGAAGCTGAGCAAATAACTTATTCGATCTATTTTAACATCTAATGTTTTTTTGGAGTTACCAAGTTCTTACCATATTTGCTTATGTTGATCCATTATTTATTCATTTTATGAGATTATATCTTAAAATTATGTTTCAAATTTAGTTTATCTTTATTTTAAAAATAATAATTCTGAATCCATTTATTTTTAAAAATCGTATTGTTTGACAGCTGACTTCAATTCTTTTTTAACTTTGCATTTTGTTTTGATAGGATTACGCTTAATTAAAGACAATTGTTTCCTAAAACATTAATATTATATTACTTATTGCCTCTTTTAAAGAATGGATGACTAAATATTTCATAATTTTCAGAATTTCTGGCTTTGATAAATTCATACATATTAAGTTATCTAAGAAAGGATTAATAATGATTATGTTTGAAGTATTACAACAGTATTTCATTTTCCATCAACTTAGGTTATAATACAATAAAATATTCTCCATCATCGCTCCATTTGATAATCTAGTTAAACTGTACCTAATTCTCATATCATTATATTGATTCTACCTATTCATCCAAAATATCGTATAGCTTTATTATAAAAGCTGGAGTAGAAAATGGGCCAGATTAAGTTGTCATTAAATTTATATTATAATTATTTATATATATATACAAAAAAATGAATATTATTATTAATTTTAGCAATTCATTAATTTTTAGTGAAAAGTAAATATTGTAAATAAAACTTTAATCAATTTTACTTATTAAAATCTTAGGAATATGCATTAACTTTTATATCATTGTTTCTTTATTCTAAATATATAGGTGAATAATACTTCAAAAATGGTAATAATTGGAGTAAATTTTAAAAAGGAGATTGATTTATTGACTAATTATTTTATAAATTATGAGAAGTATTGCATCGAAAATATATTTAAGGGACAGTTTCACAAAAAGTTTATCTTAAAAGAGACTAATGTTAAGAAAATAGTAGAGGTTGATTAATTTCTTTTATTTTCCAAAGTTATATTTAACCTAAACCTGGATGTTAAAGCATTCCCCAACCAATAAGTTATTCACTAAGATCATAGGCAAAATTCAAAGGGGCATGATAATTTATCAGAGTTTAATGATTTCCCATTTATAATAAAATTATAACAAATAAAATTTATTTACATTGATAAATAAATCATTTTCTTTTTTTATGAGCATTCTATTCATTTCTAAATATTGGAACATACTAAAATAAATATCTTTATTTACTTTTGCTATACCATAAATAACAACTAACCATGTACCAACCCCAAGAATGAGATACAAATCAATAAATGCTGAATAAAACTTAATAATTTGTCCTTTTAACTGAGATGATGTAAAGAATTTTCTATCTTTAACTACATATTGCATTTTTGTTGTATGTTTGAATAATTATTTTAATAACTAATTTTTAGATTAAATTATTACAGAATTAAATTCATTGATGAATTTTGAATCCTTTTATAAGTTTGCTGGATGTCTATTAGGTGTATTGATAAATTAACTTAAAGCTTAATCAAATAATAAATCTTGATGTTATTATTCGTATGGTTTTTCATCAATCAATTAACTTACTAAATTCATTACAATTTATTAGTTATCTTGTACTTTTGTAGAATTTTATTGTGTCAATATTTTGACTTATTTTTCTGTATATATTCTGATGGTATCAATTTCTTTATTTGAAATATTTGTAGTTTCAGTTTCTTCTAGAGATACATCAATTTCATTCATAGATGCTTTAATTTAGTCTTTAAGAGCAGCACTTACTTATATGTGTAATTTTTCATTTTATTTTATTTGATCTAAGATTATTATATTATCAATAGTTGATAGAATTCTTTGGTATTCCTATTTTTTATAGAATTATTTAAGTCCATATTCATTTAATGATTATGAGGTTGAAATATAAAATATTATATTTCGACTATAATGATTAATTATTAATAATTACTTCAATCTTTATTAATATTTAAATTCCCTAGCAATCTTAAAGAAAATTGTTGATTAAATTCCAAATCTTTCAATAGGAATTGTTATTTCAGCAGATGGTAAATTCTCATCAATTCCTAACACAATAAGTGTAGAAGGATTGTTTTATTTAAAGTTAGATATGCTTTCTATTAAATTCTAATATTTAGATTTTTATTTACATAAGAATCCTCCAAAGTAAGAATTTATTTTTGATCGACACTTGTGACTTATAATTAATATTCCTATTCTGTTTCTGTTTAAATTTCTTTATAATGATTGTTTATGTTCTCAGATTCATAGGTAAAATAAATTGGTATTGTTGCTCCCTTAGGGCCTTTATTCAATAATTTAAATACCTAAATTAGTTAGGATTAAATCCCAAATTTAAGATTCATTATCTTCGGATTATTCATCAAGAATTATTAAAACACCATTAGGTTTGTTTGTAAGTAATACAGATATTGAATTAGCATTTATTTCTGAAAATTTTATTAATGCCACTTTTCTTGATGATACTTCTGACCAGTGTGTTGTGAGCAATTAAAAAGAAGCTATCTTACTTCCACTCCAAAATTGATCTTATTCAATCCCTACCATTCTATAAACATCCAATTCAAATGCATTTATTACATTTAATGTAATTAAGAAGATAGCCAATAAATTATTCATTAATTTATTTATTTATACTCCAATATTAAATTTATATAATAATTTATTCAAAAAAATATTAAACAATTTTATTGTCTCATATCAATATAGACATAACACATCTGTAATTATTGTCTTCTTTTCAAAATTTATTTACAATTAACAAAAAGAAATTATATATTAATAAATTAAATGTTTATCACAACCTATTTTTTTAAATACAATTTCAGGGATTAACAAAATGAGACTTATTAGAATAAAGCAAATAAAATTTATAGAATCGTTTTAGCTTCTAAAATTATTATTGAAATATTCTCTTGATTTTTTGAATTTTACAAATCGTATATTTATACAATAAATATAACCAAAAATTTCTATCATGATCTGAAAAATTTTTCTTAAAAATCAGATGAACATTACTATTAAGTCTAAACCATTTATTATTATTTTTATCAATCATTTCTAAAGATTTTAAATATAATGAAGATAAAAACAAAATTGGTACTTTCTATTTTTAAGTAATTATTTATTTATTCCTTAATGTAAACCAAAAAAACGTAATATAAATTAAAGATGGATTAAAGTGATAGATTTTGTTTTAGAATTAAACTCTCTCTTCTTAGAGTGTTTGTAATTTATAAATCCATTCTTGAATATTTAATCTTATCTCTGTAACTGAAAATTTATACAGCGCCTCTGTTATTATTTATTAGTTTATAATTGTATTTTTAGAGTATAAGATAAACATCATTTTCTTGAAACAAAAATTATTTAATCATTTTATTAATATAATCAATCCTTCTAATGCTTTATTAAAAAATTCCTTTAAGAATATATGTATATTTACATTTCTTTCAAATTTTTTGGATGGGTAAACAAGGGTGTATTTTATTTATTATTTTGGATATTTCAAAATTAATGCGTACATTAAATTACGTTAAATTATATTAATAAAAATTAGTATATTTAGCGAATAATATTGTTCGATTAAATTTATTTGAAAATCTTATTTTAAAAATGGGTTGTGGTTAATCATCTGCATCATTTTTTGAGTCTAGAGGCTTAATTTACATTTATTATGGTACTACTTCTGGAAACTCTAGTCGATTAGCATTTACATTTGCAAATCAAACTAGAAAATTGAACTTTCTTCCTAAAGGTATAGATGATTTCTAAAATTTAGTAATTAATCTTAGTGAATTCGAACCTGATTAAATGGGTTCATAGAAACTTGCAGTGTTTTTTGTATCAACTTATGGAGTTGGAAATTGCTCCTCTGATGCTTAAAAATTTAATTCTTGGATTTTTTCAAAAGAGAGAAAAAATGATGAATTCAAAAATATGTCATATATAGTATTTGCACTTGGAAACACAAATCACGAAAATTTTTGTTAATTTGGAATAAAACTTGATTAAAGATTGGAAGAACTTGGTGGAAAAAGACTCTTTACATTAGGAAAAGGAAATGCAGCTGAAAATACAACAGAAAATGATTATCATAATTGGATAAATACAGGAGTAGAATAAACTCTTACTTAAAATTATCCAGCATAGGTATGTGATCCTAAAAAGTTTGAATAATCAATTCTAAAAATAAAACTTAGTAATGAACAAGAAAATGAAAACCATGAAAATTTGGATTATTTAGCATAAAAATATAAAACAAGCATAACATTTACAATAAATGAAATAAAAGAACTAAAAAAGAAACCAACTTTAGGAAATTCTACTTTATTCATTGATCTTGTTGCTGATAATCTTAATTATGTAACTGCTAGTAATATTGCTATTTATCCATAAAATTCTGAGTAAATTTTTATATTATATTTTTAGCCAAGATATCAATGAATTATGTAATTAATTAAGATTTGATAAAAATTAAAAGTTTGAAATACTTACAACATCTAAACACCCCTTTCCTAATCCGATTTCTATCTATAATTATTTAAAAAAGTATTGAAATGTATTTATAAAATTAGATATTGTGACTTTACTGGTTTGATAACAAAAAAATAAATAATGGAATTATCTAATCTAGCTGTTAATAAATAATATAAAGAAGAATTATTGAAAGCTGCTTCTTTTGAAGGTCGAGATTTTTATGAAGAAAATTTTCAAAAAAAAAAAGAAAATTTACTCACTGTTTTAAAAAAATACAATATACATAATTTATCTATAGAATAGTTATTAGAAATCTGTCCTTTAATAAATCCTCGATTTTTCACAATAGCATCTAGTAACTTGAAATATCCAAAAAATATACATATTTTAGCAAGTTAACTAGTTTTGCATGAAAAAAGACTTGGACTTTGTAGTTCATATTTTTCAAATCTAAAAAAAGGATCTATCTTAAAAGGGTATCTTTGTGATTCTAAATTTACTTTCCCTAAAAATCCTAAAGTTCCAGTTTTATTAATTGGACCTGGAGCTGGATTGGCTCCAATGAGAGCATTAATTTAGGAAAGAGATTATTATTTAGAATAAAATAATTTAGAAAAATCACCTTTTTAAGGAAATATGGAATTGCTCTTTGGATGCAGAACAGAAGATGAATATTTTTTTGAAGATGAATTGAAATAATATGAGGAAAATGGTACTTTAAGTAATTTAAAAGTTGCCTTTTCAAGAAAGGCTGTAAAATAATATGTAACAGATATAATGGATCTTAATTAAATACATTCCCATTTAACTATGGAAGGAATGATCTATATTTGTGGATCTTCATAAATGGGTAGAGACATAACTAACAAAATACAAGATATGTATAAGTAAATAGAAAATATTGCACCTTATATGGCATTTAAAAAAATATACGATTTAGAATAGAAGTAATAACTTATAACAGAATTGTGGGGATGATATTGATTATCATATAATTTTTAGAACAAATATATTTACAAGATTATAAATAAGACTATTTGATTCAGAGCCTTCTTTCTTTAATTTTTTATATAACTAGATTATTTTAGAGAACTCTTTCAATAATTTCATTTGTTAAGTATTTTCTCCTTATTTATTTTCATAATTTTATAACATAATTAATTATTACTATCTTTAAATATATATTCAAGGAGATCAATTAGATAAAAGAGAAATTTTACTCAAATTTGATATCTTTTAGGATGATCTCTTCAAATTTGTTTGTTTAATAAATATTTTTTAAATTCAAAAGCAAATTATTTTTGATCATCTTCAATTTCTATTTCAAAATTAATAAAAAAGGTTTAGTTCATGAAGGAGTATATCTTAAATTTATTGTGATTAAAATTATCAAGTCTAATTTCTTATTTAAATATTAAGTTTTTTATTTTAATTATAACTTCACTCTTATATATTACTTCTACTTTTATTAATTTTTATAATGAAAAATTGTGATGCTTTTTTCATATTGAGAAATTAATTTTTGAATGCTTAAAATTATGTTATATTAAAATATTTTGCAATATGTTATTTAATATTGATATATATATATTCATATTAAAGTAAAAATATTAATAATTTATTTTAATATATTTTTGCATATATATATATTTTCAAAATTTAATAATAAAACTTTTATTTATATATAACATTATAATTTTTTTTGGTAACTTTGTTATAGCAAAGTAAAAAGGGTAATAAGAGTGAAAAATAAAATATTAATAGAAATTTTCTGTCATTAGTAATAAAAATTAGAATTAAGACTTAAAGAAGTATGAGGAAATAAATATTTTGACATAACTATTTTGGTCAAAAAATGGAATAAGAAAATGATCAGAAATCTTTGTCCCAATTAGGATCTTTGGCTAATTCCTTTCTATACTTTTGTTTTTGCATTGATTATTCTTATTTGATTTCTTAAACAACTGGTTTACCTTATTAGAATTTCTTTTCAATATCATGTTCTGAAATCAATCTATCTTTAGGTGGAACATACTAGGGATTAAGAAATTAATAAATACTGGAACTTTTTGTAATTCTCTGCTGAACAATTTATCAAAATCAAAATCATCAAACCATGGATTAGCTTTTAAAGCAGAAAATGATGATCCTAATCTAGTTTCTGGTTGTTTACTAAGTAATTATTCCATAAATTTTTTAGCTTATCGATCTCTAATGAAAGTAGGAAATTTTAATTATGTATTCATAATTTCTTCATATATTTCATAAGGATCCTAAATTTGAATAAAAATGATAATACATCTTATTCTTCAGCATAAGGAACTCCTCCACACATAAATTCATACATACATATACCCATACTCCATAAATCAACATTAAATGAATATCCTTTTCCTAAAATGATTTCTGGAGCCATATAATGAGGAGTACCAATAATAGTGTAAGTTCTAAATGCTCTTTATTTATTTAATGGTTTTGCAGTCCCCAAATCAATAAGATACATATAACCAGCATCATTTACCATAATGTTTTCAGGTTTTAAATCTCGATAGACAATAGATTTAGAATGTAAATATTCTAATGCTAAAATCATAGTAGCAACATAGAATTATGTATCATATTTAGTTAATAAGCCCATATCTCTAATTACCTTACAAAATAGATCTAAATGTTACATCAAACAATTCCATTCCTCTGATATAGTCCACTAGAAAATAAATAGATATATCATCTTTAAATGTTCTTATGAAACCCATAATGAAAGGAAAATTGCATTGCTCCAAAACAGTCTTTTCTTATACGATATGTTTTTCTAAATTTTATTCTATAATCGATGCTTTGCTTACAGATTTAAGAGCAAAGACCTTATTTATAGATTTGTGTTTAACTAAATAAACCATACCGAATTATCCTTCACCTAATTTTTTTATATATATCAAATCTTCTACTGAAATATGAGATGCATCTGCTCTCTCTCCTAATTATTTGATTTTCTTTTCATGAGAATTTTCATTTTTCTTTAATGCCGTCTCTAAATCTCCTCCAAATATTTTAAAAAGAGATTAATAAGATATAGTAGCTAATACACCATCTCTAACCATTTCATATTATGATTCAATTATTTATCCATATTTTTCTTTCATTAAAAATTAATCTCCAAAACATAATCCTTTTGGTACTGAATCTTATTTAGCATTAGTCATTACTCCTTCTAAAACCACAATTAATTTATCACATGCTTTTCCAGCTTCCAATATTACTTAACCTTTTTTATAATTATCAATTTTAGCTCTCTAAGCTATTTTTTCAAGTTAAATTTTAGATAATTATTTCAAAACTTCACTTTTCTCAAAACTCCATCTCATTATATTACTAAAAATGATTATTTAAACTTTATCTCCTAATATCTTAGTTAGATTTTCTCTTCCTAAAGCAACACATTTTACTTCTGTTTCAGCAACACAAGTAGCTCCTCTTTTAGATTTTTCATATAATGCTTATTCTCTAATTATATTATAAATATTTAAATACCCAAAACTATCTTTTGCACCCATTTTTCTAATTTCTTTAGTTCCTTTTAAAACTGAAACCTCACCACTTTTAATTACATAAAATGAATCTGCTTAATCTCCTTCATTTACAATTGATTATCCTGGAGCGAATTTTGTTGTTATTAAAGCATGAGCAATTGAATCTTTTTAATCTGATGTCATAAATGAAAAAAATGGAACCTATTTTAATAAAATTTATTACTTCATCTATAAATTTTCTATTTTCATCATATTCTTTCAACATTAATTCTTCTATTGTTTTTTTAAATGTACTACGATCTAAAGACCAAAATCCACAATCTGTTAGTGTTCTAATAGAAGCAGATCGTGTTGCGTTGTAAAGAAGTGCAATTTCACCGAAATAACTGCCTTCTCCTAATGTACGAATTTATTTATCATTTATAATTATTTCTACAGATCCTCTTTCTATTACAAAATATGAACTTGCCTAAGTATTAGAGATCAATTCAATACTTAATCTCCTTATTTGAAAATAAATTAATTAGCTTTTAATGTGCAATAAAACATATGTTCTATCAATTATGCTATTTAATCTTCCGGCAGACTAAAAAATACGAAATGACCTTTGAAGCTTTTTCTTATTAATTCAACGTCAGATTCTACAATATAGATATTTAGTACATTGCATTTCTCTATCAATTCTTGTAACATTTTCATGAATTTAATGATTTACATCATCCCCACCTCTGTATTTTTTTTGCTATTTTTTTTAAGCTCTAACTACTTCTTCAGGAGGTGGTTAAGCAGGAGCTAATTATGAATCACTAAATAATATCATTTTATACATCTTTAATTATTCTTCATTATCTATTGTTTATTTATGCTTAGACTCAGGCTACACCAATAACTATTAATTAGATATTCATTCTTATACTTTTGGAATCTTTTTCCCAATAAGATCTTCTATTTCTGATGTGGAGGTTGTCTTCAGTGAAGAGCTTCTCTATCTTTAATCTGGTTCTGCTGTTTGTTGAGAAGAATTTGAAGAACCACAACCCATATTTTATATTAATTTAAATATAATTATATTCAGTATTTCTATGTCAATATTAATAATCAACTTAAAGTTAGACTTAATTGATCTTGCATCTTTAACTCAGAATTAATTATGTTCTTCAATTATTTATAAATTCCATGTTTTATTAATTATCGGTTTTATTTTTTCAATTTTATCACTATAATATAATACAATATTTAACATATTTTCAATTAATTTATTAATAACATTTATGTTCTTTAAACTTTCTAATATCAACACTTTTTTCCATCAAATTTTTCAACTCCTGTCTCATTTAGATTATAAAATTAAATATATAAGTAATTTAAATGTAATTAATTAAGATATATATTTATTTATTTAATTAACTCATTATTGAGCGTTTTACTACTTTTCTGATTAGATTCGTAAAATTTCTTTTTTCAAACACTTTTTCTAGAAATTCAAATTTTTATCTATTTAACGAGTCTATGATTTAAAACTTTAAAAATTAATCTTCTCTTTTTTTTCCATTTATTATTCAACAATAAGTATTCCTTACAATTGATTTTTAACAATTTCATAGTAATATAGTATTTCTTATGAAAATCGTTGACATTAATGATCTAATTCATTCTCAGTAAAAACTTCATTTAAATAATAAGTAAAATATATAGCACTAAAAATTAAAATAATTTGTTTACATTTTCTCAAATTTTAAAAAAGTCTTCAAATTCTTCAAGTTATTTTTATATTAATGTAACTCGTCATTTTTCTTTATTTATTCATCATCATTAAGATTTTGGTCATGACCATTCAATTATTAATTTAGTAATTTTTGGTAATAGTTTAATTCTGAAATAATTTTAGTTATTGAAGATTCTTTCTAGAACATTTAAACAAATAATTTAGAAGGGTTTTTATTATAATCTTAAAAAGAACAATTGTAAAAGTTTTTACCGTGCTCTTTATTCCAAAACTATAAACATTTAGAACAAAAATCAATTCCACAAACACACTAAATTTAAATACAACCTTGATTTTTTTGTATATATATTTTGCAATTAGGACATTGAAAAATATCTAATTTTATCCATGATTGCATTGGTTCCTTAAATTCTGTAATTTTTTAATATATTTGACAAGATATTGGATAATGACTTTCTGTTTTACAATTAGAACAAAACTTTACACCACACTCACACTAATATCTTAATGAAATTTATTGAACTTAATATACTCTTTCACAATCAATTCCTAATTTATAATGGTACTTTTGTTACCTGGACACCATGTATAAGATGGTAAGTTTTCTAACATTCTTTTAACTAATATTTCTCTATAGGTTTAATTTAATTCCAAATATTCATGAGGTAATCTTTCTTAACATTAATTTTGTAAACATTTAACAATTGGTATATAATTTGATAATTAAATCTCTATCATTTTATTCCAACAATTTATGCAAAAGATATGTTAACAATTCAGACTCTAACATTCTACATTTTCTTAATCACATAATTAACAGGTTTCTGTCTTATGGTATTTTAAAGAAGTCTCTCTATATATTCCAACCAATTTTAGGTTCTCTTTATATTCAATATTAGTATTTATTGAATCAAAACATATATTAATTTCTTTTCTCTTAAAATTACAGAATAAATATATCTAAGCATAATCTATCTTTTTACATTGAGTATAATTTGTAAGTTCTCTTTTTATTTAATTCTATCTTCTAAAAGATTATTTTATAACTCCTGATATTGTTCCTGTTAGTTGAATTATTTTAAATTTTATGATTTCTCCGAAATTAACATCTAACAATTCTCTTCCAAAGATTTTGGTCTCTTTATACTGTATAATTTAAAATCATCACTTATACACTTTTATTTTTTTGTTTTATTTTTTACGTATTCGTATTCACTTTCATCCTCAGAATCATAGCTTTATTTTTTATTCTATTTTTAGAAATATTTTTACTTTCCCACAAACTATTCCCATGTTGTGATTAATTATTATATATATATTTGTTTAAAAATTTAGTATTTCATTTAAATATATATTAATATATTTTAAGGCTACAATATATACTGTTACCAATAACAAATTATAAAATAGGGAAAAAATTAAAATAATATTAACTAAATCAACGTAATTGATTTACTTCATTCATTTTAATTATATAATTATTTAATGAATTTTAATATCCTGAAAAAATAAGAAAATTTAAGATAACTTCATTTAACAAGATCTTTTTTTATAATTTATGAGAAGATCAATCTTTTTTCATAATTTTAAAACTCTAATGATTTAAATAACATTTTTTAAATAAATTTTAATGATTATGAATTTTAATTCAATTTTGAATGATTCTAAATCAAATGATGGACTTTTTAAAGTCTATTGATATATATGATTAAGATTAGGCCGAATTGAATATCATTGTTACAAATTAAGCTGAAGAATTAGGACATTAAGTTTTAGCACAACCTAAAAGTTTTCCTGTTGCAAAACTTTTATTCAAACATATCTCAAATTATTCATATGAATTATCTTCAGCAATATGTGACTTTAGATCTTTTAAACAAGAAGTTAATTATTTGGCACTATGATATGAATGAACCAAATTAATACCATTCACTTGACTCCATACATTCCATAGCTGAACCCTTACACATAACAGGATTGCATTATCTCATGTTGAGACAATTAGTTAGAGTAATTATGAAAGCTATCATAACTAGACTTTTCATCCTTTTTATTAAAACGAATATATATTATTAATATTTAAACAGAACATTAATCCAAAAATATTGGAATCCATTATGCTTTTTCATTAGTATCTTCTATTTTATTAACTAGATAAGATACTATTGTTTTTATTTTTTTTATTTATAACAACGTATTTTTTTCTTTATTATAGTATTTTCATAACTTATCTTAAAAGACTATTAGATCTATTTCCTAAAAATTTTATGCTCAAGTTTACGCACTTTTGATTCAACGGATTAAATCTTAACTTATATCTATTCTTCACATTTTAATTTTTTTTTATATAAATTATTATTTAAATAAAAACTTTGATAATATTTTTTTGATATTATTATTTTAGTAATATTTTAAAATATAAAATATCAAAAAAGAAACTAAATATATCTTAAGAATTCACAATTGTGTAGTAAATGTTTAATTTGATTTGATTCGAAATGTTTGAAATAAATTGATAACTATTGAGAAAAAATAATTTTGAAAATTTAGAGAAATTTAAAATTCTTTTGAATTTTACAAATTTTGGTCGTTGTTTGAAAAATGATTATTAAATGTAATAATAAAAATAGAATCTATAAAAAATCTTAAATTGAAAGTCATTGTTAAAAATATGTGGCAGTTCTTTGTTTATATAATCGATGATGCTATTTGAAATTTTAATAATGTGAAACATCGGCTTGAAAATCAATGAAGGATTCTCTAGTTTTGTATAAGAAATCATTAATTTTTTATCTAATAGTATTTTCTTAAGGTGATTAAACAGTGTGTTGACTGCATTTTTTTTCGAACATATTTTATATTTAGAGTTTTGTTTATGGAACTGTTACAGGATCAGGATAAGAAGTTTTAGACATTCTTAGATTGTGTTTTACTTCATGATATTAACCTAAGATTTCTTATTCTTATAATTTGACTAAACTTTGTTGAATATGATGATAAGCATTATTTTCTTCAGTTTCATCATCTTTAAGCATATCATATTTATCAGATATCATTTATACTATTTAAGATTCTGATCTGATTTGTTTTCTTTTTAGTGGTTTAGATAATAACTCTTTAGCTTTAACAATTAATTAGTCTTCTTCTTCTTCTTAACATTATTCTGGTTTATAAAATACGATTCTTGTTTAAGATACCCTTTTTTTTTCAAAAGTAGGAATAGAGCTTTTTTTCTTATTTAATCCTAGATGAGAAACAATGTTTAGTATTCTTTTATGTCTCTCAATATAATTATTATTTGACATAATATAATAATTTAATTCGTTTTATGAAAGTAATCGCATCATTTTTGATAGCAATGATAGTGTAATCTTAAATATTGGACAAATATCAAATAATAGGAAATCCAAAACCAAGTTTAGTGAGTATTTTAACAGAATTGCAAACTTAAATAAAGTCTGGTGGAGCATAAACAACAACAATAGCATTTTTAGATAATTTAAAATCAACAATAGATGAAGAATAGATAAGACATGATTAATTATATACTTAATAGAGAAATTAATGTTCATCAGAATTAGAATTAAGAAAAAAAGATATAAAAGATGCAGAATAGGTTAGTTCAAGAGCAAATGAATAATTGGAAAATTGTGCAACATCTAATAATAAAGCAAGATCAGAATTAGATAATAATTTAGAATCTTAAAAAGTATGTTTATTAATTTTAAATAGACTACTGATAGTGATATTAAAATATTGAAAGGAATACGAGATGAAGCAGCAAGATTATTTTCAAATAAAAAGAGAGATCATTTGGATGCTTTAACATCACTTTAGTAAGTATTATTAACATTGGATGGATTTACAGGAGGAGATTGTACTTTAGCAGAATTAGGGAAAGTTGCAATGGCTTTTATTTAAACAGCAGTAATAGCAAAGAATGAAGAACCTTTAGTAGATATATCTGAGATATTTGCATAAGTAGCAACTGAAAATGGAGGATATAGAGAAGTTTATGAAAAATTAAAATAATTGATAGTAAATTTTGAATAAACTTTATAAAAAAATTTATAAGATTATTAAGATGTTGAAGATTTATAAATATAAGAATATGATGATCGTAATATTCATTTAGTTGAATATTTTAATAATTTAAAAAGAACAGAATAATAATTAAGAGATCACATAACAGCAATGAGTATGTGTATAAATTAATAAACTGCAATTGTAGATACAGCAGGAGGAAAAAAGGTATTATTAAAATTTTGATTTAGAATAGACAAGAAATTTGTAAATGTTAGATTCAGTTGATAGAATGTGTAAAGATTTTCTTATGGAATATGATAAGGCGAGTTAAGTAAGAAAAGATTAAATTGATCTCATAAATTAAGTAAAATAATCTGTTTATGATTTCTACTCTTAAAAACCATAAGCAGCATGTCCTGGATAAGGAAGTGATTGATTATTCTATTATAATATATATTTATTTTACAGTTATGTAAATCTTTGATTAGATGAAATATAATAAGATGATTTAGAATTAAATATAATTTTATATTTTAATATAAAAATACGAATAAATTTATAATACTTAAGAAGATATTAATAATCACATTAACATATATTTAATTAAATTTACTAATGGGAAATTGCAACGGTTGAGAATTTGATCATAAAAAATAAAATGGTTTATATATTCGTATAAATAAACCATTTTATTTTGCAGGTGAAGAAGTTCAAGGTAATTATATAAAGTAAATTTAGGTAATATTTATTTGAATATTGGTAGGGGTTCTTTTCTTTGTTCAACAATTTACTTAAAAGTGAAAGGATCTGAAAAAGCAAAATGGTCAGAAACAAAAACAATATGGGAAACTATTCCAGGAACAGATCCTCCATAAACATAATCAAAATAAGTTACAGAATATTATGATAATGAGAATGAGTTTTATCAACACAAGATTCCAGTTTACATATTTTAATAAGGGTATTCTATGAAATAAAATAATTTAAAGAATGATACGGTAAGGATAATATACTTTTCCTTTTACTTTTAATTTAAAAAAGAATTTATCAGGATCATTTGAATATTTAGAAAAAGACTGAGAGTGTAGAAATAGATTCACCAAGTAAGAGCTTAGATAAGATTAAATATCAATAAGAATTTTTAGTAAGAGAACCTATTAAAGAAATTGTTAAATAAACAGAAGGATAATAAGTTTTGTAACCTACATCATGTTGTTGTATAACAGCATGGGAGTAAGTTATATAATATATAATATAGACGATATTTTTTAAGTTTCAGTTTGATAAAACAGCTTGTCAACCAGGTGATATTGCTCAATTATAAGTAGAAATTGATAACTTAATCAAAAGTTATTGATAACTTAATCAAAAGTTAACATACCTGCTATAACAGGTAAGTTAACAAATACATTAAGAATTGTGAGTAAATAAGGACTTTATAGATTGATACATAGAGTATGTGGAAACTCAATTATACCAAGACTTTAACCAGGTTAAGCTTCTTTAAATGAATAAAGAAAGAATATGACATTAACATAGATAGATTAAAATTAAAATAAACCTTTAGATCCAACTACAAATGGAAAAGTTGTAATGAATAATTATCAACTCTCTGCTGTTGGAGAATTAGATGGAATATGTTTATGTTGTACATAAACTCCTGGAATTGAATTTCCTCTTAGAATCGTTGTTAAACAATATCAAGTTATGATTAACCAGTTATTGCTCCTTCTGGATGGAATCCTTAAGTTATGAATGTATTTTTAAGTACGACTCAATTTTATTTTTAATCTTTCAATATAAATTTGAGAGAAAATATTAAATTTTTAAAATTTGAAAGCTGTAATGTTGCAAGCATTTAAATCTAGTCATGTTAATTATACAATCTTATCTATATTTTAGTCTGTTTCTGTCCAATTTAATGATACATATAAATATTAACCTGCTATTGGTCGTGTTTGACTTCCAATATAAAATTAAAATCCNAACACAAGATTCCAGTTTACATATTTTAATAAGGGTATTCTATGAAATAAAATAATTTAAAGAATGATACGGTAAGGATAATATACTTTTCCTTTTACTTTTAATTTAAAAAAGAATTTATCAGGATCATTTGAATATTTAGAAAAAGACTGAGAGTGTAGAAATAGATTCACCAAGTAAGAGCTTAGATAAGATTAAATATCAATAAGAATTTTTAGTAAGAGAACCTATTAAAGAAATTGTTAAATAAACAGAAGGATAATAAGTTTTGTAACCTACATCATGTTGTTGTATAACAGCATGGGAGTAAGTTATATAATATATAATATAGACGATATTTTTTAAGTTTCAGTTTGATAAAACAGCTTGTCAACCAGGTGATATTGCTCAATTATAAGTAGAAATTGATAACTTAATCAAAAGTTATTGATAACTTAATCAAAAGTTAACATACCTGCTATAACAGGTAAGTTAACAAATACATTAAGAATTGTGAGTAAATAAGGACTTTATAGATTGATACATAGAGTATGTGGAAACTCAATTATACCAAGACTTTAACCAGGTTAAGCTTCTTTAAATGAATAAAGAAAGAATATGACATTAACATAGATAGATTAAAATTAAAATAAACCTTTAGATCCAACTACAAATGGAAAAGTTGTAATGAATAATTATCAACTCTCTGCTGTTGGAGAATTAGATGGAATATGTTTATGTTGTACATAAACTCCTGGAATTGAATTTCCTCTTAGAATCGTTGTTAAACAATATCAAGTTATGATTAACCAGTTATTGCTCCTTCTGGATGGAATCCTTAAGTTATGAATGTATTTTTAAGTACGACTCAATTTTATTTTTAATCTTTCAATATAAATTTGAGAGAAAATATTAAATTTTTAAAATTTGAAAGCTGTAATGTTGCAAGCATTTAAATCTAGTCATGTTAATTATACAATCTTATCTATATTTTAGTCTGTTTCTGTCCAATTTAATGATACATATAAATATTAACCTGCTATTGGTCGTGTTTGACTTCCAATATAAAATTAAAATCCATAAGGATATCAAATCCAAATTAACCCTATTATGGATGATTTATTTTAAGAATAATAAAAACATAATAATTCATTTTATTTTAGATATCATAAATATCTTTAAATTATGTTAGAATCTAAGAAAATTATTAAGAAGTTTATACATATAATATAATTATAATAATTAAAAATTTCATGGGTTCAATTTGTGGAACCAACAATAAAAGAGTAATTCCAAAAACAAAGAAAGCACATTTAGGTTTAAGATCAGGTTAAACAATATCCTAATAATCGGTGTTCTAACCACAATTAAATAAAAAAACATAAGAAATTAATTAAATTCATAAATTGGATATCTAGGATGAAGACTTAGTTAATTGGGATGATCCTATGAAGCATTGCACAAATCTTCTTAAACCAAAAGGCTATAAAGTTGCAAGAATACTAAAGACAACTAGTTCATCAATTACTGCTGAAGTACTAGATGTAACTTAAATATTAAATATTTTAGGGTTTCGGTACATAATTAATATTTAAACGTTCTCTTTTTGATAATTTTGATAATGCTTCAAATAATATATCATATTTATATAATATGAATAAAGTTAGTACAGATGGTTTGTTAAGATTTACATCATTAACAATTAGTTAATTTGAATCAATTAATGTTTAATTAAGACCTGATAAAACACTTTATGCTATTGATAGAATGATACCTAAATATAATACTTTAAGTGATTCTCTAGAAAATTTAAAATTAGAATCTCTTATGTAAAGTTTACTAATTTTGGAATAAGTTAGTGATGCATTAAATTAATTACATAAAGAGAAATTTGCTTATCGTTTTCTCAGACCTGAAAGCATTTTGACAAAAGATGGTAAAAAGTTTCTATTAAGTAATCCTTCAATTTAAACTAATCAAAAAGAATAGGTAATAAAAAATCTAATTTTAGAAAATTATCAAACATTTCGTTTAATAAGAGAGTGATTACTATATTTATGATTGTGTAATATTTTCGTTGTTATTTCTCTTCCTAGTAGATCATAAGATTTACACTTTCGATTCTCTAATAGAGTTGAGATTGAATTAAGATGAATGGGAAGGGTAATTTATATTAATTTAAGTAATTTAGATTAGTTGATAACTATAAGTAATCAATTTCATCTTAATTTGAAAATGATGTACCATAAATGATTATGTAATTAATTGAATAAATGAGTGTTTTTGATAAATTTGATATACCTAAAATGAGTGATATTAATCATGCTATTAAAAGTGTTAGACAAAAAGGAATGTAAACATATTTCAAAAACGATTCACTTGGTGCTTATTTATAATATCACAAAGAAAAAGTTTTGTCTGAAGCATCTCCATGGTTATATTTCACTAAAGCAAATCAAATTCATTTATATAATTTTGAAACCAATAAGTTTCATTTTTTGAAAGTTTATAGAAAAAAATAACCTTTTAAAATTGAATCTGACGTAGTTTATCATCCTAATGAAGATAAATTTTTTTTCTTTAGTCATAATGCATCTACTTTCTTATTAAAGGTTTATGATGAATCACATGATAGAGGATGTATTAGTTAAAAAAGAGAAGTTGAATTATTTAGAAATATCAAAAAAGTTAAATTTGAAGATCCATAATTATTGGTTATCAATTTTTAAATAGATGATGAAAATAATTAGGAGTAACCTCTAGAAGTAATAGAAGATAAAAAAGATGTAAAAAATGGAAACAGGTAATAATAATAGTAACAGAATGTCTTAGATTAAGAACCTAAATTATTATCAAAAATTATGATTATGAATTAATAATAATCTCTTGATGAAGCCACTTAAGAGGTTTATTTCAATTCTTATGAAGTTGCATTTAATTTAGAATTAGTAAAGAATGATAATGAAGAAGATATTTATAATTATGGAGATGAAGAATTTATAAGCAAGAAAGTTATTAAGATCTATTAAGGTCCTAAGAATTATTAATGGCATAGAAGTTCCTTTCATTTCTTTGATCCACATAATAATTATATTTATTGTATACCTGATTACAACAATGTTTTCTAAAATGGAATTAGATATTGTTATTATGATATTTCAAAGAGAAAAGGGAATTTTAAGGAAGGTTTGTTAAGATTTGCTTGTAGCACTGATGAGATATTCAAACAATTTTGTTTGCTAAATTTTAAAATTAAACATATAGTATTTTGTATAGAAGTTTAACATGGTGTATTTTTAATGTAAGCATCAAAAAACATATTTATTTTGGATTTCAACTTTAGATGTTTTTATTCTTTGGCTTCAATTACATAATTGTAGAATTATAAAGAGAATAACAAAGAGAATCCAATTTTGTTTTAAAATGCTTACGAAACAAAAAATTAACCATTTGAATTAAAATGCTTAGATGCTGGTGGACATAATTATTTATTTTAAAGTGGATATTTGCATTGTTTAGCAAGAAAAGAAATTGAGACAGTTCATTGTGTTTATAACATCCTTCCAAATTAAGCATGCATAGAACTTTTAAATTGCTATTCTTTACATACAGGTTAAGATCTATTACTTTTTATTCCGAAAACTCTTAATTTTGTTATAAAAGCATAATAAAAATAATTGGATGAGAGTGTGTTTCGAAGATATTCAAAAGTAATTTCTTTTTAGTTATAATTTTAGCATGTTCGATAATATGGTGTAATAAAAGATTTGTACGCAGATCAAAATGAAGCTTATTTAAGTGCAGAGACGGTGGAAGAAAAATAAAAGTTTTATTTACATCAAATAAAGGTTGATTCTTTAGTTCAAGTGTCTTAATTGTTCTAAGCATTCAATAAGAAAATTTCATCAGAAATTCTATTGACACCTATTGAATATTTTGCATGTTCTGAAGAAAGTATCAAAATTATTTAACATAGAAAATTCTTTTTATATGTATTATGTTAATGAAGAAATTTCAACAACTTTAGATTCTGAAGTGGAAAATAGAAAATTATATAAAAATCCTTTTGAAGCAAAAGAATTAGCATTAATTGTAAAAATTATCTTTAAGGCTTTAAAAGAATTGAAAGATAATTAATTGGAACATGGAAATTTATCAACTAATAGTTTATGCTTCACTAAAGCTGGTATAATTAAAATATCAGGTTGGTATGTGGCAAATAGAAAGAATTTTTCTACTGATATTGATGATGCAGTAAAAGTATTATATTGTTTGGCAACACTTTAAAGAGTATAAGATATTGAATAAATGGATTTTGCAGATCCAGCAATTGCAGTATATGATGGATTGGGTGAATTTTTAAAAGCCACTTATAAATTACCAAAGAAAACACCCTTTATGAATATTTTAAATTCAGCATTAAATTTAAGCAAATAATTAACAGCTTAGAATGTAGATTTCAATGAAATGTAAAGTAAAGCTTAAGCAATCTTATGGGTTTCTTATGGTTAGAATTATGTAATAATTACTCCATTAGAAAATATGAAAGACCCTAGATTTATGAAAGTTTCCATCTTAAAACCAAATTAAACTAATTTTAAAATATCCAAACATTGTATGTTTACTTTTAACTTTGTTGATGTAATTTATATTTCTGGAGCAATTAAAGAAGATTTAAAAACTTAACATCTTTATGAATGTGCTTACAATAAACACAAAGATACATAGACTGTTACTTTAAAAAGATTACCTGATATTCCAGCTCCAATCTTAAGTCCATCCTTATTATATGCAGAAGGCAAGATCTATGTGATTGGAGGTTATGAACTTGGAGAAAATTTTCACAAATAAATAACTGACAAGGTCTTTGTTTATACAATTAAAACAAAATAATGGTAATATTGTTATTCTAATTATTTTTAATAGGAAATCCTTAAAAAATCTACCAATTAATATCTATGGAGGTACTGCTCTACATGATGAAGATAAGAATATTATATATTTATTTGGTGGTGTTTCAAGTGAAATCGATCTCACTTCTGATAAACTTATTTATTTTACTTATGATATCTTAAAAGATAATTGGGAATTTAATGTTGATTTATCTTATAAATCTCCATTCGTTAATTCACGTTTTACAAAACCTATTGTCGACATGGTAAGTCCTAAATTATTTATATCCTATTATAAAACAGAAGAGGATTTTTTTATTGATGTCTTTGAACTTGTCAAGGCTGGTGTTAGCTTAAAATTTAAAATTAAAAATCCTATTGCTAAAAAGAAAAATGAAAAAGAAAACTTGGAAGCTTATTGTGAAAAAGCTCCTAGAGATTATGAAAGAACTTTATAAGATGATTTATCAATGGCTGTGTATAAAGATTCTGTATATGTTTTGGATGAAGAAACATAAAACCTGAATGTTTTCAGAATCAAAGATGTATTTCATCCTTAAATTGATATTGTTAAATGTTAAATTAGAGACAGCAATCCAATAACCATTCATTTAGTTTAATAGGAAGCACAATAATAACAATAATGAATAAACTTATAATATTATATATTTAATATTTATTGTATAAGATCATAATTATTTTTTGATAAATTTCAAGGTTAAGATAATAAACTATATTTTGTCATTCACAAATAAAATAATATGTACCCAATTTATTTGAACAGGATTAACAATAGTGATGAGCATCTTTACAGTACTTATTAATCATATACTTAATACTCTCATACAAAAAGGTAAAAAAAATAAAAAGAAAAAAGGCGTTAAAAGCATTAAACAGCAACAAAGACAGCTTCCCCATCCTGGTTTAGATTCCACTTTTGATATCATTACAATCTAGCATTTTTCACATTTTAACACTTAAGGCTCTCTACTATAAGGTTTTGAAGGAGCAAGCAAGATTGCTTAATACTATCAAATAAGAATACATCTATCTTCTTTTTTGAATTCTTAATTTCCAAATGATTTATTTTCATCATAAACCTCATTAGGTTGATCTAATTACTTTTTTTATAGAATCATTTCATATTATTATTATCGCTATTATAACACTAAATGTTAGGACAAAGGTTATTGAATAGGTTATCGTAAATTATCTACTACCTCTTATACTTAGTTTTAATTTTAGTTTATTTATGATTAAGGTAATCTTGTCTTTAATGGAACATCCTCTTAATCATAATTATTTTGTCTCATTTATTAAATTACAGAGACTTATGGTACATCATCACCATTAGCCTATGCATGTGTTAACATCTAGGTTTTATTTGACATAAGGATTTTTAATTTTCAATAATATTTGTTTTTAGCAAATTTTATTTTTCTAATTTATATAACAATTTAATGATACTAAATAGTTTTTTTTGATGTCTTAATGATTGAGATCAGCATAAAAATTTTTATTAATTTTTGTTTATCTCCTCAATAAATTCTTTGCAAACATATAGATTTTCAAAAATATAAATTATCATATTTTAGATGAAGATGTTTTCAACAAACTGAAAAAACAAAATAAATAATAATTATTTATTCAATTTAATTAATTTTAGCTTTCATATAGCTTTATCATTTTCTAAACCCACAAAATTTCCTCCTTAAATCCTTCTTTCATATAAAAACTTAGTAAGCATTTATATCGCTTAATTTTATCATATTTTTTAATCAAAAAGAGTTTTTCCAAGTCATTTATACATAAATTTATACTACAACAATCAACAGTTTCATTCATTAAACAATTCCATAAATAACAATGATCAAATCCAAGTGTATGCATCAATTCATGAACTATAGTACCATAAAACTCTTTTTTATTATCTTAAAATTAAACAACACAAACTCCATCTCCACATGCTCTTCCTAAAATATTTGATTCTGGTTCTAATGGATCAAAGATATTTTAATCAATGATTGCTATTAAACTACAAATATGTTATGGTTTAATTTATATTAAAACATCGAAAATACTAAATACATCTATAGATTCATATTTATTTCTTTTTAATTTGTACTTTTTTTTATTCTTTAAATCTTCAATATAATATAAGTTTTTTTCATAGTACAAAACCAATTTCAAATTAAGAATGTTTACTTTTAACCCTATATATGTATTTATCCATTATTTGATATCATTTAAATTTACTGATTTTTCAAGGCTTAAATTGATTATACCAATTGTATCAAAATTCTTTTTTATTTAAATTCTTCCAGTTCCTTCTTCATTAGGTTCTTATTATCCCATTTTTATAAAATCATCTAAAAGTTAAATATCCTCGGAAACTATATCTTATTCTACTTAAATTTCTTGAAACTACTCTAAAATTTAAGGATTCATATTTTTTATTTATTACAAAGCTTTATTTCTAAATTTTTCTCCTTTCAAATCCTTTTTCATAAATTTAGCAGAAAAATAAATTATTAATTGATTTAAATTTTATTATAATAAAATATAAATACAAGTTAGATTTATTCAAAATTATTTATTGGTTTAAAAAATTCTTAATAGATTTTCTAATAATAATTAGATAAAAGTAAATTTTTTAGATATTTTAGTATTAAGTAGATTTTTATAATATTTTGATTAGCTTCTATATTTTTATATAAAATAAAATATTAGATTAACTATTATAATATTTATATAGACTGGTACATATCCATAATATTCATCTTTTTGAGGTAGAACCAAAAGCGATGGGAAATTCGAGATTAAGTTTGGATTGATTACTTATAAGATTTGAATTATTATCATAATATGTTGGAGAATTTTACTTACTTTCAAAAATGCTTACCCTTTTAGAATATTTATCAAACCTTATGACACTTTTAGCAATTGATTAATCTTATATATTATATTATCCAACACCAACAGATGCTTCTTGATCTATATATTTAGTTCTTCCTTATTATTTTCCGAATGGTTAAACTCTGCTTTCTGATTATTTGAAAACACTTGGCAATTCATATGAGCCAGGTCCTGGAACATCCTAAGCTTTTGAGAGTTTGTCTCTTAAAAAAAAGAGTTCCAAACTTTCTAATGATTAAAGTTTAGGTGGATGTTTCAGATATTGCTAACTTGAAGTTTTTTTACTTAAAGGTGATTATGATCCTAGATAGAGTGATTAGGAATCATTTAAAGATAATTTTGATGTTCTTTATAATTTCTACAGTTTAATAAGCTTTCCCTTTTTAATAGTGGAACGCACTTGACTATCAAATTCATTGTTAAAATCATTTGGTTTATTGCTAAATTTAACTTATTTCTTAAGTTCTTAATATATTTTATTTTATCTAACTCTTTAAATTCCACTTGCATAACTATGCAAAGGATAATTTAAATCAACTTTTTTATCATAACATAGCTATGAATCACTTTATGGATATGATTCATTTTTTTTATGAAGACCATGTTTATCTGTATGTATGAGTGGTGCTGGTTTATCTAATTTAGTAATAATATCGTAAAGACCTACTCCTGGATTAAAGTTATCTTAATTTGTTTCTTTTTTACTTTTTAAAAACATATTATATATAATTATTAATTAAAAGCCTTAATTATTATATTAATGAAGATAAATCTTTAAAAATCATATATAAAAATTTAAATTTTACATATATTGTTTCTCAGCGAAGAAATAATTGTATTTCTAATGATAGAGTTAATTATATATACTATTAAATAAAATAGATAACTATAATCAAATTTCTGTTGTCAACTATTTAAGATGAGTTCTTCTTTTTGGAACACAATGTCTTAAAGTTGGTAATTCTTGAACAACTTAACAATTGTCAAATTCATCAATAATAACATGAGAAGTTTAAAAAGTAACTTATCTTTTATTACTATTGATGATTGATTTAATTTTTTTATTTATATTCTCCATTTCTGTCTATTGTCTTTATGTTTACATTTCTTAAAATTGAAAGATATCATCCATATTCTTTTTATTTTGATTTAAATGTAATGAGAGACTAGGAATAATAGGCAAAATTTGATTGATTTTTTATGGTGATAATCCATTTCCAATAGCACATCTTCTTCTAACAGTTTTTGGAAGGATAATATCTTCTGGTATTTCTAATTCTAAGACTTTTTCTCTATTTTCAATTTCTATTTCTAATTTTTTTGGTTAACTATCAATTTGATTTAAAAACAAAGAAGGACAGAAAGGTTTGTTTTTATTTAAATGTGTTGATTATCTTTAAGAAATAGGAGTTAGATCTATAAAACTATCCTTTTTATACATTAATAATTATTTGTTAATATCACTTTGTAATATGATTATATATTTCATAATAAAGATTCCATAACTTTCATCATGGCTCTTTCTGCTCCTAATTCTTACCATTCTTATCTGGATATCCAGAAATTGGTTTTATCTTTCATAATATTGGATAGAAAAGAAGCACCAATGAATACATTATATTTTCTTCTAGCTGGATCCTAAGGTTGATAGAAATTGAAAATAAATACCAAGACTTTAATTTTAATTTTAGAGCTAGCAGCATATGCTGTATTTCCTTTTAATACAGTTTCTTCGAATATGGATTTCAATTAATTTTATAATCTAGTAGGGAATCCTGGGAACATAGTAGTACCACCACTAATAAGAATATTTTCATAAAATGTTTTTCTAGCATCAATAGGAGATTTCTAAAAGAGTATAAATAAGATTACTTAAATAGCATTAAATACTATATCAGCACATCCAGGAGCATCTTTACCAAGTAACCATGGAGAGAATAAAATCTCAGGAGCCATATATCTTTCTTATCCAATTTTAACTTTTCCTCCATCAGGTAATCTAAATGTAGTTTCATGACATGTTGTTTCTTATGCTAATTTATTATCCATTCTAATATCAGAACTTACAAAACATGATGCTTCTTTAATTTCTCTAACTAATTCAAAATCAGCAGAAGAATTAAAAGCATATCCTCTTTAAAATAATAATTTGACTAATTAATCTGTCACATGTCTTCCAGCTATATTCATTCTCTAAGCCCCTTAATTCAAACAAAATCCATCATATACTGGCATACAATGTGTAACACCATCTCCTGCATCTAATAATAATGCTGTTCTTAATCCTTCTGCAAATAAAGGAAGTAAAGCTTAGATTCCTACATTAAGTTAATTAAATCCGAATTTCTCGAATTTAATTTCTGCCATCTTTTCTCTATTTTTTTTAGGATTTCCAGCTGCCTCTGTCATTAATACTGTTTGATCTTTTGGATTAATTCCTAACTAAATTATTATTAAATTCTATCTATATACTTTCTTATAACCATATTCCCAAATTAATTCCATATCCTCCCAATTTTTCACTACTCCTTCTTCTAATGGATGAGTCAATTCTAATAATCCTCTATATGGTTAAGCTTCATCTCCTATCATAATATCCTAACATAATCATCATTTCTATCTACTTTTAATTAAACATCATCCAATTATTCATCTGCTCTAAGTGTTGGTCTTCCAACCATAGCTGGAAATGAATGTGCTGGAAAATTATCTCCTGCAAAACCAATTTTTAAATATCTAACAAAGTTTGCATTTTATACCCTGTTCCTGAATCTTCAATTATTGGTACAGACATTATATTAATTATTATATAAAAATATCTCTTATTCAATATAATATATCAATATTAAATATTCTTATATTTTTATTTCTTTTCTTTTATTCTTTAACTCTCTTAATTCAATCTTATATTCCTACTATCACTATAATATTTAAATATTATATACACAAATTTACAATGCATACTAATACACATTATAAAAACTTTTCAGAAATCAATTTGCAAGAAAATAAAACTATTCCAATTCCAAATTAATTTCTTAGTGCTAGAACCATAAGACCCTCTCTTTTTTTAAATGAAGATCTTCATCTTCCAATAATCTCTCCTTAAAAAAGATAAACTACTGAATATCACATCATTAAATAAACTCTACCTAAAAGTCAAGCTGTTAGTCCTGTCTTTAGAAAAACTTAAACTGAATAAGATGTAGAAGATCAATTTCTATTTTAAAAAAATACAGTCAGGAAATCTAAAAAATAAAAATTATTTCTTAAAGACCATCGTCAATCTCACTAACTAATACCTTAAATTGAAAATCATTTTCATAATACGCCTGAAATTTCTACTCCCAATAATAAAATGTCCATCCTTAATAATTTTCCTAATGAATCTCAACCTTTGAACTCTCCTTTTGCAAAATTAGGTGCTCTTGTATTAAATCAAGAATATCCAAATCATATCATTGATTATAGAAGTTCAAAAGAAATTGATCAACCATAAAATATTCGTATGTCATTACCTGACCAATTCATTTAATCAAATTAGATTCATAAACCACCACAACATAAAAAAGGTGTTTCCTTCCGTAGATCCATATTTGTAATTGATATCAATAATGGACAAGTCACTAAAGATTAATTATCAGAAAATGCAAAACCACTATAGTACATATAAAAATCAGAAATTAAAGAAGAAGATCATAATGATATCAAAAAACTAATATTTCGAAGAACAAGAAATTTACATTAGAGTGACACCTTAATCTGAGTATCATGAGTATTGATTGAGCAAATTAATTATTGCTTTTTATATCGATTAATTAATTTATTTATTTAACTTATATTATTGTATTTATTCGTTTTACTTATTCTAATTAATAAGTATTGAGAACTTCAAAATTTAGTACCACCAATTCACAATTTAGATGTTTAAATTAAAGATTCAAAATGTTTTTAACAGTAATTTTTAATAAAATTTAAAAACAACAATTTTTTTAAATCATTTACAATCTTGTTGTAAAATTAATCAATATCTATTTAATTTATAATAAATTTTATATAAATTATCTTAAAATCTTCTTCTCATAGATCTATTTAAACTTTTCAGAATTTCTACTAGCATAAATTTTTTCTAAATTTTTCTTTTAGAGGAAAATATAATTAATAATTACAATTTTATTTCGAATAAAAAATTTAATGAAAAAGAAATGAAATAAACTCTAAAAAAATAATCGCAATTCTAATCGAAGGATAAAACAAAAATCATCAATATTTTGGTATTCATTAATTAATAAATAGATATAATCAATTAAGAAGAAATCCTTAATAAATTAGAAAAATTGTAAACCCAAAATTAATAAATATTATATATCAAAAAAATGTTTGAAGTTAGTAAATAATAAAAAGCTTACTAAATTTATAGTTATGCCTTATTTTTAACACACGTAGAGTTGCCATTTGAATATAATTTTTTAAATCATATTTTTAATTGATTAATTTCATAATCCTAAACAAAATTTCGAAGTTCAAGATTAGCAAAAATAGTACTTATTTCAATAATTGTTAATTTAATTATTAGTTATGTATAATTGAAATTAATTTATGCTGAACTTTGCTTGCGCTTAAAAAATTGCCTAAAATATTTAAAATATATAAGTGATTAATTATAACTTATATACAATTACATGATTATTTATTTCATAGAATCAATAAGTCAGTCTCAAAAAGAGAGAGAATTTAGATAAAAAGAAGAAAGACTCATTCAATTTGTGAATTTACCTTAATAATAAATGAAATTATATAATAATTGAATAAAATTGATAAATTAATACTCTTAATTTAGAAATAAACTAAAATTATAAAGTGGTTTATTGAAAAAAACTTTAAATAAAATAATCAAAATATTTTTAAAAAGATCTTAATAGGAGAATGTTAATGAAATTGATGTATAGAAAAGGAAATAAGAAAAAATAATAATGATAAAATTATTGTTAAATGATTACTCAAGTAGGATTCAATAGACATCAGAATTTTTTTGACCTGAGAATTTATGTTCTTCAGCTAAATTAAAAAATTTTTCTTTTCCCAAAAGCACTTCCATTAATGAATCAAATTCATTTGTTTTGCTTATTAAAGTTTTTCTAAGTTCTAAAAATTAAATACTTATTAAATAATTTAGCAATAACCATATCTATAAATCCTTTGATTCCTTATTCCTAAGTTTTATCATGTTCCATTAAGAAAAATAAAAACATCCTTATTTTTTCTGTGGTGTCTTATCTCAACATAACATCATTAAAAGCGTATGATAATGCATTTGCAAAAGCAGCTCTAAAGCTAGGGTCAATTGCAGCATTTTTTAATATATCTGCAACTCTCAAATAAATTTAAAATTTACGCTTGATTAATTTCTTATTCTTGTGATAATGATTTACAAAATTCTTTCACTTCATATTTGAATATTGGATCATTTATTACTTAAATTATTAATTTTTGAGTTTATTCTTGAATTAATTTATCTGAAAGTAAATCCAAAACTAATTTCTTTCCAAATACTTTTGAATCCTCTAAAAATGAAGGATCTTATATTGATTTTTTAAGCAAAGTAACAATACTATCTTAAACCTATTATTGCTTTCCTAATCTTTATACAAAATCTACTGATTCTTATTATACAACATTATCTCTAAGGATTGTTTAAACTTCAGTCTAATAATCAAAACAAGTTTACTTTAACAAAGCTATTAAGAAAGACTTCAAAGGGTTATCCTGGTCCTAATTCATTCTAAACTGTTGAAACAAATGAATTTCTAATAGTTTGAAAAAAATCCTTATAAATGGGAAAAGTTATTAATGCAATTAGTGTAGTAATTTTTCCTTTATGTGGTTACAAAACTAATTTTACATTTTTCCATTCTTATTCAATAGCAAATGATTTCTAAAATGTTTTGAAGGGATGTCTAATTGGTTAATATATTAATGTTAGGAATTTCTTAGTTTTATTAAACATTATCTAAATAAAAATAAAATTATAAATATAGTTGTATGTATGTTATTGTATAAAATAGATGATAAAACACATTTAAATTAATTTATTTTGGTAAAGAAATATTAGAAATCATTTAAATTTGCATAAATTAGATAAAAGGTTTTTAATAATACTTTTAAATTTAAGATAATAATTTAAAAGGCTATATCATAAATTTAAGGAATAGTTCATTAATTTAATTCAATAATAAGACTATATTAAACAATATAAATCTATTTTTTAAATTAAAATAATAATAGAAAAAGAGAAGAAACATAGATCGATTATAAAATAATATATCTAAAAAGTATTCATGTTAATAATGTTTGATAATTCAATTATCCATTCTGACTCTTCTTCCTTCAACCCATTCAGCTTCAACTTCTCTTGCTTCTCTATCTACCAAAATTCCTTTTCCATGTTATTTTCCATCTTTCCAATAACCTTTATATTATTTTCCGTCAGACCATTTAAAAATTCCATAGCCTTCTTTTTTATCTTCCACATAATCACCTAAAAATATTATTATTTAATATTACCACTATATTATTTTCCATCAGGCCAATTAAAATCTCCTTTACCATGCATTTTATTATTTAACCATTATCCTTTATATTTTCTTCCGTCTGCCCAAACATATTCTCCAAATCCTATATAAATATATAGTATATAGTTAATTTACCTTCAATATTATTATCTCTAAAATCTCCTTCATAAGTTGCTCCATCACTCCATTTAAATTTTCCTTTTCCATCTTTTTTCCCATTTACGTAGCTACCAACATATTATGCACCATCTGGCCACATTTCTGTTCCTTTTCCATGTTATTAATCTTCTAACCAATCTCCTTCATATCTAGCTCCATCAACATGATAATAAGTTCCTTATCCTTATGCTCTATCATCAACCCAATCTCCATCCTTTATATTATTTATCTTATTACATATGCATCACCATCTGCATGAATTAATCTTCCTTTTCCATTTGCTGTATGTGAACTCCAAAAACCTTCATAAACTGATCCATCTGGCCAAAATTGTTTACCTTTACCCCATCTTTAATGTTTTTTCCATTGACCAACATATATAGCTCCATTTTCAAATTACTATTCTTTTTATTTGATTAAATACATATGGTCCTAACTCAACACAATCATGAAATTGTTAAAGAGAAGTTTAATCATATTAATAATTTCCAAGTTTTTCTAGAGTTTTACGAACTTATTCATTTTCTATTTAAGGCTCTTTTTCGTATGGTTTAGCATCTTCTGAATTAGGTCCTTAAGACTATATCTGTTGTCTTTATTTTTCTCTTTAAGCCTGAATATATTGAATTCTATTACATCATCTGGAGGATTTGCATTTTATAAATGTTCATCAACTTATAATGGCATAGATTCTTCATGTTTTATTGGCTCTTTCTCTATATATTCATTTTTTGCTTCCGTTGGCTTTACTGTCTCTTAAATATCATGTCCTTCAACTGTAGCCTCAAATTTTGTAGGAGCTGTTATATTAATCTCCTGAGATTAAGGTGTTCCAGTGCAACAAGTTGCTCCCATCACTTAAATTTTTTTTAAATAATATTAATAAATCGAAGTAAGAAACTCTATTCCTTATATAGTTATCCCTTAGATGTTATCATAAAGAGAATGACTATCACTATAAAATCAAAAGAAACTTATTTCTCCAATCAATAATCATATTTATCAGAAACAATAATATGATATAACTTATTAAACTTAAGTATTTATTGATTTATTTTCTATTCTTAATTCAATCTAAATTTTATTATTATTTACCTTATCTTTATATACTTTTATTATTAGGCAATTTAGAAAGAATTTGTTCAATTTAAATATATCTTATTCTATTTTTTAAATATTATTAGATCCATTATAATCTATTCTATTTTTGAGAAAATTAAAGAACTAATTTGAATTCGTTATAATTTTTCAGAAAAAATAGAATATCTTTAATTAAAGCATAAATTTATATATATATATTGAATCATTAAAGCAAATAATTAACAAATGATTTTATCGATGTTAGCTTTCTTGCAAGTTAAGCTAGTAATTGTCTTTTGATTGGCAAATTTATGAATAATTTATCATTCAATTTTATAGCTTCCATTATTCCAAAACTAATATATTTATTTTATATCAATACATTTATTACTAATTTAAATTTGGATTACTTAAAATAAATTAAATATATTTTGCAAACCAATAAGGAGGAATGGTTGATTATTTTAAAAACTTTAACATTTCCTCAATATCTTCATCAATATAAACATTAAAATATTGATTTTATTCATAAAGAAAATTTTAATATTCTTGTAATAAATATCCAAAGATATATTTAAAATTTTCTATATTTTCAATAATATATGGAAGCAAATGATCAACTTATTATTAAAGGCAATTTTCTGAAAAAAAATGTTAAAATTCTTTGGATAATAATTCATTTTGCTAAAGAGGACTCAATTTAGTAAATTATTCAAATGCAATTTTGGTGATAAAATCTTAGTCGAAATGAAAATCAATTAATAATTATAGAAAGGAACTTAAAGAGTCTCCTTAAGAATTTATAATGGTTTAACACACGAGAAAAATAAATGTGTTAAAATGATCCAAACGTCTTAAAATGCTCAAAAGGTGAATTAAATATTAAAGTTTAGTGTTTCGATCTATGAATTCTTATAAAATCAATTTTACAATTTCTTCAATTATTTCTAATAGATATAATTCATTATCTGTATCAACATCCAATAAATCATATATCATAAGTCCAATTTTGTAATAACATTTAGATCTTAAAGCAGACTATTTTAAATCATTAGTTTTAGTTTAAATTGCTAAAAGAGAATCCTTCATAAGTTAAATGAATTGAGGTAAGTTTTTTTTTGAAGTTAAGTATTTAATGATTTCAATAATAAATTTTTTACCAATTCTATCAATTTCATCATTCATGTAACCACAATTTAATTCATAAAATTTAGGTTACCAAATAAAAGGTTTATTGATTCCAAAATTGATGCATTTCATCATTTTTGGATAGATTTCATTATGTTTAGTCATTACTTTATAAAATAATTCAGCTCTAATATTTAACCATAAGTCTTCATTAAATTTCGAAATTCCACTTTACCATTCAACACTTTAACATGTTGCCCATAGATATAACTTATGATTATCATATGGAGCTCTTAATGTGGCTTTATAAAGTAATTCAAGAGTGAGTACCCAATTTTCATTTTAATATTTTGATAATTCCATGAAGTCAAATAATTTATCACCTGTTCCAAAAGGCTTCAAAGAATTTAAAATACAAGTTTCTTCTTCTGTTAAATTTTAATTCACTTAATCATAGTTGTGTGATAAAATATGATTCCATGCTTTATCTTGAGGAGACATAGAATCCCTTATTGTTTATTATCCAATACTCTAATGAGCCCATTAACAAATTTAATAGAGAGTATCATGTTCATAAATTAAATCACTGATAAATTATGCATCAGTGTATTAAGTTACTACTAAATTATGCTCAATATCATAATCATGCTGAATTTTGCAGTAAGTACATCTCCTTGGAAATTGAGAATCGTTACCCCTTATTTTAGTCAGATTTTAAATATGCTCTAAATCACTCAATACCTGTTGAAGTTAATAATTCACAATTTCACTTGAATAGTTGCTTTCTAAATGGTTATGCTTAAAGCTCATTTAATTATTTTTAAATTAAATAAAAATAATTTTTAGTTAAAAAGTAAAAGACTCATGTACTAAGTGTCAAATCTTCAAAATTTTAAATATAAATTAAAACTATTCTCTAGATTTACTATTTAAATGAAAAAATATATTATTAAAAGAATAAGTTTATATAGATTGAATAAAATATTTTTTATATTTAGTATATGCATAATTAAAACGATTTTTTGTTTTGTTTTATAAATCTGAATAATTAAATTCAAAAACAAATACATGATATAAACCAAAAATATGAATATTTCTAAGTAAAATTGACTAGATATATTTTCAAGATAAGGATTCTATTATAATATTTTATTATGCTTAATAAGGAACATTATATAAATATAAATGAAATTTTAATATTTTATATAAATAATAAGATGGGTTAGATGTGTACTGTTAAATAATCCTATATAAACACAGATCTTTAAAGTTATAATGGACGAGATGCTAGTTAAAATGATCAAAAATTACAAAATTAAGAGGAATCATAAATATAAATTAATAAGGAAGAAAAATAATATAGTTTTATAGCAAAAATGAAATGTAATAAATTGAGAATACATAAATAAATTTTGATTCTAAATAAAATAACTTTTATTCTCCATGGTTAAATTTGATTAAATCTTAACAAAAAACTATTATTAAAGAAGATCAATTTGTAATTATTTGGGACCACTAAATTAGAATACTGAATTGATTGACATTGAAGGAACTAAAATTATTGGTATAGCTCCAAAAATTTATATTGGAAATAATAATGATTCAAACCCTTAGATTAATATTCAAGCATTTTGTTAACATTTGTAGATGAGTAATCAGAATTTGCATTTAATTATCTAATGTCTGATAAATCAAGATATGAGGGTTTTTTAAGAAAGGTAAAAGGCATGGTTATGGAATATATTTAACATAAAATGAATATTTAGGAACTTATTATTTTGCCAGTGGTAAATAATATGTAGGTCAATTTAAGAACTCTAAATTCAATGGATAAGGAGAAATGTTTTGGGCTAACAATTAATATTATAAGAGTAATTATAGATAGCATTTGGATTAGGTCACTTTGTAAATGGATTATTTGAAGGTTAAGGATACTTTTATTAATAAGATTAATAGTTAATATATGATGGATTATGGAAGAATGGAAAAAAAATGGCAAGGGAAAATAAATTTAAAAGGGTATAGAAGTCATTGGATTTTGGTAAAATGATATTTTGCAAGAGGATAATTGAAAATATTAAATTTATGAAATAATCATAATAACCTTTAAAAAGCATACCAAATGTCAGAACCCAATATTATTTATCTTCTTCATCTTCAGGCTCTCAAAATCTTATTAAAACAAATAAAGGGAAATCAACATGTATTGATGATTCTAACAAAAGTAAAAAAATAATCTTATATATAAGCGAAGGAAAGTAATTTTTAATTAAATGAGAAGAGTAAATCTCAAAGTATAGTAACATATAAGAAAATAAATGTTAGTCAAGACTATCAAAAATCTGAAGATTCTTAAATGTTGCCATCTTTTAAGAAAGACATGCTTTAATCGAGATAATCTTAATAAATAGTTCAAAGAAATAAGAATTAATAAAGATCTGACTCTCCTTTAATACCTATTAATAGTTTACCTTAAATTGTGCCATCTAAAATTTCAACCAAAAATATTGGTATTGTTTCTGCCTATGCTGCTAATACTCATTAAGGATTGATAAGAACTTATAATGAAGATAGAGTATCAATAATACTTAACTTAATGAAACCTGCCTCAAATACATTCGTTGGATAATGGCCACAAAGTTCTTTTTTTGCAATTTATGATGGTCATGGAGGAGCTGCATGTGCTGACTATATGAAAGATAATTTACATCAATATGTATCTTCATTATTTAATTAGATTATTAAAGAAGATAGTTTTCCTTAAAATCCAAGATTAGCTATTTAAAGAGGGATAGAAAAAGCTGAAAAAACCTATCTTTAATTAGCTGATTAAAAAGTACTGGACAAATCTGGTTCATGTGCTGTAATAGCATTGATTGTTGATAAAGCAATTTATATTGCTAATATTGGAGATTCTCGTGCAATTATTTCACATCAAGGCAAAACATCATCTATAACAGTTGATCATAAACCTTCATAAGAAAATGAATAATAAAGAATTAATAAACTTGGTGGATAAATTTATTAAGCTTAAATTTAGATTTCAAGTGGAGATATTTAATTAGGACCATATAGAGTTTTACCTGGTAGATTAGCTGTTTCAAGAACTTTAGGAGATGCTGAGGCAAAATTACCAAAATATGGAGGAATTTAAGGAGTAATCTCTGCTTAACCTGATATTTTTCAAATCTCTATTACTGATCAAGATTTCTTGATTTTAGCTTGTAATTTTAATTTTAGATCAAGGTGATGGCATTTTTGATAAAATGAATAGTGAAGAGGTTATATCAAGTGCTTGGACTGTTATCTCGCATGATATTCATCATTTTGCTGGAAAAGCTGTTGAAAATATTATGAAACAATCCATGTCTAGAAAAACTGTAGATAATGTAACTGTTGTTTTCATTGCCTTTCCATAATTAGAAAAAAAATTCAAAAAATAAATTCAATAATGATTGCTTTTGTTAATCACCTATTACAATATTTTAATTTCTTAGATATTTTTTTTTATCGTATATTAAACCTAAAAAGTGAATTCTGATTAGAAAAATTTTAAATTAACTCACTATTTATCTTTTTTTCCATTCATTAATGGGTGTGTGTACTTCATAAAAAGCAAAGCCTAATAATAATGATATATCTATCAATTAAAAAAAGAAATCAGAAGAACCAAACTCAAATACTAAGCTCTTACTTTAACAATACCATAATCTAAATAAACTATTAGATCTTCTTGGCAATCTAGATCTATTAGATAAAAAAACTTAAGATCATATTAATCTATTATTTAGGATTCGCAACAATATTAAAATACTTATCATCCATGACTTAAAGAAAATCATGAAAGAATAAAACATCTCGAAAATATCCACTTTTGAGGATGAAGAATTATTATACACAGATTAATAATTCCTAAAAAGAATCGTACCTTAATTCTAATAACTGATTTCTGTACTTGACACTTTGCTTCATAATGACGATTTCGAAAACGCTTTTCCTATACTTATTCATGGTTTCCAATAAATAAATGAATCCATTAAGAAAATTCCAATCTAATATACCCTTACTTAAACTAGAAATTCAACCCTTTGATTTATATTTTGTATTAGAGATATTTAATATAATTTTCAGAAAATAATATTCTTCCATTTCATTCTCTCATGCTAAACTAAACATTTCATTCATTAAAATCAAATTAATTCCTCAAACTCTGATATTCTATCAGCATTCATTTCTTCTTGCGTGTTATTTAAACTTCCATAAGTGACTTTTGCCTTTCATTCTTTTTATTAAATAATAAAAACTAAATTAAGATAAAAAAAGAAATTTAACATAATTCAAGGTAGAAAATATTTTAATATATATTTAAAGATTTTGTACCAATATTCATTTTAGCGAACTTTCTTTTTGTATTCTTCTGAAATACTTTTTATTTAGTTTATTCAAATTGATAGAATATAATTGATAGTATCATATTATCTTACAAAGGAATTTGTTGAAAATTTATATTTTTGGTATTTTATATTTATTTCTAATCTTAATTTATTAAAAAAATTTAAGATTGTCCCTACTATTTAAATCTATATATCAAATTTTCCATTTTTATAACTTGATTTAAGCAATAATAATTATTTGAATCTTTAATTATATATAAATTTGATGAATGTTATTATTATAATCTATAAATAACTGCAATAAAATAGTATTGGAAAAAATTGATTTGGGCTTTTAATTAAATATTTTAACTGAAAGTGAAGATCAATTAAATTTTACTGATTTTGAAAACATAATCAATAATTTTCATACTAATATATTTAATAAGAAAATATAAGAAACTTTTTTTAAATAGTTATCCTGAAAAATGAAAATTAAAATAAACTTATTATAGTTCTGTTTATTTTTAAGAATATTGAGAAGAACTTATATAATTGAGTTAAAAAATTTTCATTTTAATAAAAGGGAAAATCATATAAAAAACTTGAAAGTATATTGTAGAGTTGAATTTATCTACTGCTTATCAATTATAACATATGTGAATAGACACCATATATAAATACGATCAATAAGAAGTACAATTTTTGTAAAAATTGGTATGCTATTGAATTGTTAGTATAAAGTTATTGGAATTCAACTGAGAATTTCCAAAAATTAATGACTCAGGCATAAGAATCCTTTGTATATGTTTATATAAGATATTAAAAATAATACAAATCAATTAATATCTGGAAAGAATGGTTACGATTTAAATTTAAGGATTAGATTGTTATTACTAAATATATTTTTTAAGGATTTAGTGCTTCTACTATATTTTTTACTTGAAAGCAGCTGTTAATTTTTTTTTTCATAATATTCTCTAATATCAATAACATATTGATGAAAATTTGTTGTATTTATCCGTTTTACTTCTTATGGTTTCATTGATTCAAAGAATCTCTATCTAGTAATTAACATTTAATGTTAAAGTTCTTTTTTTTTCTTAAAATCCCAATCACTAGAACTCCAATATCGAAGATGGACAGGACTATTTTATTATGCCATTTAATATTTATTAATAATAATATTAAAATAATATGTATACTTCAATCTTTTTATAACACAACTACCCAATTAGCATGGTCATAATAATTGTTTACTATCTTAAAACCTGGCATATCAGATAATAGTTCTTCAATCTCACCTTATTTAAAAACATGATAATATCGCTTATACACAACTGTTTTTTTTTGATCATCAATTTTAAATTATTATTGTACTTTAAATAAGAAATGAATGAAGTACCTTCTTAATTAATTACTTTTTCATCCTCATATTTAAATTATAAATTCCAAGGTACAAAAACATCCTATTCATTAAATGTCTTCTCCTCTTGTTCCATAGCCCAAACATATATCAATACTAAACCTTTAGATTTACAAATTCTTAACAACTCTCTTATTGCTTACTATCTGAGAAGTCTGAAATTTTAAATAAAATAAATTACTTATTTGAGAAATGATGAATGACTGCAATTGAAATGACTGCATCAAACATTTCTGTTTTTAATGGTAATCTCAAAGAATCTGCACTAAATACTTAAAAAGCATCAGATTTCTCTTTACAAATTTTTAATAAATTTTCACTTCTATCTGTACCTATTATTTCAATATCTGGATTTGAGCCTAAATATTTTCCATTCCCACATCCAACATCAGCTACAAGAGAACCAGGTTCTAATGATTTTAAAAATTATTCTATCTTAGGCCATGGTTTATAACGAGTTGAACTAAAATGAGGTGCAATTTTATCATAAATTTCATATACATATTTCTTTTCAACTTCAGTAGCTTTAGGTATCTATTATAATTATTATTATTATTCTTCAAGCAATAAGATTTCTTCTTGAGTTTTATTAGGAACTACTTTATTATCTTAGATAATTCCAATTTAATTCAATTTAGCGAGATATTCTTACAGCAATGGGTTTTTATTTTTCATAGTTAATGGATTATAACCTTGAGATTCACAAAAGAATTAATATTCGCAATCACATTTTAAATCATTTCTAATAGTTCTAAAAGTTAAACTTAATCTTCTAGATCTAAAATGTGTTTCACCTTCAACTTTATCAATTTTTCTTGATGCAATAGCATGAAACCAAGCATATCTGACTTCTCCTGTAAATAATGCACAAGATCTAGGAGGTAAATATAAATGTTATTCTTCTCCTTTAAATGATTTAAATGACATTACTAAACCACTTAGTAAACTGATAGAAACGAATTTCTCATGAAAGGGTGGATGAACATCAAAATGAGGTGGAATACCCATCCCTGGTAAATATTCATTTATTGTAAGTTAATTAATTTCAGGTTATGGTTTTATTAAATCAGACACTTTAGATCTGACATCTTCAAGAAAGGCAGGAATATTTTTATCCGCTGGTTAATTTACATTAACTGTATTTTCTCCATAAATAAATTCATAACCATAATGTTAAACTCTTCTTTATTTCAATTTAGACCATTCTTATTTATCAATTAAATCCAAAATATATTTTTCATATTCTGGTGTTATGAAATCATGGATCAAATATAGCCCTGGAATATTAACTTATCTCATTGCATTTGGTATATCACACATTCCTCCTCCACTTAATTCTTATTGATTTGTATAAAAAAACATTGTTGCTCTTTCCTTATTTGGATACTTCAGACTTGCGTATTTGATATTCTCAAAAATTTATAAAGACTAAATGGCAAATAAATATTACTTAGATTAATTGTAAACTTTATTATGGTGTTTAAAATTCAATGAACGCATAATTTCTTACAGGGTATATCATTACTTTGTTTTACCCAAATTATTTAACATAAGTGCAAATTGTATTATAATCATCTTAATCTCCAACTCCAAAATGAACTGCTATTAATTTATTTGTAGGTTCTTATGTTACTAATTCTTCAAATGGCTTCTTTTCGGATTTAGTAAGTGCCTTTTATAATTTAATTTAGTTACTGCAATAGCAATAGCTAATTTCTTGTTCAATTTGACTGTTGGATTGCGTACTTTTTCTCTTGCATCTATGGCTATATCTAAGTCCATTAATATTTTTACAAAATCGAAATAATTTATAAACTAATTCTTTCATTGGTCAAGAATAAAAAATAATTTATTTCTTTTTTAAAGCATGAAATAATTGTTTATTCATTCTCAATCTCATAATCTCAGTCATTTATTTAACTATTTGTTTATGGAAATAAATTTGTATGCATATTTTAAATTCTTATATTATTATTTTAAGTAGGAACTAATTTTTTAATCATATTATCACTGCAAAAAAAAACTAAAAATTATTGAAGAATTTTGTATATAGAAATGTATGAATTATTAATAATAAATGAAATCTGTATCAATTGCTAAAGCAGGATTATCTTGGTTAGTCTCTTTAATTGACTACCGATCTTGGAACATGTCCTGCATATCCAGGAATTTTTGTATGACTATAAATATAATTTAATAATTATACTAATTCTCTTTTAAATTAGTTTTCATGAAATCTGTTCTAGGTTCAGTTCCATTTCCATGTTCAATAGCTTTTGAATTAGTAATAATTGATGGTATGAATCCTGTATATCCAGGTACATGTTATGCTTCTTATGATGTTCCTAATCTCAATTCATCGAATGCTCTAGGATGAGTTTCATCTAATTAATTTAATCTATCCCTTGGATTTTCTCCAATTTATCCATACTATTTCTTATATTCAGAAGGTCCAACTTTCCTATAATTATTTTCAAATGAAAGTACGTTTCAACTACATATGGAGGTCTATTTAAACTCCATTCAGGAGGTTTTGCTCTATTTTTTGCATATGGATCAACAATTGATGCTTAATATGTACTTTTCCAATGTTCACAGCCAGTCTTAAGAAGAGGATTTTCTGGTGTAATAGCGGAATTACCTGTTTTTTAGAAAAAATCACTAGAAGTTGCACTCTCTAATTGTGCCTATTAATAATTTAGAATAACATTTTCTTACTTTATTTGCCTTATAAACATTCTTAAAATGTGGAGGTTATACTGTTGAATCTAAAGAAACTTATTTATTTGAATAATGATAGTTAGAATTCTTGTAAAAGCTTTCTTTATCTTCATTTCTAACAGCTAAGTTAATGTAGGTAATTAAACTTACTTTATTCCCAAATTTCATTTGAGTCTAATGTACGTTTACCTGCTTTTAGAGATGGATATGGCAAATCTCCATAAGATTAAAATGCTGCATAACCAACAACTTTAGGAATCATAAATTTTTAATAATATCAAAATCATCTCTCTATAATTAATCAAAATAACTCTGTATATTTTACTTGATGCTTCTACAACAAATTTTCTTTATTTCTGAATCAGCTTTTATATTTGTTTCTTTTACTATTGTTAAACAATCTTAAAATTTATGTCTTTCCCATTCCAATTTCAGCATAAACACTTACCAATTACGAAAAAGTGATTCAGAACATTTTTCATATTGTTATTAAGCTTCTGAATCTATCAAACTTTCATTTATGCACATATGTTATCTTTCCTACTCCTATTTCTTATACTTTCTTGCATTTTCCAAGGTCTCATTTGTTATTTCAGACCAATATTCCATTTACCTATTATAAATTTTAATAATTCTAAATGTTTAAAACTAAGAGAAATCTAGTCACTTTCTATCTTTCTCATTCAAAACAAACGAATCTTTGAGAATAACAATATATCACGGAAATCATTTATCAAACAACCATTTTAGATATTGATGTTTTTCGATCATTAAAAATCAAAACTATTTTTGGAATGAAAGATAGATGCTATCTAATACACTTTCAATTTATTCTAAAAGGAAGATCAACTATATACAAATAGATTTCTCTATCAAACAAGTTAGTCTTATGCTCTTTTGAATGAGTACTATTTTTAGACTATTTAAATCAAGGTTAGTTGTTAAATGGAAAAGAAAAAAAAAAAAAGGTTATAGAAGATATATTGAAAATCTAAGACTATTTTTTTCATTTTCACTTCTTAAATTGCTGTTGAGATAAAATAACTATTATTTTAAAGAACTAATGATATAATTCTAAAAACACTCTCTTAATAAATATTAAACTTTAATTTCTATCTATTAACTACAAAAACTTAACTAAATTTTTGTTACATTTACAAATTTTATTTAAGAATAAAATTTTAAGGCAATACCAAAATCATTAGCTAAAGTAACCAAATTCTTAAAATATATATACTTTAAATTAAATAACTAAAAGAGAAAAAAAATTGTACTATTAAGATATACTGAATGGAATAGGAAAAATTCATATAAGAAGAAAAAATATTTAATAATATAAAATGCTAAAAATTGTTCTAAAGCCTAAAAAGAATCTACAATAATTATTAATCTCTCGAAATTTTTAATAATTAATTCGATTTATAAGTAGATTTAGAACAAGAAAAATTAAAAGTTCAAAACTCTAAGATTGATCTGATGATTGTCTAATTATTGCCTAAGGGTAGTGAAAATTTCATTCTTATGAAGGTTTTCAGCTAAAAAATAAAATGTAAAAATTACAAAAGATTTTTTTTATTATTGATTAAATTTGAATTAACACAATATAAAATTAAAATAGCGTGAAATGATTTATAAATATAAATTAATTAATTGAAGTCTATTACATTAATCGTATAAACAAGAAATTTAAATAATTCTAAAGAAATTATTTACTAGACTTATATTAAATATTGAAATGAAGGTTAATGAATTATCGTTAAAAATAATCAAAACCATTATTTTAATAATAATAATTTGAACAGTAATGTTGTATTCTCATATTCTTGAACTTGCCATCTTTTTTTTTCCTCTCAAATAGTATTATAATTGTTTAAATTTTTCAATCCATGATTTATTAACAAACTATTAAAGTTGTTGTAATTGATACCCATTTTTAAATTATTGAAGTCTTATTCTGAATTATGAATAATTAGAGCTTTTGAGTAATTTAGGCTTAGCTCATTTAACTTAAATATAATGGTGATTCATAAATGTATGAAAAAATTGATTGACATAAAACAAATATCATAAAAAATTGTTTCAATCTAGTTATCCTAAAATGTCTTCTTCAACTGAATTTATTACCTCAAAATGAACTCCGTTTATTATGACATTAAACTGTCGATGAGGATCTAAAGTAAATTAAGATAGATACTAGTTGGATCATATTAACTATATTCCACATTTGGAGGCCTTTGAAGAACAATTTTTGGTTTTGGTTTTGTGTCAATGCAGTTCTGTGAATATGAAATTAATTTATTAGAAAACTGACTCACTGGAGTTGTAGCAGTATTTTAACTATTTAATTTTCTTTTTTATGTTTAGCAAGCGCCCATCTCAAACAATTATTTATTTATTTATCTCAAATGATTTAAATTTTATTAAGATTATATAATAATAATATATCATATTAAATCAAATATGATATTTGTTTTATCTATCAGAGTATCAATTCATAATTAATTCTTTATTTTATGTTTATAGTAATTTATATAGCCTAAGAAAGAATATTAGAAGCTGCCAATTCAGAATTTCGTATATTTTGTGTATTAATATTTCTTCTAGTAATTTATTTATATTGATTCTGAAAATTTAAATGTGATTGTTGAATAAGGAATCTAAGATTTTTTGCATTTTATCAAGAAGATAACAGAAGAGCCGAGTAAGCATAAGAATTTTCGAAGAATATTCTTAGTTTCTTTAATTTAATTAGGTTTGAATAGTATCAAATAAATTTGGCAGCAACCAATCAAAATTAATTGAAATGAAGAAAATTACTGAGTCATCTTTTTTCTATCACTAGTTATAATAACACATATAATTTATAACAAAACTTTCAGGATTCTTCATTGGTTTAGCATGAAATCATAAATTTTAAGTGGATTATATAATTGAGGTTTAAAGGTACATTCTTACATAACTTTTTATTCTTATTCTTGCTTCACTAAATCAAATTTCTAAAATTAAATTATGGTTGATTACATTCTATTGTAATTTTGGGCCAGATTTAACTATTTTCATTGAGTGCTTGCATAATATAGGCTAAGTTAATAATTACTTTTACTTAGAATGTACATTAATCGAGATCTATGATTTTTTTTTGTTTTAAACCATTGATTAATTTGTTTTTATCAGACACATTTAAAGATTATATCAATCTATTAGCAGCTTCTATAAATGATTCAAGATCTAATTGAGCTTAAATTGATTCCATTTCACACAAAAGAGGTGCCAAAATTTATAAAATTTCTGATTGTATTCCAGAAATTTCAACAGAAGAAGCTGAAATTTTACCATCTCCATCAGAATCAAGTAATGAAAAAATTTCTTATAAAACTTTTCGCTTCTTATCTTCATAAATTAAACTAGATTTTTCTGAAGATTTGGCCATAGAATTCATAACGGATTGCCTTTATTATTCAATTAAATAATTATGATGATCTTCTTGTACAGTTCTTAATTGAAACAGATAATCTCCAATTGGAAGATTAGAGTTATTTCGCTAAGATACATCTTATATAAAATTAATACTTCATTATTTGGGGGTCTTCCAATAATTGGACGATATAATTTTTATCCAGTTGTTATATCATGCGAAGGCTCTTCAGTCATTACAGTTTCTTCTAATCTTTTCTATCTTTTCTAAATCGATATTTGCATTCTTTCTAAAAAAGGGATATCAGAAGAAGGTTTTCGTTTTAAAGGAGAATTCATGCAAGATTAATTAATCATTTAACTAGCTTCCTTTTTCTTCTTTAATGAATTTAATCCTTGTTGATATAGTCGATCATGTATCTAACTTTTTTGAGCACTTGAATAATTTCTTTCTTTTTCTTAAGATATCTTTTAGCTTCTAATAAAAATTGTTAAATTAATTTTACATGGGATTTATTGCAGGTTAAAATGAGCATAATTAATTTTATGCAGCCATTCTGCTGTTTCTTAATTATTCTTTTCTTTATGCCATCTATTTGCCTTACATGATTAAGTAATCTTATGTTGGCATGTTTGGTCTTTTAGCCAAAGATAAGCTTTTCTCACTTATATATGGTTTGAATGAATAAAGTATATCTTATTTAGGTTCTAAAACTCGACTTTGCTTGGATTTTAAATATAACTATTCTCCTGGATTGTAAGGTAATGTTCTTTGAGGACTGAATGTTTAGGATAAACTATTGGTGATGAATTATTATTGTCTTTTCTAGGTCTTAACGGCAGCTTCATTATGTAATCGATCGAAAATGCTTTATTTGGAACAGTGACTATCCTATAGATTACTGATTATTGTTTATTCTATTAACACTGTAGCTTCTTCTCTTAATTAATGTTTGTTAACAAATTCTTTTGCAATCATTGTTATATCAGAATCATCATAAACATGCAATGTTTCCTTAAATCTAATATTCTTTAATATACCTGTTTCTTTTCTCCAAGATCAAAGACTATTTAGAGCACCTCTTATTTTGGTTTTCCAGGTGTTGACAGACCTCTTGATTGCATAATTTTATAATATAAATTAATCAGTTATGCGAAAAGCAAATATTTTATCATTTACTAGAGATGAAACACCAAAACCATCTATTGATAGATAAAGACATGTTCATCGTCAAATGGCCATTAGTGTAGATTCACCAAAAGAGTTTTAATTTAAACACGCCAATGTTGAAGATATCCTCTTTGTGAAACCATCAAATGCTTCTAATCTTTAAGGTAAACTTTCTTCACTTAAACTCATAAGAGTTGGAATATAAAAGGATTAAATGGTATGGTAAAGCTGTTAATCTATAACATGATCTTGAACTTACTTTAAGACCCAATCTAAGTTTATTATAAGATAAAAAAGTTAATGAATCTATTCAAGAATCTGAAGATCGAGTTATCAGATAATAATCAACTAAATGTAGATTCACTGATAAAATCTCTAATAGATCCTACGAACTAGAGCATAAAGGAAGATATTTAGATTAGAAATGCGCTTTCCAAGATAATTATACTATATATTCGAAATAATCATTTAAAATCAAAACAGGTATGTATGAATAATTTAAAAATGCTTAACTTCTCTAAAAAAGAGGTAATTAATATGAGTATTTTCTTTAAAAACCTAATTATTATGATTATAGCAAATAACAAAGTATTAGGAAATCTTAACATAAACCTAAATTACTTAATAAATCAGATAACTGCAATACACTTTTTGATACTCCAATAAAATATTAGAATGAATTAAATTTTAAAATTGCTCGAAATTAAATTCTTTAATCAATTGAATCACAAAAAAGAAAAAGGGCTATTTCAGAATTTTGATTTAATATTCAAATTCTAATTAAATAATAATATCATTATTATAAGGAATATTAGAATGGGTAGTTTGGCTCTTCATTTAACAATATTAAAATTGTTTTTTTATTCCCAATGTTCAACTTCTACTTTTTTTTAACCAAAGTTCTGACTACTGTTAGAATAGCTTAATCTGCAAATTCATTTATTTCTTTTCCAAAATATCTTATATATGGTTCATAAACATGCTCCATATTGATCACTATTGTTGAATTTTTCTTACTTTCACTAAAAATCTCATATAGTAGTCTCAAGAAATATGTTCTAACCATTTGCACCTTACTTTCAGGTGATCGAATTATTTAATAGTTTATTTATCTAAATTAAAAAAACTCTTTGAATTTTGCTAAGATTGGATCGATTTCAAAGTATGATTATTTGAATTAATTATTTAAAATTTTGTAATTTAAAATTTATTTGAAGCAGTAAATTCTTAACAAATGTAATTGATTTAAATTAGCAGATCTTAATGAAATTGATAAATTATTTACAACTGATTTGAAAATCTTGAATTGTATCTTTCTCTCTTTTTCAATTGTCTTAAATAAATAACTTTTTAATTTTCCTTAAGCCTAAGATTAATTCTCAAATTTTATTAAGAATGTAGGTTATTAATAACTAAAGAAGCAAATTGTTATTATTTGTGTCTACTTTGGAGCTTTTTTAATTTCAATTTATTTGCTATAAGATTTAATTTCTTATGATTGTTTTAGTTTTATATCTTAAAAACAAAATTGTTCAAGATTTTACTGCTTATAATTCCATTCTCTTAAAAACTATTTTAAATTCTCTGAATTCTCACAAGTAAATTCTTGTTAACGAGATGATATTAATGAAAATCTTAAATGACTACTTTCAAATTGAAATAAGACATATGACTTACTTACAATTATTGGTAAAATTTATTCCATTAAATTATCTTTTAAACTTAATAAAAAGAAACTTCTGCTTTCATAGTTTAACTTTCGAATATAAAAACTAAGAAAGCATATAAGTAAAATTGTAGCAAAATAAACATTATATTATGGGCTTTGAGCTTCAGATATTGCAAAACTCAATCGTATTAGCATTGTTGATGTTACAAGGAATATTCCTTGACACATATCTACTGCCAAAATGATAATAAAGTTACAAGCTACAAAATTATTAGCAAATAATTGATGAGCTTCTTAAGAAATTGTACTTGTTAACATATATTAATATGCAAGAAGCAAATAGTTTAAAATCATCAAACAAGACTATATTAATGAAGGTTTCCATTTTATAATGAAAATTGAAAATATTAGATATATTTGAGTAACAATTATTATGCTTAAATGATTCAACTTGTCTTCTAAAATTTCTGTAATCATTTTAGTCATGCTGATAAAAAACAATCCAATTGCACTACAGACATAGACTGGTTTTCTAAGCTAAGTTATTTTCTATTCTTAATATTTTTTTTCAGATCCTTTATCTAAAAATATTAAAGTATAATTATTCATATAATCTAATAATTATTAATTTATATAGTTAAACTTATTTAGTCATGATATATAAAAGTTAGTCATTATATTTAAACAGCTTTTAAGATGACATTAAACAAATAATGAATTTAATATTATATTTCAAGATATATTTTACTAAATCAAATGAGAAAATAAATCTTTCTTCAGCCAAGCATAATCGAACCCTATACCATAGCATTCTAAAGTATTGATATTTATGTAATTAATTTTCTTGAAATTCAAGTCTTTGTCAGATGTATATAGAATATGATCCTTCTGTAGAACTTAATCCTATTTAATTCCAATAATATTTCTTTTAGTGATAGTAAATTATTTAGATTTTGTGTTATAAACTACTTTTTCAACTTAATATTTATAAAATTGCCTTTGTTTAATAAATCTAGTAAGTATAAATCCTGTGGTAATAGCAACTTTAAAAATTTCCATTTTTTTTTTATACCATTAATCATCTCTAAATATTGTATACAAACCCAAACTAGCAAAAACAACCCAAAAGAAATTCCATAACGAAGAAATTATAAAAGCTCTACCCTTAGTATCATATAACTTGATATCAACTTCTCTATTAAGAATTTCTTCAAATAATATTGCAGCACGATATTCCTCCTTTGCTTTCAACTTACCTTTCTCTTTTAAAGATGCTACTATTGCATTCGTGATTATTTCTTCTCTCATCTTTGCAACATAACCTTATTTTTTTGACATGTTCTATTTTTCTAAATCTGTTTGTTATTTTTCATTTTTGTTTTCTTTTTCAACATTTGAAAAACTATATTTTGAATAATTTTGAAATAGAAAGGATTCACATCTCTAAAATGCCAAAACATTTGATAAATGATATCTAAATTTTATCATAATTAAATTTATTATTAAGTAAGAAATTTAGTAAACTCACTACTTCTACATTTATTAAAATTATAAAATAACTAATTTCTTTCCTCAAATAGTTAAGACAATTTTAAGCTGCTTTAAATTAAATTATCTATTTTATGTTTAATTCCAACAATAATTTAAACACTATTCTAAATGAAACTTTAATGAATGTTTTTATCCTTCCTTAAGTGGTATTTTTATAGATTTTAAATGAAACTCTAAAATATGAAATAAATTTACTATTTTATCAACTTGTTCATCATCACGCTTACCATTTAAATCTGTTACAAACATTTAGCTAACTTAATGAAATTATTTCTAAATATTCTCTAGTTCAACATTCCATTAAAGGTTTATTCTAAAGCAAGCCAAAACTCTTTGTGAAGATAAAACTTATAAATTAAATCAATGTATTAATTGCTTATTTGCCCTTTTACTAATCCTAATATCTTTTGTTAATTTTATTTAACTTCAAATTATTTTATCTTATACTCTACAATAAACTTCCTCCAAAGCATAATATATTTCCATTAAAAGTTCGGATCTTTGATTATTAAAATTAATTTTATCTCTTAAATTGCAATTTCTTTTAGGCTTAGTTACAAGTTCTTTAAGATAAAATTACAACAACACATAATACTTACTAATAAGAGAGACTATAAATGAAACTATTACTATAGAAAAAACGAGACAATGAGTATTTGAAAATTTATATAGATAAGTTGACTATATTTAGAATTACATAATTTTTAAATAAATATAGGATAAAAAATTTGTCTAAAGATAATCATTAATTAAAAGCTATAAAAATGAATTTAAAATTATAAAATTGAAAAAAATGGAACACTTATAGGATTAAATTAATTGTTATGAAGAAAAATAGAAATAATTTGATTAAATATATTTAATAAATTTATAAGTTAGATTGAAGAAATTTAATCTCAATATCACCTAATTGTTTAGGATTATTAATATTGACAAAAACTAGAGACCTAGTTAAATTAATAATTACAATATAAAGAAAAGTAAGCAATAGAAACTTACTACTTAGTATAACTATAAAAGTAGGATAATCAAATTTATTTAATGATAAAAAAACCAAATATTTGATAGCAAAGTTATTATTCAAAAGTTGCAATTGTAAATAGAGTAAAAAAATGTTTTTATCTTTCAATCAAAAGATAAATTAATAAAGGAAATCATCTAATTAAAATGTATAATAAAGAATTGGAACAGTAAAATGAAACTCTAATTTTGGAAGTGGAAAGATTGAATTCTATTTTTAAATCGATATTATTAGAACTAGAGAGTAATGAAAAAGAGAAGAAACTTTAGATCAATAAACATAAACAATAGTAACACAAATAATTAAATCTTTAAAAATTGATATAATTAATTATTTACAATGACTAATAAAAAAATAAAAAATTTTTGAAGTATTTTTAAATGAGGGAAACTGAATACTGCTATTATCAGAGGAATCAGTGATTGAAAAATCAAAGTTTTCACATATATTTTTAATTGATTATTTAATACTAAAATAATGACAAAATTAATCTCAATTATAAGTTATAGGAGATTGTGATAGATCAAAAGAAAGTTCAATTAAGCCCCTAAATATCTAATAAATATTGAAGTTTGGAAAACAACCATTAAGTATGATGGCTTGGGTTCATTATAGAAAATGTATAGGAATAAACTTAATTTTGGGTCTTTCTAATAGAGATAGTTATGAAAATCTGAATAAATTGTAAATATGAAGATTAAGAAAAATATAATTAGATTGATTAGTAAAAAATGCAATAATTGATTTTAATTTAAAAAAGATGGGAAAAATAATAAGTAATGAGAATTTTTATTTAATTTTAAGGCTTTTTATAAAATTTGAAGAAGTTGAGCTATTTCCAGATACTCATCAAATATAGTACAGCTATCAGATATTGTATTCTCAAGCATTGTGATTTTTTAAGGTTAAGATGAAAGTTATAAATATCCTTTTCATTTTTTATAAAAATTTACTAAAAAAATATAGGAGTTTCTAAAAAGAATCAAGAAAATATTAAATTAGAAGATTTGATAAGATTTCTAAGTTTAAAAATAATTAATTATGCATGAGATAAATTGAGAAATACCAGTTGTTGTTTATAGTCTAAAGAAGAACAACACCACAATAGGATTGATTAGACAGTACATAAAATCTATAAATTTAGTTTCTAAAAAAAATTGTATTTAAATTGGATTAGCAGGAATTAATAATATTTTAATATTTATATAAATAATTTTTATTCTGATGAGTTCTTATGCATACCTATTTAAATTTATTATTATAGGAGATTCAAGTAATGTATATTTTATAAAGAGATTAGGTGTTGGTAAATCTTGCTTACTATTACAATTTTTGGATAGGAAATTTAAATTAGATCATGATACTACTATAGGAGTGGAATTTGGAAGTAGGACGTTGAATATTAGATAAAAGAATATAAAACTATAAATTTGGGATACTGTATAAACAATTCTAAGTAATTTAGGCTGGATAAGAAAGTTTTAAATCAATAACTAGATCATATTATAGAGGATCAATCTGCGCAATAATTGTATATGATGTGACAAGCAGAGACAGTTTTGAGAATATCAGTAGATGGATGGAGGAGACAAAAAGTTATGCAAATGATAAAATAACACTTGTATTGGTTGCTAATAAGACGGATTTGTCAGACAAGTAAAATAATTTATAGAGAAACTATTAGGAGAGTTATCACAACTGAGGAAGGTCAATCATTTGCAAAGAAACATGATTTAATTTTCGTAGAGGCTTCTGCAAAAACAGGATTTTAAGTAGATAAAGTAATTTCTATTATATAAATATATAAGATCTTTTAAGAAGCAGCAGAAGCTGTTTTAAAAAAAATAGAGCAGAGAGATATTGATGCAACAAATGAAGTATAAAATGTTTAAATTAATAGTCTATTGGTGTTAGGATAGGTTCATAAATGACAGAAGAAATGATTGAAAAGCAAAAAGAATAGAAAGCATCAAAATGCTGCTGAAATGATTATAATTAAACTTTAAAATATAAGATTTTTTTTTTGTCAATTAATCCCATCAGAATATACGAAGAAATTTTTTTCTACAATATGAAAAGTTTTTTAAGTCTAGAAAGTAATTTGAATGTTATTAATGTATAATGTATTTGAGTAATGATTGTATGTTCTTAAATGATTTTGGAGTAAAGTAGTTAAATTTCTTAAAAATAAAATGAGTATTTTTGAAATTCTGTCTTGTTAATTTGTGAAATATGGAATTGAGTGGAAATAAGATTATTAGAAAGGATTTGATAGAAAAAGGACCAGAATGATTTAGAGAATGTTATAGAGAGTGATGTATTAAAGAGAAGTATGTAGTTCTGAGTAATGATGAAATTCTCGGGGTTTGATAAGTATATGATGGTAATGAAGAGTATGGTATATAGAGGGAAAGTGTGTATTTAATATAATCTAAAGTTAATAATTGTTATGAGAAGAATAATTTTACATATATGGATTTAATATGTGATGCAATCTTAAGTTCATAATTGAGATTCTATATTTTAAAGTGTGATGGAATGAATTTGATTTCTTATTATTTTTCATAATTAATTGTGAATGGCCTAGTATCGACCATTAAATGATGGTTAGTAGAACTTCACATAAGCAACAAATCCTTAAATTGTTGCTGGGTTCTAAATTCTTAGACAAAGTGTAGATTTAGGAATATAGTAAAGTGAATCAGCCCGTAAGAGCTCTATGAAAGCATAAGCTCTAGTATCTAGACAAAGTTAGATGATAAATTAAATGAAAGTAGGCTATACTAATCATATTCTTAGGAATAAAAAATTATGGTTAAGGATGTCGTTGTACCAGTGGATGCACCTACATAGACAAAATAAGATGTTCTGAAAAAAGCTTAAAATAAGGGAGAAGAGTATAGGAATATGGATGAGCATAAGATAGATGTTTTGGTTTTAGCAAATAGGTAATTGAATAAAATAATATTTATATAGATTAGGAACAAGTAAAGACGAAGGATTATCTGATGAGTAAGCTGTGTAAAAGAATCTTCAATTTGGTGATAATAAATTAACAGAAAAAAAAAAGACTCCATGGTGGATGAAATTATTAAAAGAAATGTTTTAACCATTTTCAATTTTATTATGGATAGCATCAATTGCATGCTTTGTTTTATATGGAGTAAATCCAGATGCATTAGGAGCAAAGTCTAATTTATGGTTGGGTATAAATAAAGATTTATTTATTAGCAATCATTTTAATTTTAATTATTTTATTAACAGGATCAATTACCTACAATTAATCAGCAAAGGCAGATGCTTTGATGGAAGGCTTTAAGAACTTTTTACCATAAAATTGTATAGTAATTAGAGGAGGTCAAAGAAAGTAGGTACCAGCTGAGAAGATAGTACCAGGAGATATAGTGGAAGTAAAGATGGGAGATAAGATACCAGCTGATATTAGAGTTATACAATCTAGAGAAATGAAAGTAGATAATTCTGCATTGACAGGAGAATGTGATCCATTATTGAGAGTTACTGAATGTACTGCTGAGAATCCTTTAGAAACAAAAAATTTAGCATTTTTTGGAACATTATGTAAAGAAGGATCTGGATTAGGAATGGTTATATAAATAGGTGATAAAACAGTTATGGGTTAAATAGCAGATTTGGCAACTGGAGGAGAAACACCAGATACACCATTAAATATTGAATTGAAAAGATTTGTTATTTTGATTTCTTGTATTGCTGTTGGTTTGGGTATTTTGTTTTTGATTTTATCATTGGTTGTTGAAAAAGCATCTGTTGATACAGCTGTTGGATAAGCTATTGGTATTATTGTTGCAAATGTTCCTGAAGGATTATTAGGTTGTATTACTGTTTCTTTAGCCATCACTGCTAAAAGATTAGCAGATAAATAAGTTTTAGTGAAGAACTTAGAAGCTGTTGAAACTTTAGGTTCTACAAGTTGTATTTGTTCAGATAAAACTGGAACACTTACTTAAAATAAAATGACTGTTGAAAATGTCTGGTATGATGGATTGAAAAGAAGAGCATTAAATAAACTTGTTGCAGGAAAAAATGCAGAATATGAATATGAAACTAGCGATCCAACTTTCAGAGATTTACATGATTGCGCTATCATTACTAGTGAAGCTAAATTTAATATTCAAGTTAAAGAAAAAACAAATATTAATTGGCTTGATACTCCTACTATTGGAGATGCTTCAGAAACGGCTCTCATTAAATTCTTTTAACCTATTGAGGATATTGAATTAACTAGATAGAGAAGATTATTTGCAGAATTACCTGATAAATCTTTAGCTAAAATGCCATTTAATTCAACAAATAAGTTTTCACTTTGTATTGTTAATTGGGAAACTCATGACTCATATTATTGTGTTTATATTAAAGGTGCCCCTGAAAAATTATGGACATTCTGTAGTTATCTCTTAGTAGAAGGTAGAAATCAACCTATTGATGAATAAATTACTTAGAAATTCAAATAAGTCAATTTAACATTTGGTAAAGGTGGAGAAAGAGTCTTAGGATTTGCTAAATTACATTTACCAAGAGCTGAATATCATAAAGGGTTTTAATTTAATTTGAATTCAGTGGATACACTTAAATTTAGATTAGAAGGATTCACATTTTTAGGATTATTATCATTAATGGATCCTCCTAAAGTTACTGTCCCTAATGCCATTAAAAAATGTTAATCAGCTGGTATCAAGGTTATTATGGTTACTGGAGATTAACCACCCACTGCAGGTGCCATCGCTAAATAAATTGGTATCATTACTGGAAAGACTGTTGATGATCTTTTAGATGAGAATCCATCAATGTCTTATGAAGATGCTTTTAGAATTGCTCCAGCAATAGTTATTCATGGAGATCTTATAGTTTAGGCTCTTGAAGAAGAAGCAGCATAAGGTGAAAATTTACCTGAAGAAATGAAAGACAGAAAATTAAGAAGTTGGTGCAGTAAACCTCAAGTAGTATTTGCACGTACATCTCCTGCTTAGAAATTAATGATAGTTAGAGCTTGTTAATACTTAGGTCATGTTGTAGGAGTAACAGGTGATGGTGTAAATGATTCACCAGCTATAAAGTAAGGTGATATTGGTATTTCAATGGGTATAAGTGGATCTGATGTAACAAAAGATGCTGCAGATATGATTCTTTTGAATGATGATTTTGCATCAATTGTTGATGGTGTTGAAGAAGGCAGAAAGATTTTTGATAATCTTAAAAAGACAATTGTTTATCTTCTTACATCCAATATTACTGAAGTATTTCCATATATTGGTGAAATTGCTATTGGATTACCACTTCCATTAAGTAATTCATTTATTCTTACAATTTGTATTGGTACTGATATTTTGCCAGCTATTTCATTTGCTTATGAAGAAGCTGAAATTGATATTATGACTCGTAAACCAAGAAAGAAGGATGACCATTTGGTGTCTTTAAGATTGATCACTCATGCTTATTTATTACAAGGTGTAATTGCTACATCAGCAGGATTCTTTAGTTATTTCAGTACAATGAATGAATATGGATTCCCTCCATCACTTCTTTTAAATTTTATGAACAAACCTTATTAATCAATACCTTGGAATAAGGTAATACTTGCAAATGGATAACCATATGCTCCAGCTCCTACAAGTTGGGTTTGGGATATGCCAAATTTGAACAAGTATTTATCATATTAATTCTTAGTCCTTTCTTAACCACATAACCTTACAGTCCTAATTGGCAAATGGCACCTCTTTTAACTCCACCATAAAACACTGACGGAACATATGATTTAGAAAATACTTATGGATTCTAAACTATTCCATTAAATTGGATTAATCCAGAACTTATCTATTATGATTTAAGATACATTTTTGTCACTTATGAGAGTTAAAGATGGACTCCTGCATTTGACTAATGGAATAATCAATATTCTGATTATTTATGTAGATATTTCGATAGATCTGATTCACTTCTTGAAGGATCTGGATATCCAATTAATACTAATGCTTGCTTCAAAACTGCTGCACTTAAATATGCTTAAACCTCTTATTTTGTTGCTGTTGTCTTAGTCTAATGGTCCAATGTGTTCAGTTGCAAATGTAATAATCCTCATTTATTTTTAGAACGTAAAATGTCTATGATCTATTCCCCTATTAATAGAGTTATGTTTTACGGTGTTCTAACTGAAACCATTATTTTCCTTTGCATTGTATACATTCCAGGAGTTAATACTTGGTTTGGTGCCAGACCTGTCGATATACTCAATTTAGGGTATTTCATCTATCTATTTAAATAGTATGCCTGGACTTCCATATTCCATGTGTCTATTTTGCTGGGAAGAAACTCGTAAATATTTCATTAGAAACTTCTAAAAACCCAACAAATATGAAGTCAACTTCTTTGAAGCAAATTCACTATGGTGAGTATATTGTAGTGACATTAATATAAATAATAAAATTACATCAAATTTTTTAAATTAAATTATTTTAAAGAAGTGTTTTAATTTCAATGATCACTAGATAATAAGTCATCGTATTCATAAGTGTAGATGTCAATATTAGAAGAACAAAGGGGCTCAGAAAATAGTATAAATTAAACCACTAATATAATGTACAAATTTATTACATTTTGAAGATATATATAAACTAGAAACCAATAATCTAACATGATATTTAGTATTCTAATATATTTTCAATATTTTAGAAGCTTAAAAATTACCATTGAATTCAATCATCACTTCCATTTCCTCTTTCAAATTTATCAAATTACACTCAATCAAATCTTATTCACTATTCTCCAAAACACTCAATAATAACATCATTAGAGCATTTGGTATTGTAAACAATGTTTCCATTTTATTTGTATTTTAGAATCTAATATTCTTATCAGGATATAGGTTTTCTAATTAAGATATTACGAATTATATGTTAACAGTATTAAATTGATATTTATGATCATGAAGTTCTTCTATTAATTATACTAGCATTAATCTTCTTCTTATTTCTTTTATCATCAAATTATATTTCATTTACTACTCTAATTTAGTTAATATGTTTATGAATATATTATTGTATAAAATAAATCTCTTCTTGTATTTTTTTAGCTGCCTTTATGAATGTTTGCTAATTGAATTAATCCTCAATAAAATCATTGGGTTTTTTGCTTAAAATATTGACATTTCAACTTACAGCAGCTATCTTTAAAATCGAACCCTAAGAATTTAATTAAAATGTTCATAACAATCCATTTAAAATTTTTTAATACTACCATATATGTATTCTGAAAGTGATGTTTTTCCCATAGTTGCATTTTATAGAAAATACCTTATTGTTCTATCATCCTAATCACATTGCGATATTTCTTCATCGAAATTTAAACAATCTTTAAAAGGAAATCTATTCTGCTTTTAAACAGTGAAGCTTAAATTAGAATAAGAAAATTTCAATAAGATATAAGGATCTTTAACCAACTCAAAAAATATTTTATCCCAGTCGTTCTCCACTAATCCCAGTAAATATTGAGATCTTTTTGCCTTATGATAGGTATATGCATAAAATAAAAATGATAAATTGGCTAAGATTGTGCTTGTAAGTATCATATAATTTTAAGTATCTGTTGTAATATATGGTAATGTTATTCTTAAAGTCGTTATCACAATTAATTAAATGACGGAATCAAAAAATTCTCCTGATAATACCAACATAATATTAACAGTCATCATATTTGCTCCTTTCATGTTTTGGATTTCTGGAGAATTTTCTTACTCCAGTACTAATCCCATCATACAAATATTTGTTATGATAAATGCTATTCTTGTCAATTACGGTTACCACTAAACTACTATAAATTGTATGATGCAATATATCAGCATAGCAAGTTTGTAATAAAATAAAAAATCGATTTTCTCAATTAAAGAGAATATGACTCTAATTAAGTAAGTAACGATTAATCCAAAAGACATTAATTTGAAAACAGCTGATCTCGAATTTGATTATTGTTACAATTAGTATTAATTCTCTATTTTAGAATCTATGAAACCTAAATGATATTAATTCATTAATATGAATATATTATATTTTTAAAATTTGCTTAGAATTAATAATTCAATTTTATAAACCAATTCTGTTTTTTTTTAAATATATATTATTAATAAAGGGTTATTTTCTTGCAAAACTACATTGTATTGGCTTTCAAATATTTGTTTATTATTAAAAAAGTTTCAAAGTTAAAATTTATATTTATATAAATCAAAGAAAAATATTTACCTTAATTAAATTAATCTTAATTTGAAATTTTTCTTAGAAAAAATAATTAAGTAATTATTGATATAAAATACTTTCATTAGGTTTAAATTCAAAAATTCTTGTAAATAACTCAAATAGATATTACCAAAATAGATCAAAGTTTTTAAATCTAATGCTGTTATCAGGTTTTTAAAAAATATAGAATCTTGAATGAGATTTTGGTAATAATTAAATTGAAATAAATTTTAATTTTTTGATTGATATTTTTTTATTAAAATATATATATTGAATATTTTAATAAGAATAAGAACATAAATTTTTTATTAAATAGAATGGTTTCCTCTAAAAAGAAGCATATTAAAAATTAATTAAGTAAAAAAAAGAACATAAAAAAAATAAAAAAATATGTGAGGGAATTTTAAAACCGATTTTATTAAATTGATAAATTTAATTATGCTAAAGACAATTTCTTAATATTCCCAAAAGGTATTAGTAAAATTAGAAAAGAAGTTATAAAAGATAGAAGAAGTAAAAGGACTAGCAAGATTAAAAAAGATGGGAAAAAATGTTATGCGAATTCATCAATCTAATCACTTAGTAATTTTTTATTTGATTATATCTAGAACGAGAAAAAAAATGATTTCTAATTTAATATATAGAATTTGGTAAATAGATACTCATGAATAACAATGAAAGGAAGACTAATTATAATTCTTAAGAATTTTACAAAATTGTAGGATACTACAACAAATGTTTTCAGATTCTACCTAATAATGTATTTAGTTGATATAATTCATGAGAATGTCGGATGGAGTGAAATATTCAAGTACACATAGAAATATTTGATAGGTATACTTATAAATTTGAGCCATTGATGTATTTAAGTGTTTTAATTTCAGAATAAGATAAAATTAAGTTTAAATAAAAGAGGAAAAATTTATGGTTTTGTGAGAATTATAAAAAGTAGTTTTTTAAAATTCTTATAATCCACTTTGGAGAATTCTAATTTTTAGAGAATGGAATCAAAAAGATAAAGTAAAATATTAATTTCTTTTTGGAGTGTTTGAACTCAAGACAGCGTTTACCAATATTGTAAAAGAAATATATATTAATTATTAGGAATAATATTCCAAAAAGTAATAAGTGAAAAGGAATACTATTATACTTATACAAATAAGTAGTAAACATACCAAAGAAGGATAAACTGAGTTTGGATAAAATCTATGTTTTTGACATTAACAACTCAAACCACAAGTCCTTTGTTTTTGCATTCAGAATCTTAACAAACTTATCCAAGATATTTTCTTAAGGACTGGCTCTTCACAATATAAAAGCCACCATTGATTGATTTCATGATCAGATTCTTTTTAACCAAAAAAAGCAAGGTAATTTGCAGGATAGAATAAATTTTTTTTAAGTCATATATTCATAATAAATTTTTAAAAAAATATACGAATATAATTATAATTTAAAATATAATTTAT